TATTTATATACAACTGCTGGTAGTTTTTTTCTTTAAAATGCATACAAGATATATCTCATATCAACCTGTCATGACGTCATCATAGGATGATATATCAATCTCTTTATATCAACCCCTGATAACGTTGATGAAATATTACGAAGAACACAGAAATAACTTTTTTTTTATTTCTTTTGACAATTACAAATGTTTGATACAGTTGGTTGCATTCAGCACCGAAACAGGTGTACGTATTGATACATTTAGATTGGACTCTTAATTTCGTATTTTTTTGCATCAGCTGCATTGCTGGAACTCGACCCTCTTTCATGTAGCAAATCACCTTTGTTCTTGTGTATACACTGACACCTGAAAGATATGCACACAGTAATTATAGGTTACAAAAGTTTATCAAAAATAGAGGAAAAAATCCAATTTAACCTCGATAATTCGATATGTACAAAATAACTATAGGCTTATAAACATATCTGAAGGAAAATTTCAACTTATCCGCAACACTTCGAGTATCCATGTCCAAAATTATTTCTCCACACACTCCAAGACTTGAAAGTATTTATAGCCCAACAGCCCCCTTAACACAGCCCGTTAAATCCTTCTCTGAAGATACTGAAAATCGGAACATATTGAATTTTTCTTTTCAAAATTTTCTGAAATTTTTTGACTAGCAAGTAGTAGATCCTCGTCGGAATTTCGGAATTTGCATTCACATCTATTTCGCCTTCAATCTGTCGGCTAACAGGGATTAATTTTTCATCCGATTGCGTATTACTATCCATTTTATTTTTGCTTTCAATGCAAATGAACCTATGGAGACTCTAAAATGTCGAGAAAGTATTTTGAAAGAAACCTGCTCGTAAATTCACGTTATTAAGTTCGGTAATTTTCATTATTTGGCGGAAATTATCGGGACATTATCCAATCATTGTTGACTTCAAATGGAAAGGTCTATTTAGTTTAAGGACGATTAAAACTGTGATGTTGTATATGTCGGATATAAACCTTCTCACCCTCGGATTGATATAGGAACACGCGAAGCCCGCGTGTTCTTTATCATATCGGATAGGTTAATATCCTGTACTTACACGCCTTTAGGATGTTATTTCCTTTGATCTCAATGTATGTTATGAAAGTATCAACCTGTTGTGACGTCATAAGAGGGTGATATCTGATCAATTACTGATCAGATATCACCCTCTGATGACGTCACAATAAGTTTATATCACTCTTCAATGAAAAATGAAATGAAATGGGATTTAACGTCCTACTGTTATTATTATTATTATTATTATTATTATTACAGCATATTTATAGTGCACCCTTTCATATAACATGTTCAGGGGCACTTTACAAAGTGACAATGTAAATCACACATAAACAACAAGATTATGGGCATGTTAACGATTTTATACAGAGTCAGTTAAAAGCCTGATTAAATAAATGTGTTTTAAGTTGTTTTTTAAAAGAATATAGAGATGTACAACATCTTAAACTAAATGGTAGATTATTCCATAAAACAGGTGCTTGATAACTAAAAGAGCGCTGACCATAAGAGACTAGTTGAACAGTTTTTGGCTTTAAAAGTAGTTTATCTGATGTACGCCAATGTGTACACGGGACCTCGGTCTTTCGTCCATCCCAACGACTAGGCAACTGTCCTTGTCAGCTAGGCCCTCCATCCTGCATCACTGACAAGGGAAAACCACGCCGGAAAATCTGAATGATCTTTCTCGGCCAATGCAGGGATCGAACACCCGACCTCCAGGCTAGCGAGCCAGCGTGTTACCCGCTTAGGCACGTGATCCCGTTTTATTCACATGTACAATGTTGTCACGCGATTCGGACGACGAACTTTACCAGGCCCACGATATATGTTACTTAGTTTCTTTATCTGACCATCAAGTACTTATCTAAAACTCTCAAATTTAGGATTTTGTAGTATTATCCACGTCAGTTTTATTCGCAATCCCTAAACGTGAAACTATTCCCATAACTAAATACGGTGGGAAATATTAATTATATTTTGCTTACTTGCTAGACGAATCTAGACATCAAAAAAATAAGATCTTAAATATACATGTATGTGCCAACGCACACAGGATTTTTTGCTCAGTATCGTGTTTATTATTATGCCGCGACACTGATCAACTATATATTAAACGAGTTCACTCACAGTCCACTGATCTCTGCGTAAGGTATTTATGGGCACGGCATTGTTGGCACATTTACTGACGTCTTTTTGTCACTCGAAATTGAAAAGCGTTTTATAATATTTATCTTCCTCACAATCCGAAATATCTAAGTACGATGCACTCGTTAAATATTTTCTGCATAAATTCTGCACTTTGACTAGTTTTTTAAATAATTCTTTGTCCGAATCATTTAGCAACATTGTACAAAATGAATGCCAGTTTCTGAACACGTGGGTAATGCACGTGTAACTTACGACTTAATTGTTTTCTTAATTTTGTCATATCAGTCGCAGGACCGATATAGGCTAAACCATTGTCTTATAGGGGTGGGGTGGGTGGTCGAATGGTTAGGGATCTTTAGCGGTGGGGGGGGGGAGAACCGGAGGACCCGGAGAAAACCCACGGGGTTATGGACAGGTGACCCTACTCCTTGTCACGTACAACCGGGGATTCGAAACCACGCCAGTTGACTCAATGACAGACCTTATGATACAGCGCGCACGTGCTACCCCCGCCCCCCGGCCCCCTAAAATGGATTACACTTTAAAACATTTAAAATCATTGTAATAAACAGTGTCAAGCGCCGGTGTTTGCAACTGTCAAATTTTCCCAAATTTCCCCTGGTTGGCCTCTCAAAAGATAATTTCGATATTTAGACCTATATTCCCCTACCTTCAAAATCAGGAATCCAGGTGGGCATAATATACTGAAATTTTGGTTATAAAAACACATAAATAAGAATATATTGGACTAGCTACGAGAATGTAACTAAAAACGCTGAGATATACTGATGTGCTTGTTCGAAACACAGAGGGTTGAGAGATAAAGGCTTGTTATCAAATATTGGACCATTTTCAAGCATTTGCCGCCGTCTATAATTTTCAAAATGTATGGCCAATATATATATATACGGGAATTTGTTCGGGCGTTTTTTGGTTTTTTTCTCCTAAACTGCACAGGACCCGTACGGCTATGGTGGGGGAATCATTATCCAAAATAGGGAAGAAGTTTGGTCCTCTTACCCCGAGTAAAAATTATCTGCTATATGTTGTACATTGTCAAATTCATCTGCTATATTTGTATTTTTAGGGTTGAATATTGCAAAAACAATAACTGTTGACCCAAAACCCAAGGGTCACCGTCAAGTTTACAACTATCGCAGATGTTTGGGTGTTGCTACTCATCTAATAATTAATTGCAGATATTGTTATATTAAGATTGCGACCACGGTCTAGTACTATAAAAACCAGTTAAAAATAAATGGACACAGCTCACCAAATATTTCTACGCCGTCGAATGTAGGGCAAAAGTTATTTTTAGTCTTTCTCTCCCTTTCCCTTTTTCCCCCTTTTGCATGGCGATTTTTGTTGACTTTTTGGTGTAGAATCGATACAAGGTTGGTTAGGTTGAAATGTAGGGTCCAAAATTGCATGTTTTTTTGTCTCTACTTCCAGCTTGTGTATCTCAAGTTTTCCATGGTGAACCTCATACGTGCTTTTGGGCAAGAGGTTGCCACATGTTGCTCCATCTGTGGTAGAAAGCGTTCTACCCAACGAAAATTTGGGAAAAAGTTAGAGCCGGTCTAAGAGACGAGAATTAACATTAAAGTCAATGGGCAAATGTTTAGTGATCTGTGGCCAAATGGCACATTTTGTTGTCAGTTTAAATAGAGTTGTCTCTCTTTCTACAAAACGGCAATGACTCTTTGCATAATTTTGTTATCATTTGATCAGCCTTTTTGTCACACTATATATGTTGAATATAATGGATATTAATTTAGAAATTCTAACAGTTTAAATCCCTGTATTTGCAATATTATTGAATAAGGCCCTTTGTTTATCTCTACAAACCAAACGTTAGTTCGGTAGCCAAGGGATTAAAATATAGGCTAAGAGTTTTCAAACTTTGTATTTGAATATGTGGAGGTTTGTAAGAAGATTCATTTAATTTGTAGATGACCGATTATGTATGTTTTAACGGGCCTCCCTAATTTGCTCAATTAAAAGACTAGAAGTTGTTTGGTTTTACACACATTGGGATGATCTCTACACAGTGTTTACAGTCATCAGACGAAGAATCCTATTGATTTTCAACAATTTCCAGTAAGTACTGCCCGAGTTATGGCCCTTGATCACTTTGAAAAAATCTTGTGAACACTCTAGAGGCTAAAGTTGATATCCGATTGACTTCAAATTTATACACGGTGTTTAAGAATTGATTTTCAACGATTTCCAAAAATCAATGCCAGAGTTATGTCCCTTGATCACTGAAAATTCTTGTGGACTCTTTAGAGGCTGAGGTTTATATCTGATCTACTTTAAAGTTATAGTGTTTCAACAGTTTTTGATGATTACTGCCAGAGTTCTGGCTCTTAATTGATCCCTTAATATCTTGTAGTGCTAGATATAGGTCATGAGACAATCGAATCAAATTCTTATTGGGTTGTTACCCAAATGTAAGTGTTGTAAATGTTTTCATTACCGTACTGACAAAAGAAAAAAAAAATATGCGCCAACCCTTTTTGACTGCCCAGAAAACATAGCTGCTGTGGGCATGTTTTGTTGCCTGGCAACCTATCTTTTAACTCTTATCAATTAAATAATCATCCTTTGATGTTGGTGTGCCATTATTTGAATACACATCTTATTTGAAGTTGTTCAATGGTCTTGAGCAAGACATTGTGTAATCTATTGATACAACACTCGGACAAAACTTTCTCGTGCAGTAAAATATTTTATTTAATGTCACACTCTCGACCACTAAACCACACTTAATAACACTATTGCTGCTAAATGACTACAAATTCAAAAATCATTTCAAATATTTTATTTGAATAAATATTTCTGTGACATACACATATGTACAAAACATTATACAATGTACTGGGACTGTTTCTAATATCTTAAAGAAGAAAATGATTGATAGATCTAAGTTCAAACCATAAAGTAGAAGTTCTGCAAAGAAAATTACTCTAAAAGATGGCAATTCTATGATATATAGACAAATGACGAGAATTTGAAAAAAAAAATGACAGACCGTGCAACTTGGAGAAAGAACATTATAACCAAAATTTAGCTTAAGAAATGCATATTTAATCGATACTATAATAATTGGAAACTACCCCCTAAACTGACAGAAATACAGTTTCCTGGAAATATTTTGACTGAATTTACTTACTTTATATTCAAATAATATAATAAATATCACAGATAAAAATTGACAAAAATATACAAATAAAATAGGTTAAATATATCCAAACAAAATTTTTTATCTTAAAAACAATTGATAAAATATGAACTGATACAATTCTGGAATTGAGCGGAACAGTTAATGCTGTTAATACAAAGTGTAATGCTGTTGTTTTTTTTTAACACAATTGTCTTTCTTTTTCACTTTTTATTTAAATTTTATAAATGCACAATTCACTTGTACACTATTGCCTTTTTTCTATAAATATAAGAATGCTGGGTGGCATTAATTCTGGGTGAAAGTGTTTATATTTTAAATAATTTAATTGAGCATGCAGGATTCATATGTTGGAACCATGTATTTGATATTTATGAAGGCATCCTCTCCCCCATGTCTTTCAAAAGCTTCTAATGTTTCTTGAATCAAATCTCCAACATTTTCACGTTTTTGCTGACTATAATCGATTCCATCTCCAGAATTTACTGAAAGAACACAATAAAATAGTTTAAACTCTTTCCCCTCATTCAATATAGCCTGTTACACAATAAAATAGTTTAGTCTAAAATATTTCCCCTCATTCTATCTAGCCAAAAGATATAAATTCAATTAAGGTAATACATTCTACCGACTGACGACCTTAATGTACAAAATACAATATCAAAAGGTAATTAAACAAGAAGTAAATACTTACAATTTTTATTTTTGAATATGTTCATTACAGGTAGAATTTGTCTATAATATGGAACTAGAGCTTCACCAACCATATCTGCTGACACTACCAAATGTTGAAGAACTTTCAATGTAGTGCATAACACTTTATGATTCCTCGTATTCAGTGCGTCTAAGAAATAAATGAACATGATTATATAAGTATATGTGAACTTTCAGGTGTTTGAAAACAGTTGTGATACGGTTTAGCATGATTGAATTGATTGTTCAGTAAAATCTGAACTTACAGGTGTTTGAAAACAGTTGTGATACAGTTTAGCATGATTGAATTGATTGTTCAGTAAAATCTAAAGTGTTCACTAACAAACGTCTAACAATAATATTGTAGAGAATTTGACCAATGTGTAGCGTTGGCGTGAAACTCTTCAACAAAAGAGCATTATTTTCTATTTAATATCCATGATCAAATGATGGAAAAACTAAAATACATAACAATATAACTTACTTTTGATTGGGATAATGAGCTGTGGGATGACTGGTAGAATCTTGGAACCCCCATGTTCTAACATATCATGTACACCTTGCCGAGCAAAAAATTCATAGGGATGGACTGTTTCACATAAACCATCAAAGAAAAGAGGAAGATAATGATGATAGTCAAGCTTTTCAATTTCAACCTGAAAAATAAAATTTCCCATTTAATAATATGACAAATTTTGAAAACAACTGATATTCTTTATGAGTTGATTAAATGCCACATCCTCATTTTGATGGAAGTTAAGTATTCGCTAATGACTGTCAGTAACTTTTAAAAATTGCTTAGCACATTGAAATTGACATGATGCCCACTTATCTATTCATTCTCACCTTCCATGCAATTTTATTTCCTTTTGTGTCGTGTTCTAATGCAATTGGGAAATCACCACGTTCATAAAACTTTCGGAAATTTGTTGGTTTGGTTGGCCTTTCTCTGAATGCACCAGCTGCTTTTGGACCAGGGACCTGTAATAAAAGAAGTAATGTTACTGTTAGATTTATTTGTCTTGTTTTAACAATGGAATGGCTGTTCTCCGTCAGATCCATAGGAATAGGACCATGTCCATGGGTGTTATCCAATGCCCTAAAATATTGGCTGACACCCAAATAACACTATAAGGTAGATCTGCTTGATCAATTATGATTGCATCAGGGCTTATGACTATCGACTATATTATAAAAATAGCCATGTTAGGCCTACTTAGCGGACAATAATTGTGTTATTAATTTATTGACAATTTCAGAACATCCAAAGATCAAATTAATTCCATTTACATTAATAACGTCGACGTAGAATCAATCTGAAGACGTTGGGAAATGAGGTTTGGTAGGATCAGCCTATATAATTTTAGTATAAATAAAGACAAACAATTCTTACCAATTCTTGGCGTTTTTCATACGTGTTGCACAACAGCGAAAATGGAATTTGCTCTGTGTTTGATTTCTGTTTTGGTTTACAAATCCCAGTGGTAACGGGTTGGAGTCCTTTCATCATTTTTTTAAAGTTTACTGTTCTTTTCTCCGATGGTTTACAATGCACTGTGTCAAGCTAGATGCCTTACTGTGGCTCTAATTGAACGGAGGGAGTTTTTCTATGATTTTCCACAGCAAACATGGAGTACTCATAAACAAGTATCCAAGCAACGATAAACAAAAATGCCCGGATGAACACATTTTCGCGTCATCGTATCCATAACTACATTTCCGCTTCCGCTAGTAAATCTCCCCACAATGCAATTTACCATCATGGAGGACTTTGCCGGAAGTTAAATGTGAAAACTTTTCTAGTATCTGAAAAATGTCTTTGAGACATTTAAAGCAGCTCTCGAAGTCACTCATTCTTACACATATTGGCCCAAAACCGTTAGCAACACCAAAAAGGAGTAACATTGTCCTAAACATCGGACAAAATCTTTCTTATCCCAGTATGTATTTTAGTGTTAATTATGTAACAGCCTAAACAGGCATTGCGAAGCTGATGACACTGACGAGATAGGCGGGGGGGGGGTTGGATGGCTGAATGGTTAGCGTGCGCGCGCTGTATCATAAAGTCTGTAATTGAGTCGACTGGCGTGGTTTCGAATCCCCGGTTGTACGTGGCAAGGAGTTGGGTCGCCTGTCCAACCTCGTGGGTTTTCTCCGGGTCCCCGGTTTCCTCCCACTACTAAAGACCCCTACGCGCAAGCAAATTATGTAAATAAAATTAAACCAAATGTTAGTCCCGAAATGACCTAGTTTGTGTCGACTGGACGTTAAACCCCATTTCTCTCTCTCTCTCTGACGATAGGCTAATTACTTTAGGCCTATAGTTCCTTTGCCTTTAGGAACTGTCTCTGATCGGACGATGTCCGCTGACAGTTCCTATCGCTTTCTAGAAATGGTTTCACTACTGATGTCTTACGTCTTACTCCAGCCACAGTAGTGGACCGTCCTAAGGCCTTCCTTTGCGCAAGTTTTATAGTCATTTGACTCAAAATAGTTACTCACTTACTGGCCTATGGCTATATAACTCCCTTAATTTCCAATTACACCCACCCCAAACTGTACTGTACATAGCTTAACATATAATAAACCAATTCTCATTGAAATAAAGGTGAAACCTTACCGCATAATTATATGATCTGATTTAACCCAACTGCTATGCGAAATTTTGTTCAGTTAAAATAACTGCCGTACCAGAATCAAGTGAAATTATATCACTCGAAAATACCGAAAAACTGTTCGGTATGATAAAATTAAGATTTCTGTGTTCCACTCTTCACTTTTTGTAACATAATCACTTATTTCCATGCAAACTATGATGATATGTGTTGAAAAATTTGCAACTGAACCTAATTTTACTTGCGTAAATAGTCGAATAGTGTATCAATTGCAGCCGTAGATAAGAATTATCTCGGCTAAAAATTGCATCTATCTATATAGCTGCAATATGAAAATATGGTAAAATACCGCTCTTCAAGTAGAATTTAGCGATTAAATAAATATGCGGTGTTCCCATGTTCGAGTCTCCTAATGGCTGATCAGGTCATACATATTTTCTGTATGTTTTTAATCGTAAAATTCTGCTTGGCAAACAAAAAAGAATCAGGGCGAAAAATAGTCGGTAATGATTCCAAAATAGCCTTAATTAAACCAAAGGTGGGGATGAGTGGTATTTTCATATTGCAGCTATGTAGAAAGCAATAGGAACTGTCAGCGGACATCTTCCGATCAGAGACAGTTCCTAAAGGATTGTTAAATATTAAACCTTCATAATTAAGTTGCTCAAGTGATACAAATAATGTTAAATGATTTCGTTTTTCCGAATTGATTTAAATTTAGATCTAAACTGTATGATTAATTTCATTGACGTCAAATATATGTGACATCATTGATTAGACGTGTCATGCGCCTGGACAGTTTATCACAGTGTATCTGGTTCTCGTCTGAATTTTTTTTTTTTAATCAACAGTCTGTGGGTGACAGTTTTACTTATTCTCCTGTATTACGGTACTGTAAAAGAGCTTTGCTCAAGCACTGCTAAAGACACCTAAGCGCAAGCAAATTATTGAAATGAAATTAAACCATACATGTTAGTCCCGAAATGACCTACATGTAGTTTGTGTCGAGTGGAAGTTAAACCCCATTTTTCTCTCACATCAGTAGCTAATATGTAAAAGGCATTGCCTTAGCAGAGTGAAGCTGATGTGATTGTTATCAAATGTTAAATAACTTTGTTTTTGTCCCCCGCCTTTCGAAGAAAGCAGGGGACTATTAAAATGGGTTCGTCTGTCTGTCCGTCCGTCCGTCCGTCCGTCCGTCCGTCCGTCCGTCTGTCTGTCTGTCTGTCTGTCTGTCTGTCTGTCTGTCCGTCTGTCTGTCCGTCACACTTTTTGGGACACAATAACTCTCTTCCTAATTGAGCTAGAATGTTCAAACTTGGTGTATGTGTTTATTAGGTCAATGCCTTGATGGAGTTCGAAGATGAGCATTTTCCGCTTAGGGTAAGCAGAGATAAGCAATTTGATTGGTTGATGCTTTGGGACACGATAACTCTCTTCCTAATTGGGCTAGAATGTTCAAACTTGGTGTATGTGTTGATTAGGTCAATGCCTTGATGGAGTTCGAAGATGAGCATTTTCCGCTTAGGGTAAGCAGAGATAAGCAATTTGATTGGTTGATGCTTTGGGACACGATAACTTTTAATTGAGCTAGAATGTTCAAACTTGGTGTATGTGTTTATTAGGTCAATGCCTTGATGGAGTTCGAAGATGAGCATTTTCCGCTTAGGGTAAGCAGAGATAAGCAATTTGATTGGTTGATACTTTGGGGCACGATAACTCTCTTCCTAATTGAGCTAGAATGTTCAAACTTGGTGTATGTGTTGATTAGGTCAATGCCTTGATGGAGTTCGAAGATGAGCATTTTCCGCTTAGGGTAAGCAGAGATAAGCAATTTGATTGGTTGATGCTTTGGGACACGATAACTTTAGTTCTAATTAAGTGAGATTGATGAAACTTGGTGTATAGTTTCATTACAGTAATACCTTGACTAAGTTTGATAATGAGCATTTTCTGCTCAGGGTAAGCAGAGCGATACGCAATTTGATTTTTATATGTGTCCTCTAATTATTTTCCTATGTCGGCGGGGACATCAGCCTCACTGTTGGCTTGTTCCAAATTGATTTTAATCTATATCTAAATTGTATGATTAATTTTGTTTTCAAAAAAAAAAAAAGAACAAAAACGTGTGAGAATTTTTTCATTGACATCAAAAATATGTGACGTCTTTGATTTAGACGCATCATAGAAATATTTCTATGAGACACATAATCTCGTTTGAGCGAGATTAGGTAAGCTGACATGCGCATTGCCAGTTTCGCCAGTGTATCCGGTTCCGTTCTGAATTTTTTTCAAGCCAACAGTCTGTGAGTGACAGTTTTAGTTTGCTCAAGCAAATACCACATGTCAGGGTGGAGCACGAACATACCCGTATACGTACACACAGACATCTTTTGATTTTATTTATTTTGATTAAAGATCTCAACAAGTGTGACATCTCCCACCAGCCATTTTGTTTTTGTGAGTACAAAAGTATGTAGAATTGATAACTTTGGCCATGGGAGCTTTTCAAAGAAAGGAGAAGTGGTATAATGTGTTCTAGAAAAAAATAAGCCATCAATAAAAAGATACTATTTCTTAGAAGTCGAAAACTGTCAATACACAGTCATGTTTGATTATTTATAAGTAAATATGACATAAATTGTTAATCTTATTATTTAGTTGCAGTGTTAATACCTTCATTACCTTAGGTCCTTATTATAAGTTTAGAGGTTTCTACATACTAGTAATTACATTAGTAAAAACATGTTAAGCTTACATGAAAAACATCATGGCATTATTATCCCCAGATTAATCCCTATAAAAAAAACTGGGCCACAATTTATATTAAATATAGATTAACCCTTTCCGATGAGGTCAATGCTAAGATCCATTTATGAAAAAATAGGTCAAAGATATTTATGTACATGTACATGACAAAGGAAGAAATAAAATATCTTTTCATTTTTAACACAAAATTCCAATTTACAAAATGATTTTCTTTTTTAGATACACCATGTCTCATACCAAACAGAACTAAATCAACAACAGGTGGATCATCTGTTAAAAGAAAGCCACTAAGTTTTGATTATTCAGGTATATTTTAGAAACTTTTTTAAAGAGTTTATTTACATGTATGTCCAAAAATGACCTACTGATAGATGAGAAGATCTTGAAGAGGAGCCACATTTAAAGAGACATAAAGAACTTACTATAAAAAAATAAAGGGAATTAATTAAATTTCATATATCATATTCAAAATAACCTTTGACCTGGCTAATTACTGAACCAGAAACTAATCATTACATGTGAAGAGGAAAACAGTTAACATCAGAAACTTGTACATATAAACAGTAACCAGGCTAGACATTGTATGTAAACAGCTAATATCAGAAGCTAGACATTACATTATGCTATTGTAAACATCTAACATCAAAATATACATTATGTTATCGTAAATATCTAAGATAAATTACATGCCAAAAACTAACCTTGAATGCTAGACATTGCATGTAAACAGCTAACATCAGAAGCTAGACATTACATGCAGACAACTATTACTCTACATTACATTATGTTATTGTAAACAGATAACATCAGAAAGTAGACATTATAAATTAAAGTGAATTGAAGATGAAATACTTGAATGTTTTGATGTATATTTTGTAGGTGATTTAGTTACAAGATCTTCTCTACAAGAATCTGATACATTAAATATATTCAAAGATGTCACTGAATTAGAAAAGTATGTAGACATTTAATGAATTCAGTATTATGAAATGCAATTGAATGGGGTTTAATGTCCTACTTTTCTGCACCTACATGTACTGGGTTAATAAGGACGTGCATATGCCATACAGTGTGCTATGAGTGAAATTTTGCCTGGACAGCGGCACTGCGGCCTACTCTTATATCGAATTCCAACTGTCAAGGGTTATTTTACTTGCACTCCAGTTGCCAATGTGTACACAGGACCTCAGTATTTCATCCTATCCAAATGACTAGACACTGTCCATACCAGGCCCTTTGTCCTGCACCACAGACAAGGGTAAACTATGCCGCAATATCCTGAGGAACTTTCTCGGCCAACAACGGAAACAAACAAGAGACCTCCTGGATAGCGAGCCAGTGTCTTACTCACTGAACCACTACTTCAGTATTAGGATTCTGAAAGTGGAATTGTATTTTAATAGTCAAAGTAAAATATTGCAAGGTTTGTCATCAATGCAAGTCCCATGCCTGTAGGGTTGCCAGATATCTCTCGGTTTCTTTTGAAAAAAATATACCATATCTAAACCTTGAAATAAACCCCATTTCCAATGATTGTATCGATTGTAAACGAAAAACAAAGAAAGTTGAGGTTGGTTTTATGAAAAGCATGCATAAAAATGAAATAAAGTATGGAAGACTTTCTCATTGAAATTCTTTGTAGAACAAATATTCTTTTAATCTAGGAGGTTATTAGCAATAATGTGAAATGTCAAATGATAGATCTGAGAGTTGGATACTTTAAACAAAAAATTAAAATAATATTGTGTTTTGTATTATTTTTTTTTCCAGTGCTCCTGAAAATGTGAAGAGAATATGTAGTATAGAAATGGCATCAGGGGTAAATATACTAGAATACTTAGTGTTTGGTTTAGAATACTAATTAGTAACACTATCTGTACAATGTAACTATTAAAGACTTGCAAATCTGCATCCATATATCAGAAATTATTGAAACTTTTAGTTGTGAATGAGAAGACAGCAGTTAGCAGATTATGCATAGGGGTCAAAGCAGGGATCTCGTTTCAATCATGTTTGACAGTCAGGACTGAGTGGTATTGAAATTGACCAGGTGGAGAACCGACCTGTTAGTCAATTTACATGCTATAAATTTTGAATTTCAAAGAATTTAGTCTTAAAACAGAATAAATACAGTTAAATTCATAGTTTTAATGAGTAGAAACAATTAAAAATTCACATTAAAACATTGGGATATGACTATAAATTTGTCACATTCTGTGGAAAAAATATCCTGCTAATCTGAGGGATACACCAAAAATGGATTGGTTTGTAAAAATTTTAATTGCTCATATTGAAATATGAAAGGCTTGTTTGTCTAAAGCATTACAAGATTCTGCAGTGATAAAGGGCAAAAGATTCTGGAATACTATTCTACAATTACTGTTTATTACTGGGAATCTGATTTCCTTGATAAAGACTACAGGATCCTAGTTAAATAAACATTGATTGTGTTCTGGGTATATCTTCTGTAGTTATACTGTTGAAACTTATACATGTACTTTTCTTGTAGGCAGAAATTAAAAAACATCGCATAGAAGAAATGTCTAACAGATTAGAACAGTTATTTGGTAAAGATTGTCATAGGGAACAAATGAGTATGTTTTTTTATTTATTAAATTTACATTTAAATTCATTAAATACACATCATATTCATAAATATGAACAATAGTTTATTTTTTTTTATAAACATTATTTTATTTAATTTCAGGATTGGGAAACGGGCAAAGCCTATATAATCCCTCTCCCCAAAATTTTAAGATGTAAAGAAATAAGACAAAAGAAATATGTACAATATTTACAATATAACACATAAATATAACTACATTCAATCAATCAATTGCAGTTGCATTCAAAGTGGGCTAATAATAATAGAGCCTTCGCAAGGTTCTTTAAAGCAAAACAAGGGCCATAACTCTAGCAGTAATTAACAGAAATGGTTGAAATGAAATCAGATTCTCTATCTTACCAATGTAACCAACATATACTGAGCGCCATGGAAAACGCATCACTTTTTTTCCCAAATATTTTATTACTAGGTGGTTTTGTTTGTATAATATTATGCAATACTATGAACTATTGTTTCACACAATGCTCCCAAACGCAAAAAATATCAGCCCGTGTGCACACAAAAAAATTGCACAAGATTCACATGAAAAACCCAATATTCATGTGCGCATTGTGTGTGAGCCCTTTAAAAGCATATTTCAACTTAATGTGCAGTATATGAACTGTAAAACATCAATCTGTCGTAATTTGTTGTTGGACGTGTGAAGGAATCGAGCTAGAGATGCCGAGACTTACTGAAAATCAACGGAATGAAGCCATGGGAATGTCCAGGGCTGGCATGTCTACACGTGCTATTGCCAGACACTTCAATTGTCATCAGTCCACTATTGTAAGGTTGTTGGAACGTGTTTGAGTTACTGGATCAACACGTGACCGTCAACGTCCTGGTCCACAGGGCGTTACAACCCAGACTCAAGACCGCTACATCCGGGTCACTCATCTGCGTGACAGATTCCGCCCAGCGACTCGAACAGATGCAGCAGTCGTCGGAAGACAAGGACCAGTAAGTGCCAACACCGTAAGACGTCGTCTAAGAGAAGTAGGACTATGTGCACGACGACCTTATGTTGGAGCTATCCTCAGGGATCATAACCGTCAGCGGTGTTTGATATGGGCTCAAGGACACCAGACATGGAGAAGAGTAGACTGGCAAAGTTCTCACTGTGCTCTTCAGTGATGAGAGTCGCTTTCATCTTTATCACGCTGATGGCCGTCAACGTGTGTGGAGACGTCTTAGGGAACGTCTTGCCGACTGCTGCGTCTTCGAAACTAATCAATGGGGTGGGGAAAGTGTAATGGGTTGGGAATGCTTCACATTTCATCACCGGACCACCCTACACTTTTGCAAGGGTCGTGTTAATGCTGTAGCCTACCGTGATGATGTCTTGCAACCAGTTGTTGTTCCGATGTTTCGAGCGCACCACAACTTCAGCACTTCCAACAGGATAATGCATGTCCGCATACCGCCCGTTTTAGTATGAACTACCTGGCTGCTAACAACATCAGAACATGTCTGTGATGAGATTGGACGCCGTCTGTATCGTGACCACAGATGCACACCATTGGTGCTTTAGAAGCTGCTCTTGTCCAAGAATGGAACAATTTGCCCCAGGCCTTCTATCAAACATTGGTAAATTCCATGCGACGTCGCTGCACAGAGTGCGTAAGAGCCTGTGGAGGACACACACGCTACTGACATCTGTGTCATACTTTTGGTTTTGACCCCTCTGACTTTGTACCGTTGATTACAGATTAAACACCCATAAGTGTACAAATGTGTTGTTATTGATGTGTTCCCATTTGAATATTGTTCACAATAAGAAGCAAAATAAATAAGATATGTTTACAGGATCATTTTGTTATACGAAAAACTAAGTGATGCGTTTTCCATGGTGCTCAGTATATATATACTGTGAATATATAGAGAATCTCGGACTCATCTTTTTTGATATCAAAAAATATCAACACTCGTCAAGTTTTTTTTTACTTTATCGACTTGTGTTGATATTTTTTGATATAAAAAAAGACGAGTAGGAGATTTTATTTATCACCCAATCCTTTCTTACATGCACAAATAAATGAATATAATTCTTTGCTCTAGATTCACTTTTACTGAATCTGATTACATTACCGCGTAGTGATACATCATTTTTTGACAGCAATTCCACCATTGCAAAGATCTTTGAATTGACCAGTGTTTCCATATATTCAACTTTAATTTTTTTTTAGTTGGTAAATTAACTGTTGAAATAAGAAGTTTAATATCACATTGTCTTCAGTTCAGATCGGTCAGTATATTTCATTACTTGTCATATGTTTTAATAAATGCTATACCGGGTATTTCTTTATAAATACGAAAGAGTAAAAGCAGACTTACACTATCTGTTCAGAGTTTGCAAGAAAGACATAATTTGTATTTGTCTTAAATCTCCAGTAATATGTAAATGAAACATTGTTGCGTTACTCTTATTTGATATGATCTTTAAATATGTATGATCAGTGTTCCAACGATAAATGTTCATATGAACTACATGTAATTAACACAATGAGAGCACATATTGATACTGAAGAAATATTGCATTCTACACCATAGCAAAACTATTGAGTTTGAATGTTCCCTTCCAATGTGAATGAGAAAGATGCTCATCTGGCCCCATCTATCATAGCTAAAGAGTCTAGAATTGTTGAACAGTCAACCAGTATATTGAATTAAATTGCTCAATGGAACCAAAATGATTATATATTGTTTGGCCAAGCATAAGATCTAACAAAGTTTGTTCGATTGACCTGCTTTTACCCCTTATTTAGCCAATGAAAACATTTTTTTGAGGTGGGGGGGCAATAATTTCTTATTTTATTGTGTTGAACTACCTTAGTGAGTTGATGCAAGATGCACTCATTAATTAAACTATTTTTTAGGACAAGCGAAGCAAGTCCATTTTGGTTGAAAAAATACAAAAGAGAAAGAAGTATATGAAATTTTTACGTCGAGAAGATTATGAGAGATTTGAATGGTTGTTAGATGAATTGAAAATTAAATATATACCCCCTCCAGCTTATTATAAATTTGTAAGCAAGAGACAGAAGCGAAAAATTGAAGTTAAGGATGCAGCATATACTGTTCGACAAAGTAAGATTGATGCTTTGAAGAAAAAACTAGAAGCAGAAAAGGAAGCATTTATGCAAGAAAAAGAGGAAATTTTAGCAGAAATTCAAAAGGAAGCAGAAAAATATAAACTTGATCCAGAAATTTTCAAACAATCTTTAATTAGAGAACGTGAAAAAAGTAAACGGTATGTTCTGGCCAAAGATCTCTGGACTGCAGACGAAGAATATAACTAGTTTAAAGACTTTATATTGAATAGTGCTAGACAGTGTAGACTTTGATAGTTGCTTGATTTTTGTGAAGTACATTAAAAGCTTTTTATAACATAATTATTTTGATTGATGTTTTGAATAGATGCTTCAACATTTTGTTGGTAAATATATTAACAGAAGACGTGTCTGCTTTCTGCTGCCCTACATTCCGAGTGAATTTTTATACGCCCACATTTTCAAGTCGGGATGTTTTGGTTATTGGTAGTTCCATCAAAATTGCATAAAAATTGCGACCTCTAGAGTGTCCACAACCTTGGTATCATTATGCACATATTTTTCAAGTTCAGTGTCACAGGAAACCACCAACGACTGTGTTTGCATGGTAAAGGAGTTAGAAAGGAAATAAAATTTCACTTCATGGCTGAGTAATTTTATTAGCCAGAAATCGCTCAGACTATCTGGACCCTCGGCGGCCCCAGGACGCTTGGCTAAAGTTCTAGGATGGTAGCCCCCCCCCCCCCCCCATTTAAGAATTGTTTCCGACGGCCCTGCAATTAACTGTTGACTTTGTCTTTACTGTCTTCAATGGTGTTTTGAAGCAAAGTCCATTGACTTATGAGGGATTTCCAAAGGAACTGAATTGATAATTTTAATTACAGTTTTATAGGACACACGTGAATTGTATCAGGGTATATCCTTTAAGAAGATAGGTTGCCCGACAACAAAACATATGCCCACAGCAGCTAAATCGTCCGAGCAGTCGACAAGGGTTGTCACATATTTATTCTTTTGTAGGTAATTAGGGGAATTTAATAGACAATTTCATACAGATGACATTATAATTTTTGTTGTTTGAAGGTTCACAAGGTTCTAAAAACTAAAACAAAGGCCGTAACTCTGGAAGCAATCTACAGAAATTGTTCAAATTAGACAGGCTTTTTTCATTTTACTAATTCAAATAATGCATATAAATTTCATACAGATCGGATGATAACTTTTGTTGTTTGAAAGTTCACAAAGTTCAACAAAGTAAATCAAGGGCCATAACTCTAGACGTAATTGACAGAAATTGCTGACATTCAATGGGCTTGTTCGTCTTCATTTCACTAATTTAGGTGAAAACTGAAACTCAATAGGATTGTTTGTTTTACTAAATTAAATGATACATATAAATTTCATACAGATCGGATAATAACTTTTGTCGTTAGAGCATTTACAAGGTACAACAAAGTGAAACAAGGGCCATAACTCACGGCATAATTAACGGAAATTGCTGATATTCAATAGTCAATAGGCTTCTTCATTTCACTTATTTAAATGATGCATATCAATTTCTAACAGATCTGCAGGACGGAGGGGCTGACGAGGACAGCTGTCTAGTCGTTCGGTTGTACGAAAAACCGAGGTCCCGTGTACACATTGGCGTGCACGTTAAAGATCCCTTGACAGTTAGAATTCGATATAAGAGTAGGCCGTAGTGCCGCTGTCCGGGCAAAATTTCCCTCATAACACACTGTATGGCGTATGCCCGTCTTCATTAGCCCAGTTCGGAGCAAAACAGTAGGACATTAAACCCCATTTCATTTCATTTCATTTCATTTCATTTCTAACAGATCGGATGATAACTGTTGTCATTAGAGCGTTCACAACATTCAACAAAGTGAAACAAGGGCCATAACTCTAGATGTAATTAACGGAAATTGCTGAAATTCAATAGGCTTCTTTGTTTTACTAATTTAAATGATGCATATAAATTTCATACAGACCGGTTGATAACTTTTGTCGTTAGGGTGTTCACAAGGTGCAACAAAGTGAAACAAGGGCCATAACTCCAGAAGAAATTAACGGAAATTGCTGAAATTCAATAGGATTCTTCATTTCACTAATTTAATTGATGCATATCAATTTCAAACAGATCGTATGATAACTGTTGTCATTAGAGCGTTCACAAGATTCAACAAAGTGAAACAAGGGCCATAACTCTAGATGTAATTAACGGAAATTGCTGAAATTCAATAGGCTTCTTTGCTTTACTAATTTAAATGATGCATATAAATTTCATACAGATCGGTTGATAACTTTTGTCGTTAGGGTGTTCACAAGGTGCAAAAAAGTGAAACAAGAGCCATAACTCCAGAAGAAATTAACGGAAATTGCTGAAATTCAATAGGCTTCTTCATTTCACTAATTTAAATGATGCATATCAATTTCATACAGATCGGTTGATAACTTTTGTCATTAGAGCGTTCACAAGATTCAACAAAGTGAAACGAGGGCCATAACTCTAGATGTAATTAAAGGAAATTGCTGAAATTTAAAAGGCTTCTTTGTTTTACTAATTTAAATGATGCATATAAATTTCATACAGATCGGTTGATAACTTTTGTCGTTAGAGCGTTCACAAGGTGCAACACAGTGAAACAAGGGCCATAACTCCAGAAGAAATTAACGAAAGTTATTGAAATTAAATAGGCTTCTTCATCTCACTAATGCAAACAACATATATCAATTTCAAAACAATCGGTTGATAAATGTAGTCTGTAGAGTGTTCACAAGAAATTGTGGACCACGGACAGGGCGACGGCAATATACATGTAGCCGTATAAAAAGTGATGAGCTTCAGGCATCTTACAATTCCACTTAAAGTGTTCATTTCCAATACTGTCAATTCTTACACTTAAAACCTGTTTAAAGTTCATATTAATGTTTAAAGCTCATATAAAGTGAAACAAGAGCAAATTGTAGAAGAAATTAACAGAAATAGTTGAAATTTGATAGGCTTCTTCCTCTTAACTAATTGAAAGAATGCATACAAATGAAATACAGATTGGATGATAACTTTTGTCGTTTGAGGTTCTACAAAGTGAAAGAAGGGCCATAACTGAAAACTAAATTAACTGAAATTGTTGAAATTTGATATGTTTCTCCTCTTAACTAAGGTTAATAAGGCACATAAATTTCAGGCAGATCAGATAAAAACTTTTGTTGTTGCTTTTCACAAGTCTCTGCAAGAGCCATAACTCTAGAAGAAATCAACAAAAATTGTCGAAAATCATTATGCTTCCTTGTTTTACTAATTTAAATTATGCATATATATATATATATATGTTGTACTGATTTGAATTATGTGTATATTTAATACAGATCGGATGATAACTTTAAGAGTGGGTTTTTTTTTCTATAAACATTATTTTATTTAATTTCAGGATTGGGAGAAACGGGCAAAGCCTATATAATCCCTCTCCCCAAAATTTTAACATGTAAAGAAATAAGACAAAAGAAATATGTACACTATTTACAATATAACACATAAATATAACTACATTCAATCAATCAATTGCAGTTGCATACAAAGTGGGCTAATAATAATAGAGCCTTCGCAAGGTTCTTTAAAGCAAAACAAGGGCCATAACTCTAGCAGTAATTAACAGAAATGGTTGAAATGAAATCAGATTCTTTATCTTACCAATGTAACCAACATATATAAATATCCAAATGCTCGGATGGTAAATGTAGTCTGTTGAGTGTGCACAAGACAACATAACAACAATAGTATATGACATTTCTCGGTGTTGCAAGCAGTTCACTCATTCAACCCAGCTGCCGTTTGATGTTGATTGTTGTCTTCATGCTTATTAAACAGTTAACCTCAGATTTAAGGGAACTGAACAGATTGTTTCCCCATAGATGTATCACTATAGGCCTAGGACTGTACAGCTATGATATGCAATGTCTGAGATTTTAGGTGTCTTGTCCTGTGGGTATGTGGTGTGGTCCTCCTACACTTACTATTAAAGATACATTATGGGAGATAAGATAAAGAGATGGCAGTTCTCGCAATAATAGTTAAAAACTAGATAGTGTAAAGGTAATTTGCTGAAAATTTCAGTCAAATTGATCCACTATGAGCCGAGAAAGAAGCGGGTGAAATTTTTGCAGTCTAGGTCATCATTACTAAAATCATTAATATAAACAGCATAGTCTCGATTATCCACTTTTTCTGATTTAATTATCAACGGCTGTTGGCGGCATATAGGAATCTAATCCAGCCAACATCGAAGGCTAGCCTTGACATCGAGAGTTTATTATGGTCTGGATAAGTTAATTAATGTCTAATTGATAATTTAGATAACATTTCAGGCCTAAAGAAAGACTTGTAATAAGCAGATTTTGCTCTTGCATAATGCATGTTTAAAGCCTGCTATTTGAAAATCTTGGTGCAGTTTCTTAATGAAATGGGGTTTAACATCCTACTTTTCTGCACAGACTGAACTAATGAAGATGGGCATTCGCCATCCAATATGCTATTGGGGAAAATTTGGCCCATACAGCGGCTCTACCGCCTACTCTTCTTATACCTCTAGGCCAATGTATACACAGCTCCCTGTTCATTTAACACATTAGTGATTAATGGCAAGACAAAGTCCAATATGTACAAATTAGAACATCTTAAATATTATGTTAATAATGATTTATTTCCATTAGAAAAGATCACCACCAGACAATATAGCCACTCATCCCTGGTGAAGCAAACAATCACTACATTCATAGTCCAAGCTTTTCAAATTATAAATGTCAAAAACATATCAAAATTTTGGCACAAAAAAGCTTATACCATCGATAATAATAATAATAAACAAATTATGAATATAATAATAAACTGTTATGTACAAATCTAACCCAAATATACAGAAAAGCCCTCAAACCTCATCATTTATTATCATACTACATAATACCAGCTGTATTATACTAACTTATATGAAATATACAAGTACATGTATACAAAATAATACATAATATCTCCTCTATACATTCTTATAAACTGACTAACAATCATGGCTTACTATTACATAACATTGCTACACAATATTTAGCTTCACAGATACAATGAATAAAGAAGAAAATAACCTTTTATTTCATTAAATGCTGATATGTTTTCTTTTGTTGGCTGTTTTTGTACGAAAAATGATATAAATGTCTCAAGGTAATTTTTCCTCCAAAAAAATGTTTTTTTATTTTTTTTCATCATTTTTTATTTTTTTCAAAACAAAACAATTTAAACTTATAATTTAGTTTAATGAATTCACTATCCACAAATTTCTGTTAATTTACATGTCTTTGACACCAATAATTTATATACAAAAACTAAACAAAAACAATATTCAAACAAAGAAAACATTAAAAACTCAAAATGGAAACAAATAATTCATATATATAATTGATAACTATGTTGTATTTACAAACATTGAGAATAATAACAAAAATGCCTATGACCCATCAAACAGAGGAATATGTGACAAAGAATGAGGACCTGTGTTACCAATAATGTTTCATATTAACAGAATTAGCCGCCACAGCTCATTCTAACCGAATCATTTTCATGTGCATAGGTCACATCTTTGAATGTGTGCTGTACACAGATAAAACAATTTACTTGCTGTCAATCTTTTCACAAATTGTTTACTGATGATTTATCAAATTTGTTTTACATACACATTTATTCCTAATCAAATTATGAAATTAGTAAAATTTCTTGAAGTTTAAAGATTAGATGGGTCATATAATAGATTCTACAGACATACATATGTAAAGCACCCTGTTACAACATCTATTTATACAAATTGTCATTTAATATATCAAATTCTGCATTGATCAGTGAGTTTTCATACAGCTAGTTATTATATTATGATTACTATACTGTCCATATTAAAATCTTTCAAATCAGAGATATTATTTTTCTTTTTTAAGCTTATATTAGTTATCATGAGATCTTTGTTTTGGCACAATATATGAAATGTACAGAGAAGATTAAGAGGAGAGTTTTATGCTTTCTAACAAATAGCTTGATGAATTATTAAATTAAAAATAAAGTTGTTTTAATTCTTTTTATCAATGAAAAAAAAAATATTATGTACTAACAAAATGGTTAACCCGTAGTTTAAATCAGTGAGGATTGCACCTGGTTATAAAAATTAAGAGGTAAAAAGGAATTAATATATATTTTTTCTAGTGTTACATTAGGTTTTCAAAATAATTACCGGGTCTATGTTTGTTAAAACTAAACTAAAAATGAAAGATCAATTACATGTATACATCAAATCCGCCCATGAGGTATTCCTTCATTGTTAAAGAATGTAAAAGTTCCCAATTGTATATTTACAATCTCAGAACTTTCAATCATGAAAATTGTACAATGGGTGAGGTCAAATGTAGTGTTAGAGTTAATAGTTATGACGTAATGTAACACTAGAGTAACGATGTTCCTAACTTTCGACCTCAAATAAAGTGTTAAGCCAAAAAGGGAGATAACTACAGTTTTAATATCATTCAACTGTGGATAAAATTACAAGATAGAGTCTCCAGACAACACTAGTGTTACCTGAAACAAATTCAAACATGGCTTCCGTTTATCTTGCTCCGAAAAGTTCTTGGCTCATTTCTAAAGAATTGACCACAACAAATATCAGATTTTGTGTGTTTCGTATAAATATTGAAGGACTTTTAATATTGAATAATGATAGTTGACGAAAAAATAACATTTTATGAAAATTAGGTAACATTATACATCTATTTTTGACCTCGATAACCTAGAGGATAGAGGTAGTGTGCTATTGATGCCCATGTTAAATAAATAGGAAAACTTCCATGAGCTGAGATTAGGGAAACACTAGAGTGACTCTAGTGTTGGATCCACTACAGTTGAGTAATTAAAAGCCAAGATAATGTTACAAATTTGGTTGAGGTCAAAAAAGTGAGTCAGTGTTAAGTTTAAAAGTAAAAATTAAAGGTGCATTATGGAAGATTAGATAAAGAGCTGTCAGTTCTCACTTTAATAGTTACAAACTAGATAATTTAAAAGGAATATGCTGAAAATTTCAGTCAAATTGCTCCACTCTGAACCGAGATATTAGCGATTGAATTTTAGGCCTAGCCTCGATCATCATTGCTAAAGTCAGTAGGATAAAAAACATAGTCTTGATTATCCATTGTTGGATTTAATCATCGATGAGTGTTGAGCAGCAGATCAGATTCAAGACCTGCAAAAGGCAGATTTATCTCTTGCATAATGTATGTTTAAATAAAAAAAATAAAGTTTTAACTGCTCGTCTCAGAATCAGATTCATTTTATAATTCTCCAGTAATAATGTACTTAGAGGTAGATAGAACAAACCAATTATAGGAAATGACCACGAGTCTCAAATTTAAAATTTAATATATTTTCCAAAGTGTAAACTTTTTTCTAACCTTAACATCAATTTAAGGGGCTCAGCTTAACTCTTTTACTGACACAAACTCTAGCACTAACTTTTTGTTCTGACCTCACCCAATATATGAAAATACAATTAACTATTGTTTATACATGTAGTTTGAATGTACACCGCTGTTTACAACAAGTCTTTTTTTATACCAAACAGATCAACTCAAGTCAATAAGGTGAAAACAATGGAGAATTTTTACTTGATCCGAATGTCAATATATTTGATATATCTAAAAGATATGTATGAGATTTTATCTATCACCTTAAATCATTTTAAAATGAATAGAAACAGAAATCAAAAAGATGAAGTCTAGGAGATATGGTTGTATATATTATTAAATGCAAAACAGTCAATATCACCTATGAAATTTATTATTAGGAGATACTTCATTATATGATTAATAATAAATTCTACTAATAGCTACACATATAAATGCTACACAAATAACAATTACCCAATTCTAAACAACTACTAGCATGACTAAAGGCAAGTGTTGATAAAAGAAAAAAAAAGAATCTATAACCATTAAACCTTCCAAAAGTTAATTTGTTTTCTAGGTGGACATTAAACCTTCCAAAAGTTAATTTGTTTTCTAGGTGGAAGTAATAATCTAGTGTGTGTATAATGTCTATAGACAGAAATTTATTTCTATCTTTCGGAGTAGATTAACTCTATTATATCAGCTGCCTTTTGTTTATTATGAACTAATTTTGACTCGTTTCACGATAAAATAGTTTCATCAAAAACAGAAATTATTAATGAAATATTACTTTAACTATTAATCTAATAAAATTATCTGTCTATATTATTTTTAATTTAGTATAATTATTTCTAACAGATAAAAATTTAAAAAGATTATACATCTCATAAAAATTTTGAAATTAGACAATTTTAAATTTATTTTGCAAAGTTCTATTATAATTATTATATGCTATTATGATTATACCTCTTCTACATTATAATCTAATATATTAATCTATTCTAATTTCATTCCTATTGTATTCTATTAATAAATAATATCATCTTTATCTACTATATAATATATGTTCTTAATTATAACAATAAAATATCAAAATAGGTAACAAAATGCTGATAAGTAGATAGGTACATGTACTATGTATGTATAATATGGTATAATTACTGTAATGCACCTTCTTCTACAAGTCAAATATTATATATTTATAAATATTCCAAGCCACTGATCGTCATTTGAGGGTTTTTGAATACTTGACAAACTACAATATTGTGGAAATATCAGTCCAATAAATGATTCAATTCCATATTATTATAACGACATGACGAATATCAAAATTTGCAACATTCAGCATTCTCTGCTGACCCTTATAAGCAAGCCCAGCATTAAATATATGTGATGGGTAAACTCTTTTGATGGGCCTCTTTTTAATATGATTGAATGCCAACAGAAAGATTATCTACCAATTATATTTAGGTTTAAGTTTCTTGATTAAATGTAAAAGTATATTTTAGCATGGATTAGATTATATATTTTACAAATGACGATCATCAGCTTTAATGGTATCAATATATCTTAGGAACTTGTGGAAATCATGATCTTTCGATGTCTTAGTAGTCATGATGATGATACATGGTTTGTCTTATAAATGCAATGTTAATATACAAATAATGCCCTATTTTCTATTTTAGAACAATGAGGTTGAAATGGTAATGTGCCTTATAACTTCTTTTTTTTTGGCGAAAAAATAGGGCATTTAGAAAGATAGATATTTAACAATGTTACATACCAGTCAACACAAGTACACAATGTAGATGTCACAAACTTCATCTTTTTTTTTTTCAGAGGAATATTTTTATAATAACAATAAATGTTAAATGTATAATTAACTTGGCTAAATATTTACAAAATAAATTAAAATAAATCAAGTTGTAATAAAGTTGATGTTAATAAATTATCTTACACTTTATTTCAATATATTAATAATTTTATAGTTCTCCTACTACCATTAGTAATAATCTCTTCATATTTTACTACGGATATTCTCACGTCACCATCAACTGAGCCTTATATGCACACACTACTAGTTTAGCCTAAAATACAAAATTACATATTTATAGTTTAGATTGTCACACAATGAAACATAATACATGTATGCCCACAGCAGCTAAAACATTCAAGTTGTCCACAAATTTTATCGCATTGTAAATTTTTAGACAAATAAAAAGTTGCTTTTTATACTGCATAATAATATAATTGCCATTGCATTGTCAAGATTCTATGACATAATCAAGGGCAATAACAATTACCGGTATCAGAAATTGTTGGAATTTGAAAGGATAGGCTTCTGTATCTCACTAATCTGAATAAAGCGTGCAAATTTCAATCAGACTGAATGATATTTATTGTTAGATCGATCACTAGGTTTTATAAAGTGAGGAAAGGCAATAACTTTGAAATTCAATGTAAAAAACATACAATATCTAAATGTTCTAAAAATCCGATGATAAATGTAGTCTGTGAAGCATTTACAAGAAATTGTTGAAATGATTGTTTAAAAAATTGTCTGTAGGAAAGACGATACTACTGCTACAAACAAATGGAAGAATCTGATATTGTGTAATTATGCCTGAGATCAAGGAGTTTGTTTTAAATAATTCAATATTCTCTTCTAAATATTCAACAACTTTTAAATGTAATATTTACCTTTGATGCCGGTGCCGATTCTGTATGAATACACAATTCATTCTTTCCTGGTAATAATGGATGACAGGACAAGACAAAGTTGGAATTCTAAAAAATTAATATCAACAAAATCAGTCAATAAACAATATCAATGTATTCTTCTCATTAAACAGTTATGATAACACGGTTCAAGGGAACTTTTAAAAAAGATAAGATATTATTATTTACCTCTGTTAAAGTTGGTTGTCGAACACCGTTTAATACAACACCGGTTACAGCACATGGTCCATATAATCGACAGCGTATATCATTATGTTTAATTCTTGCATGTGATATAAACAATAGAAATCCAACACCTACAAATTAAACAATATTATATTATGGTTTTTAACCATTACAAAACTACTGTTCAACTGTTGAAATTTTCAGGTTTATATCTGTATACATGTACATATTGAGCAGGTTGTCAGGAATGTTTCTGATCTCATAGTTATCTCAATCAAACATGCATTCAATGTTAAATCAATCAATGAGGTAAACGAAATCTCTTTAGATTTTGCTGAAATTCGGTTAATGTACTTATATAAACTGTAAAGCTGACAATCCATTCAATTTTTAGATGATTTGACACAGAATGACTCATATATGGGCCAATAATCTCTTGATTTCCATTTGACTGAGTTTGCGTATTAAAAGCATGATCAGTGGTAATGTATAATATAAATATTTAAGCTAAAGATAAAACATGTTTGAGACCACCGTGTCTGGACCTTTCAACAAAATTAGTCATCAGTTCTTCAAGAGTTTAGTGGGCCTCCAGTATCAGAACCTTTACCCTTAATAAAAAATCTGGTTTGAGAAAATTCAAATGATGAAAGAAACTAACCTGGATGTAATGGTTCCATAACATGTTTAAAATCTATCACAAACTTGTTTCCTTCATTAAGAGGAAAACATTGCAATGGAAATAAAGCCGTTATAATTCTGGCTGTATTATTTAATGTCAGAGCTACTTGTCTATCAAACTCGGTTGTTAACCTTTAAAAAAACAAATTAAAGAGTTTAGACAAGAATAACCAGAGACAGTTTTAAAGATAGGTTGAAAGGCAATGAAACTTATGCCTACAGCAGTTAAGTCTCCAATCACACATTTATTCTTTTTAAGGTAATGGGAGAAATTAAAAGACGCTAAAAACTAATCGAGAGTAACAATTCATCAAATAAATATTACAAATAGTTAATATGTAATTAGCTTCTAGTTCTTCCTAGTACTCGGCAGAGCCTCGTTTTTTGTTACTTTATCAACTTGTATTATTTTTTGATATCAAAAAAGATGGGTAGGAGATTCTCTATTTATATAAAACATGTACTTGGTATTAATATTCAAATATATTATATATTTACCTTGATATATGATCTATCATAATATCTTCTACATCAAAATGTCTCATTGTCTTAGCATAGGTTAAAGCACTATAACCATTATTAGTTGTTAGAGCAAAGTTAGCTCCATTCTCTAATAAACACTGACAAATCTGCTTGTGACCACGTTTAACAGCCTGAAATAAAAGTGATTAATCGGAAATTATTATGACTTAACAGTTTATTTTCTTTTGAGAATAACAAGATTTTAGGTGAGAACCTCTTACATGTAGAAATCAGAAGCTTGGAGAAGGCAGGGATTCAAGTAGGCTGTTTTACAGAGTGGTGACCTCGCCACACTACAATTTTTCAGAAGTAACATCTCAGAACATTGTTAACTTATGAACCGCCAGCTAGGATTCTGATTAAATTGTCATTAGATTAATCATTAAATCAATGTCTCTTGAAACAGCGTTCAGCTTTATCTTAATCAACTAGACAATTGTTTAAAATGAAGTGTTACACCTCGGCTTATAATTTTAAAAGCTTGCAGTCAATGGCATTGTTCATGTCATGTGACCTGTGCATGATGTCATATAGACCTTAGCCTGTAGTATTGTTATTATAAACAAAATGGAGGTCGAGTAATCTAAACTATGTTCTGGTTTTTGTCCTTTAATAATGTTCAAACGGCAGGAAAAGGCAGTACTTTGTGGCAAATTTTTAAAAATTTCAATGGGGGAGGGGGGGGCAAGCCCTTAGCAGCATTCCCTCGCTTATCTCTGCCAGAATAATTCTGGGGGTAAACCCTGAAAATACTTATTCTAGCCCAATCTTTTAATTAATATTAAATCACATTATTATAGGAGCAAGGGGAATAACTTACCTTAATTAAACCAGTTTCTCCTGTAGGTTGTTGTATATTCATGTTTGCACCAATTTCTATCAACAATGCCAAGGTACAAATATCACACTACAAAATATATCAATATAATATCACAGTCACATCGATTTAAAACCTAATCATATACAATAAAATGAAAAGAGCAGAGTTTAACATTTCTTTAAACTTAATATCTTGGTCACTACGACCTACTCTTATATCGAATTCCAACTGTCAAGGGATCTTTGACGTGCACACCAATGTGTACACAGGACCTCGGTTTTTCATCCTATCTGGACGACTAGCCAGCTTTCCTTGTTAGGCCCTCCATCCTGCATCAGACAAGGGGGAACCACGCCGGAAAATCTGGATGAACTCTCTCGGCAAATTCAGGGATCGAACACCCAATCTCCAGACTAGTTAGCCAGCGTCTTACCCACTTAGCCACCGTGATCCATTGAGTCACTAATGACTAAACTAATCATTACATACAACAGCTTAACAAATGTTTATAGATATTTCTCTCAACAAAAACTTACTTTTTCACAGGCTAGCATCAAAGCAGTACATCCACTTTTATTTTGAGCATTTAGTTTAGCTCCATGGTAGACTAATAATTCACAAATATCATCATATGCTGTGGAAAAAAACAAAATCACATAATATTAAACATTTCAACCTTTTTCTCTTTATGGGGGGGCCACTGTGCCACAGAAAGTATGTCACAGGCACTAGGTCCCAGACTCCATCCTAGTGTTGACCCCAAAAAGTTCCTCTGGGTTTTCCAGCTTAAGTTTCCCCTTGTGCAGGACAGAAGGTCTGGCTAATAAAAGCCTGATTAATATGTTTCAAATAATTCAATCCCCTGGCATTCCTTTTTTTTCAGAAACTATGCATAGCACTGAGTGTATAATAAAATACTGGATATAAATAGATTTATAAGTCAACTTACAGTTAAGTACAGCCTGCATGAGCAAGGTATTACCAGATTCATCAGGTTGTTCAAGATCATAACTTGTCATGGAAGAAAATGCTCTCTTTACTAAATCATAATCACCATCTAACACAGCCTGTTTTAGTTCATCTAAAATCAAATCATTCAAGTATGTCAAATTAATTTTAATACTTTATACTATAAATTCTGTAAATGACATTTCGCCGACACAATAACACAAGACAAATCTGGAAATGTAATACCAAATCTGAGACAGCAAGAATAAAAATAGACTATTTCGCCTCACTAATGTAAACAACATATATAAATTTCAAAATGATCAGTCTGTAGACTGTTCACAGGAAATTGTGGACAACGAACTGAGGCGATGGCAATATATCACCACATTTCCATGTGGGCGCATAAAAATTGGATCTTTTCAAATGACACTGTGTTGAATATTTTCTTATTACTAAAAATAAACATAAACTAGGTTTTAATGTATAAATAATGTTAGATCATAATGTATACACATACCATCGGTTAATTCAGCGGGATTAGAGCTGGGTGAAAAAGACATCTAAAAAGAAAAATATATATCATATTACACAAACTCATATCTTGTTAAAGACTCATATTTATCAAAAAATACCTACACATAATATTAATTTTTATGTGTGGGGATGAATCATGTAATTTGTGAAAATACAAAACAAAACAAAGAGAAAAAGATAGGTTGCCAGGCAACAAAACATACGCCCACAGCAGCTAAATCGTCCGAGCGGTCGTCAAGGGTTGTCGCATATTTATTCCTTTGTAGGTAATTGGGAGCCTTTACAAGACAGTTCCATACAGATCAGATTATAAATTTTGTCGTTTGAGGGTTTACAAGGTTCTACAAACTGAAGCAAGGGTCTTAACTCAGGAAGTAATCTACAGAAATTATTGAAATTTGACAGGCTTTTTCGTTTTATTAATTTAAATAATACATATAAATTTCATACAGATCACATTTGTCATTCAAACGTTCACAATCGCCATAACTCTAGAAATTATTGACGGAAATTGCTGAAATTCAATAGACCTGTTTCACAATATTAAATGATGCATATAAATTTCATACATATCGGATGATAACTATTATCAATCGAGCATAAACAAGGTTTAACAAAGTGAAACAAGAGCAATAACTCTAGAAGTAATTATTGTAAATTGCTGAAATTCAATAGGCTTTTTCGTTTCACTAATTTAAATCATGCATATAAATTTCACAAAGATCGGGTGATAACTTTTTGCGTTAGGGCGTTCACAAGGATCAATAAAGTGAAACAAGGGCCATAACTCTAGACGTAACAAACGGAAATTTCTGAAATTCAATAGGTTTCTCCGTTTCAGTAACCTAAATAATGTATATAAATTTCAGAAAGATCGAATGATAACTTTTGACGTGAGAGCGTTCACAAGGATCAATAAAGTGAAACAAGGGCCAAAACTCGACGTTATAAACGAAAATTGCTGAAATTTAATAAGCTTCTTCGTTTCAGTAACCTAAATAATGCATATAAATTTCAGAAAGATCAGATGATAACTTTTGATGTGAGAGCGTTCACAAGGATCAATAAAGTGAAACAAGGGCCATAACTCTAGACGTAATAAACGGGAATTGCTGAAATTCAATAGGCTTCTTGGTTTCAGCAATCTAAATAATGCATATAAATTTCAGAAAGATCGGATGATAACTTTTGACGCGAGAGCATTCACAAGGATCAATAAAGTGAAACAAGGGCCATAACTCTAGACGTTATAAACAGGAATTGCTGAAATTCAAAAGGCTTCTTCATTTCAGCAATCTAAATAATGCATAAAAATTTCAGAAAGATTGGATGATAACTTTTGACGTGAGAGCGTTAACAAGGATCAATAAAGTGAAACAAGGGCAATAACTCTAGACGTAATAAACAGAAATTGCCGAAATTCAATAGGCTTCTTCGTTTCAGTAACCTAAATAATGCATATAAATTTCAGAAAGATTGGATGATAACTTTTGACGTTAGAGCGTTCACAAGGATCAATAAAGTGAAACAAGGGCCATAACTCTAGACGTAATAAACGGGAATTGCTGAAATTCAATAGGCTTCTTCGTTTCAGCAATCTAAATAATGCATATAAATTTAACAAAGATCGAATGATAACTTTTGGCGTTAGAGCATTCACAAGGTTCAATAAAGTGAAACAAGGGCCATAACTCTAGACGTAATAAATGGAAATTGCTGAAATTCAATAGGCTTCTTCGTTTCACTAATTTCACCAGAGCAATAACTCTAGAAGTAATTATTGTAAATTGCTGAAATTCAATAGGCTTTTTCGTTTCACTAATTTAAATCATGCATATAAATTTAACAAAGATCGAATGATAACTTTTGGCGTTAGAGCGTTCACAAGGTTCAATAAAGTGAAACAAGGGCCATAACTCTAGACGTAATAAATGGAAATTGCTGAAATTCAATAGGCTTATTCGGTTCACTAATTTAAATAATGCATGTAAATTTCAGAAAGATGGGATGATAACTTTTGGCATTAGAGCGTTCACAATTAATTGTGGACGACCGACGGACGGACGGGGGCGACAGCAATTCAATGTGGGCGTATAAAAAGGGAGGTGACTCTTCTGCTTTCCTATTAAAGTCATATTATCTCCCCTTAGACCACATAGTGGTTTATGCACTAAAACTATTATGATTATTATGAACTAAATTCTCACCTGTCTATCCATATCATCGAGATCAACTTCATCTAAATCTATTTCAAATCCAATATCACAGCCTGTAGGGAAAACAATATGGATATAAGAAGGTTATGATGAACTAACTTTAAAATCAAACAAAAACTGTATGAAAGTGTGTCATTTTCAGAAAATTCACTATTTAGCATATTTTTTACAATTTTAAATTCAAACTTACCCTCATCTTGACCTTTGGTATCTGGCAATAAATTCAACAACGAACCACTTAAAAGTTTTTCCAACGGCTGTGTAAACTCATTTTTCAATCGAATATTACTAAAATGTGCATTTTTATCTAAAGTTTGTGAGCTATCTACTTTGTGGACTTTCGATCTGGAACTATTAAAGTCTGATAAATGTGATACAATATTTTGTCGTGTTTCAGCTAAATTTTCTTTTCCACTAATAAAATTAGTAACCACATTACAACTCTGTTCTAATGGTGATGATTGTTTAGTAAGTTTTAGAGAATCTAATTTCGTTCTCTTATGAGCCACTTGATCCTGCTCACAATCCCTTCGTTGTCGAGTAGCACTTTTAGTAGAAATAATTTCTGTATACGAACGTGGAGAGCTTCTTTGAGGTGTTCGTCTCTTACTCCTCTCACTAGAATCAGGTAAGAGACTCAGCTGAAATTATAAATAAAAATAATGGTAATTTTAAATAAATTCACAGCTTCTTAATTAAAGCATTTATCTATACATGGTAAAATTGTCTCGACAATATGAATATTCTAGAATGAAATGACTGAAATTATTAGTCGCTTTTTTTCTGACGCAAGGTTTGGCAGAATTATTGACAAAAGATACAAATGAAGATCACCCTGAAAACCTAGGTGAATCTATGTCAAAATACACCTTTCTTACATTCATATTGTATTTCATATCTACAGTGTGAATTATTATAAAATATAACGAATACCTCTACTGTATTATCATCCATAGTTGGACAGTGCAATAAAATTTAACTGATAGCAGCTTGTTAATTACGCATTAGTTACATGTACCAAGAATGCAACCAATCACAGCTCTATATACAAACTAAATACATCTAAAGCTATTATTGATCCAAATACATGTACATGTATTATATATATATTGTCTTCTCTATTAAAATCTTAAAAAATATTTTTCAGTCTCAGTTTTCATCAATAATGCCTTCTAATGCAGTCAAATTTTACATGTATTGTTAGTACATATAATTTGCTTCATTGTAAAACTATGTTTAATAGTTCAAGATCTAACTTAAAACTGTAGGATTATTAGTATATATATTAAGACTATATACACATACCATGTCTACATGTATGTGACACCTTTATTTTATATCCTAAGTACATTTCGTGCAACATATGCAGACAATAATAACAAGAATCAATGAAAAATCAATATCAACATACGTGGTGTATACTGTGGACTACTACTACTATATGTGCTACATTCATATTCACATTGAATTCAATGAAATAATCAATAACATAAAGAGATCTATTTATTTTTATTATACATGTATAACCTTTTTACCAATACTTGATAATATGATTATTAAAATTAGTGAAAGTGAATAAATTATTGATAGTGAACAAATTATGAAATAGTGATTTTAGTGAATTAATTAATCATTTAATTCACATCTCTTGATTGTATCTTTAAAATATTATTACATGTAGATTTATTTTCTTCACATCTCAATGTCAAGCAAAACAATATGGCAGTCTTGTAACTTTCTTTAGAGTCAACATCTACATGTAAATATACATGTTTACATGATCATGTGGGGAAAAAAAACCCTACATTGTATACAATATATATGTAACCTTTCATTATAATAAATATATTTCTTCTTTTAAAGATACAATCAACAATCATCGTACATTTATCCTCAAATAGCCAATTGATTCAAAATGTAAACTTTTTCACTGTGCTGGACTTTAATTTCCCGATTCTTTGTCAATTGTCAACTTTCTCATTAGACGCTGCTGCTATAACTGTTTGACAGTTGGTCTTTTAATCCTCTAGTTTACAGATAATTATTATGTATTGATGGTTACTTACTTTGTTTTCTGAAATGGTCTGTTTCCGATCTTCAGGCGAGTCACAAGTTTTATTGAGAGACGAGTCAAATACACCAGAGTCAAATTCACTACTTGGGTTCTCACTACTAACACTCTGAGGTGTTGCTACTGAAATATCACTACTCATAGAACTTCTAGTGATTGCACTGTCATTACTGTCATTACTAATATGATCACTTTCAGCTACTTCTTTATACGAGAGAGATTTCACAGCCTTACGTGTCTTTCTACCATTTACTGTCTTTGGACTGACTTTTTTAGACAAAGGACTTTTCTTGCCCTTACTTCTCTTTTTACTAGCACTACTGTCACTCTTTCTCCTCCCCGATGATGAGCTCTGTGTCTCGGGTGTGGGAGAAGTACATTTGGAGTTGTTAAATATCTGTTTAAAGGATGTAGGTCTGGATGCTCGACCTTGACCTTTTACCTTACTGTACATGTCCGTAGCAAACAGATTTACCTTTCCTTCTTCTAGATCTTTCCAAAAGGTGTCTTTAAGCGTCGTTTCTGGATTTTCATCAATCATAAACGGAGAACTGCTTTCAGGAGTGGTCTGACTAGAGATTGGTGAGTAACTGACATCTTCTTGCAATCGGCCTTCCATAATTGCCTGAAAAACAAAAAGAAGTACATGTATTTTTGCTTTTAACCCAATTAATTCATGATACTAGTCAAGTACATGTATATGTAGCTCTCAGACTTGAGGTCAACAACCCATAACAAATGCCAATCCATGTTTGACATCACAGACATTAATATCTAAAATTTGTCTAAGTAATGTAAAAGATTTCTTACTTGAAAATCAGCACCAGTATTATTTCCGGTTAAACCTCTTCAGGTTAATTAAGTGTACAAGTAATTAAAAATGTTCCAAGATTCATATAATGTATTTTTGCTTTTAATCCAATTAATTCATGATACTAGTCAAGTACATGTATATGTAGCTCTCAGACTTGAGGTCAACAACCCATAACAAATGCCAATCCATGTTTGACATCACAGACATTAATATCTAAAATTTGTCTAAGTAATGTAAAAGATTTCTTACTTGAAAATCAGCACCAGTATTATTTCCGGTTAAACCTCTTTAGGTTAATTAAGTGTACAAGTAATTAAAAATGTTCCAAGATTCATATAATGTTCTACTTCACTTATTTGATAGCATCTCTACTTGAGAAATGTATGAATGTTACAGAACTATGATATAACAAGTGGTCATCTATATGAGATGCCTATGGTGTAACCATGGCGATCTTAAATATGGTGTATATATAGTAACTAGGTACCTAATAAGGATAAAGATGGTTGACTAGCAGATGTTTACTGAACTATTTAATAGTAATTTGTTAATGAGTGTTAATTTTAAGTAGGCAGGTTTAACCATTGTTTCTTCTATTGTTAATTAATCTGTGCACCAACTGTCAGTCTACTACTTATCATTTCACTTATTATTTCTGTAAACAATGTGTTTACAATAGGGAATAAAATTTAAAATATTATGTAATCTTTACCTTTTCTGATATGAAAAATATTTGGATTAGAAAATATATGTTTACAGCATTAGGGAATAAAAGATATTATGTAAACTTCACCATATCTGACTGATAGGAAAAATATAGGGAATAAAATTTAATAGAATATGTAAACTTTACAATATCTTTTATTCTGATAGGAAACATATTTGGAATTAGAAAATTGTATGAGGATGTCCATGTAATATACTTGTGTAATCTCAACAATAAGAAGACAGAAATATTATATGAGTTCAAGATTGGTAATAGATAAAGAACAATATAATGACCAACACAAGCATGTGGTATATGTAATACAGATTTTGTAACAGTTTTATATACATGTAAGTCACATTGATGATGGCAATCGTAATTAGAAAATCTTCATTCAAAACATTGGGCTTAATTTATTACTAAACTTAGATTGACCTCACTGAGGTCGTAGCATAAAATACTGATCAATTATTAACAATACAAGGTTGCCATGCATTATACGCCCACATTTTGCAAGACATGGGCAGAGAAGGGACTTAAAAAAAAAAATAAGTGTTTTTTTTAGTAAAATCTGGGGCCATAATCCAGGAGGGTACGGTTCGATATGCATGAATATCGAAAGGAACTAAGAGCTTTTAGATATAAACATATATTTTAAGTTTCATCAAAATTGGATAACAAAATTTGTGACTTCCAGAATGTCCACAACCTTGGTATTACATACTTTACCTTATTTGCGTACAAGGATCAGCTATTTTGTTGGGCTGTTTCGGTCCGATGCTTGATTTTTTTGTACAATCGGAAGCCATAACCCAGGAAGTTACGGTTCAATTTGCGTGAATATCAAAAGGATCCAAGATCTTTGGGATGAAAATGTGGATGTATAAAAATATTATTGTCTGTAACTTGACGTTATGAGCCCAAGGATTCCAAAGATCAAAAACTGTTTGTGGTCAAGCTCTTGAATTTTAAAAAATGTTTTGAGTTAGAATATTAATAGAAACATTTCCTAAGATACCTTTTTCTATTTGACAGTACACATTTTCTTTTACCAGTTGACAGTAAAAAAACCCCACTATAGTCACATATTGACCTGTGGCAGTGTTACTTCTTTATTATCATTTGTACCTGTTTTTTCTTTCTTTCTTCTGCTCGTTTTCGTCTGGATTCTTCTCTCATAGCATCAAAATCTTCTATCATATCTAAACAACTGGCAAGATTTTCTACTGGTTCCCATGTATCGTGTGACGGTGGATATCCTCGCCATCTTACTTTATACAGTGATTTACCCTGAAGGAAAACAAGTTATCTCTAAATAATCACCGTTTCATATTATTGTCATATCACACCCAACACAATCAAACGTATCTAACACAAAAAAATCTGATTTCAAGATAAATAACATTGAAAATGTGAATGTTTCAGAATCAGATGAAAAAAAAAAAAGGACTGTGCCATGTAATTGTATCCATTCACACTAAAATCCTGTATCCACAATAAAGAAGAGATTTTAGTTGGCTCTAAAATTGGAAAGAAATTTTAGGATGTTAGGTTAAAGTAAAGATAAATGTGTAGGCCTACATATAACTACAATACTTAGTACATAAAGGTGTTTGATCTGTTGTGTGTAGAGCAACAGCATATTGCTCTGTGGTTGAACATATAAATAGACTTCATCATTAGGCAATGAATTTGATACCTATACAAATTTCATGCATTCGAAATTATAAAATATTACTGTGAATACATTAAATGTAGGCTAATGTGCAAATATTTGTGACAAATGGCAGACTGCATTATTTTTACTTGACCTGGTTTACATCATCAACCTAGACTTTTCATCATATGCCATTATAACCAGGGGGTATTTTCAGTATAGGCTTTCTTTTAAAGGATGGTCAATAAACTTTATGAGGTCAGTGAGTTTACTTCAAAGTTTAAGTGTTCTATGAGTATAGTAGGCTAGCAACTTTCTTAAATTCTACCTCTATCTAGTAGTAAAAGTATTATTACTCTACCAGCCGACATAAATAAAGCAAGCATCATCAGCCATTTATTATTACGAATTAAAAACTAGGTTAAATAGCATATTTATATACTATATCTATTTCTACAGTCAGTTGCTGTATATTTATACTGTATTTGGTTGGCTACATATCTAGGTTGAAAATAATGATGTAATTGTAAACTTAGAAGCCTTCTCTATGGTTGTATCCGTCGGTCATTATTCGATAGCTTTCCCAACAAGCCCGTGTGATCGTCTTCCATTCTCAATCCACTTACTCTCGTCTCGGCATAAAAATGAGTTTCATGTGGCTTCTCATGTAGTATTTTACTTGTTTGTACATCGTAAAGTAGTGAAAAAAATCAACAATGACACATTTTACAATATTTTTTCACACAAGGGGTAATAGTTTGGAGACAGGTTTTAACAAAAGAATTCCAATACTTCATGTCAACATTGCATACATGCCAAAAAGCTCGTGTCGAAGCAAATGGCACGAGCCGAAATAAAACACGCCCCCTTTTCACTTACCCCATTTTTACTCATTCCAACTATTTTTTCTACATCAAAAAGCTCTTCTTCTACTTCTTCGTCTTCATTTTTACTTTCAAACGAAGATATTGAGCCCTCTTCGTCCATTATCTTCCCTTCAGCGGGCACTCCTTCCACGTCCTCCGCCATCTTGGCTGTCTCAAATTGTGCCACGGATTGTGAATGGTCCATTATAAATTAGGGGTTACAGGTTGTAACAATAAATTAATATTGTTACTGATTGGGGCATGTTCTTTATTATTCTTTATGGAATTGGTGGCAAGGTGAATCAATTCACTGTAATTAAATTACTTATTTTAATCCAATTATCTAGCTTAATTATAATGGGACGAAACGAAATGGGTCATTATGTGACCAACAAACTGTTGCCCCCTTTTTAACAATACTGTCGTTCAAACACACTTCATTTACATATGAATAGCATTGAGCGCATGTCAAGTATATTTATAGATACCCACATGTGTATTATGTGTTGATATTATAAGAAGATCCATTGGCCAAAATTCGACCGTAGATTGATCCATTTCTTATACAGAATTGGCTGCACAGATTAGGGTCAAATCGGTGATAATCAAAGCGGTGTTGACCCAATTCCATTCCTTTGACCCACTTCCGTATTATTGTTGATGATGACCTTGTTCCAGAAACCGTAATATTATTGGTAGGCTTATCGACTAGCATAAACCACGGTCTTATCACAAACTACAGGTTTTTATATGTTAGCCTAACGTCTGTCTGCACTGAATTTTAATGGACCAGCCTGTTATAAATAGAATATCAGTATTTTTATTGCGAAGTTTAGTCTAAATGCCAGGGGTTTGTGTGAAATTCGCCCCTGGCTACCAATTTAAAACCCAGATTCCATATGTTTGTAAACATAGGGGTGTCAAACTGTCTAGTTTTCAACTATTGGCTAAACCGGTAGGGCGAAACTATTCCTGGCTAAGCATGTCTGTAACACTAACAGATAATTTATAAGGAGTTGGTTTAAAAATTCACTGCCCCCAGACAGTGTACTAAGAAATTCAAGGGTTTGGGTTAGACTTTGAAGGCATTTACAGCAACCGACAGACAGGTTAACCAAAATGAGGGGCACCATTTTATAATACTTTTCTTTCTTTGTATTTTACGTGTGTGTGTGTGCGTGTGGGGAGGGGGGCAGTATATGTTTTTATTTCCACGACACTCAAAAGCAACATATATATTACGGATTGTGTCATACATACATCCATTGGCAGTATATTCCTAACTTCCGTCATGGCACACTGTATGGCGTATGCCCGTCTTCAGTAGCCCAATCGGAGCAGCTACAGGACGTTAAACCCTATTTCATTTCATTTCTTATTCAAATGTCTATAACCTTTAATTTTTTTATTTGCATATTACGTGTATTAAGGTCAGCATACAAAACATACATAAATATACATGTACATGGATACAAAAATAGATTTATATATATAGTTGACATGGAATAATACATTGGGATAATATGAATACAACATGTAAAACGTGAGATGATAAAATTAAAATATGAGATAAATAACACTGAAATGTAAGTGTAAATGTACATGATGGTTGATTTACACAAAATGATCAGATATGGCGTAGGAACATGTACATACTACAGCATTAAAATAAACTAGACATTAAGGGAATTAAACTCGACAGAATGGTATGTATACATTGCTACAGCTTTTGCAAGGAAATCTGGGGGATTAAACAGAAATTCAAAAGTTAATTGACAAGATGGTATTAAAGTAGGGTAGATAAATTGCAAGCGCAGGTTTTCGTATCTGGGGCACTGGAATAGAAAATGGAATTAGTCTTCTACAGCAGAACGACAAAAACAATTGATATAATAAGCATTAATTAGGTATAGGCGCGGATACAGAGAACGGGGAGGGGGGGGGGCACGATAATGACCTCATCAATTCATTTGTCAACTCTATAAACTTGCAATATCATTTATTTCCCCTTCTTTCGGGTTCTCGTAATGCACTTGAACAACTTTTCTGAATTGTCGGAACAGTGTGTTTTTTTATTCGGTCACACCCATTCTTCTGTTAATAATTAGTCTGAAAATTTGGCAAAACAAACCCAACGCCTAGCCTTCTTTGCCTCTTGTCATCTTGCAGTCGATGCAACAATTTCATATTTCATTCTCTTCATTTTAAAAAGTACCATATCCATCAAAGCAGGAATGTGGACGTATATTGCAGCGGTAGCGATGCTCTTTATATTGTCTTTATTAGTAAGTGAAGGAGAACCACACCACACATAGTCCAAAGGCATAACACATAACACGTAATCTATAGGATTATGCCTGTTCTCCAATATTGTTTTAAAAAAGAAAATAACCCTTGAAAACAAATGACACCCAATGCTATCAAAAGCGTACAGTCCCTGGCCTGTAGTCACACATTTTCAAAAACCCAACTGTCTATTATGACATCTATGATTTGGTTTTGTGTTTTTTATTTTTATCTACTTACACTTTTTGACATTTTTTTTTATTATTTGACATATAGTTAAGTCTATTGAACACTGTCCTGAATTTGATAGAAATGAAATGAAATGAGTTTTATTACACGGCAACATCAACTGTGTATGTAGCGTAGCCATGAAGTGGTGTTGAGTGGCCCTATGGTTTAACGCGCACACTTTAGATGAAGAAGAATAAGAAGTGTTTATTAAAGTGTCACACGGTTACATATCATAATTCAGTTAAAACTTAATTAAAAAGAACACCACCCGAACATAATGGCCCATGGGACACTGGATATAGGCCTATCTATATATTTCTAAAATACAGATTAGTATTAGATAAAACATCATATCATAAAATAATATCACATATCTTTTAAAAACCGGGATCTCCTTTGAAACATGTCAAATATAAAATTGCATATAATACTGGAGTTGACCATCACTAGAAAAACTTACTAATAGGCCTAACTTTCTCTTTTGTAGACATAGAATTTTACATCTGTCTTATGCATTTCACTAAAAGGTCTACAACGCAGGTCGAAATACATTTGGCATTCTATTAAAAATATGGGATTCGTCTCAATTTTTTGAGCATAAGGGACATAATCGACAAATAACTGGGGTTGGGGTAGTCCAGCTCTGAACATGAGACCTACGTTCAGAGCTGGACTAGGGTTGGGGGATCATAAAGTATGTAATTAAGAAAAGTGCCGTGGTTTCGATTACCAGCTTGTACCGAAATGACCTACATGTTGGGGAACCACGCGGGAAATCACGGTGAACTTTCTCGTCTAACACCGGGTTCGAACACGAGATTTCCAGGTTCGCGAAATATAGTTGGCGACGAAACAATATCAAATATACCATATCTAGTGTATGTTCCCGAAGCAATCGTAACGATGTCCCCAAACTAGATAGCAGTTTATGGAATATATATAGTGTGGATACATAATGGCGGTAGGCCTATATATTAGATTCAAAATTCTAAATTTGTTAATATTTGCAATCGTCTAATTTCTAACTTCTATTCATGTAATTTCTAAATTAAAGGAGCCAAATCTCTATTCTTTCAATCTGTTTCACAGAGAATTACGAGTCTAGTGATAAACCTCTGTCAAAGATGACTGCCTTAGCACGTGCTGTCACAGCACGCGGCGTCAATCATTGGCTGAATGGCGCGTGCATTGTTTACATAAGACGTTACTGCTTCGGAGAAAATGCTGCATTTTAGTCATTTTAATACCCATTTACACTAAATAGGAAATAATTTTTACCTACAAGTACGTCAAACGCCTTTATTTATTTTTCCAATACATAAAAAAAATGTTTTAGAATTTAATTTGTCGCAGGAAAAAAGTTAATATTTCTGGCTCATTAAGCCGCATCGATGTCATCCTTATCAGTGATTGAAGCGGCTTAGCAAATATTCACTGCGGATCAGTGTGCTATTCTTTGGCACCTAGAAATGGACACAAATGTACAATCCAGGGCCTGTAATGTTGCAGGCGTCACTCAAAATGAAAGCAAACTTACAACAAGGGAGACAATCCACAAATCCAAAGCACGAAAAGAAAAGAGCAGTTCCCAAACATAGCATTAGTCTAATGTGTATACAATATCTCAGTATGACGGTTAACAAAACGGTCTAGAACAAGTCGGTTTCAAATGTTAGTGTAGGAATTAATTAGAAAGATCGCTTTACCATACTATATGTAGCAATGGATAATGAACTGATAATGACTTTTTATTTTGACTTTGTCGTCGACAATGTGGCAGGATCTAGATGTATGTAAATCAGGGCCTATTTTAAAGGAGCTAAATCGCTAACATTTGGGACCTAGAAATTGACAAAAGTAGGTCGCAACGCATATAATACTGTAATATGAATGTATATAAACTGATTTACATTCAATGGTTTCCGTTTTTACTCCAATTTCAAATCAGTTATGTTCGGCGAAATAAGCCAGCAGTCTCAAGCGAGTGCAAATTTCTAGCGTCTGGTTATTCCAGTCTACATACACCGTTTGATTTGGTGCAATGTGTCTAGCCTCGTCCCTCGAGTCTCTTGATACAACTGGGGCTGAAGCGCATTATGGTACACGATTCGTGTACCAATGGTAAAATGTTTATTTTGTCTTAAATATTGGATATCAAAAGCCCATCTTTTTCCGGTAAGATCACAACATGAATGTTGAATTAATTTGACAAATAAATCGTGTTTTCAATGTTGAAGATTTTGGATGATATTGAGTTAGAGACTTAGCTACTTTAACGTGCATACAGGCACGGACATGCCTAGAAATGAAAAATCCGTGCTTCGAGAATCTAAGATCCGTACTTTGAAAAGAAGGTATGTAACCTTGTGAATCTGAAAAAATTTGCGTAAGGGAATTTAGCAAGTGCAAGTGTGCCATTAGCAATCATTGTGATCATCAGTCACTGCGTTAGATTTCATTTCAATTTCGTGTTTTGTTGCAGGTTACAGTAAAGGGTCGTCTGCTTTTGGACTGATACGCAGCTGTAAATACAAGAAATGAAATGGGGTTTAACTTCCTACTGCTCTGATCCGAAATGGGCTAATGAAGACGGTTAATTTTACCCTGGAAAGGGCACAACGGTCTACTCTTATAATATCGAACTCTAACTGTCAAAGGATCTTTAACGAGCACGCCAATGTGTACACCGGACCTCGGTTTTTCGTCCCATCCGAACGACTAGACAGCTGTCCCTGACAGGCCCTCCGTCCTGCATCACTGACAAGGGGGGGGGGGACCACGCCGAAAAATCTGGATGAACTTTCTCGGCCAATGGAGGGAACGAACACCCGACCTCCAGGCTAGCGAGCCAACGTCTTACCTACTTAGGCACCGTGACAAATCTGTCAATTATGTAAATTTTTATACTGCCACAGTGTCACATTAATTTAGGCCTCAATTTTTGCCCGTTTTAGATATTGAGGATCAAAAGATCTTGGTTGAATTCGATTTTAGTGCAACTGCTTGGGTTATGGCCTCACACACAAATCGTAACAAAGTTTGTGAACTCTCTAGTGTGATAAACTGGGAACACTGGACCACGAATCCTATCGATAATAAAACTATTATAGGTGCCATCTATGCATTAACTATTATTAAAACTTCAGATATTATCATGACCAAATTGAAGGGAGGGGGAGAAACGGGGGCTAACGTCCATTCGTCATTAACCAGGTTATTTCGGGACTAACCTACTTTTATTTTAGGAGTCTTTACAAGTGGGGGAATCCCTACAAAACCCATCATGTTAGACAAGAGACTCTACTGCTTGTCATGAACAATCTGGACTAGAAAAATATGCATTGGTAAACGGCCCCTCACTATTTATGACGTAACGTAACTGTTTTTGTCCTTTCTTGTTTTACAGTGAACAAAATACACACAAAGCCGATACAGATTTACACAAAAAAAAGTGATTATAGTCAGGAAGAGTGTATTATCACAATGAAATTGTCTTTCATTGGCAATGTCGATTACCTACATTATGTTCATGTTAACAGTTCTTGGTAGACCGAGTTGTTGTCTTTAATTAAAACAATATTCTTTGTTCACCTGGCTGAATGTTCGAGCATACAGAAGTAATAAAGTATTGAACAAAAAAAAAGGAGACCAGGCTTGATTAAATCATACTATTACCTTTAGAGATGTCTACAGTCTAGACTGTTTTGCTGGGGGATATTTAATGAAACATATTTTATCATAATCATTCATATCTCATAAACAAGGTTTTATAAAAATTTAAATCACCTCAGGGATTTATTATAGCCTAAATTCTAATTAAACAATTGCCTTTTTCTTAAGTTAAGAAAAAAAAGAGAGTTAAAAACTTCAATTCAATTTTGTAGATCATCTATTTGTAAAACAATGGAATACATAATGCAAACTTGTTTTGAGTAATTTCTTTATTGATGATTATTATGGAATACATTAGACTTTACGGCACTATAATGTCGCTCTATGTTCCTTAGCGATTACTATCTATGACGTCACAATTGAACTTTCTCATTATGAAGCTACCTATAGGTGATAGAAAGAAGGTTATTGATATTCTAAATTAAAAATCTTATAATCACTGTCACTAAATGGATGATGCCACTTTTGATTTTTATGAAGATGCTACGTTTAAAAGAAAAGATTATGACAACATTTCTACCGTAAGCACCGAGAGGGCCAATTCTGGTTGTGATTACGATTTTGATTATGAAAGTGTTGTTGCCGATTCAACTCGATCTAATTCGATATTTTCAAACCAAGAATCTGTTCTATCGCTGCTGTGTGATCAAAGTCAAAGTGTAAGCCCACAGAAAAATATGCAAAATAAGCGTAAACCTAGAAAAGACACACCACAAATTGGAATGAATTCTCAAAACGCATCGATTTCTAACATCCCAGATGACGAGGTCGTGTATTGTGATTATGAAATTGAAAGCGGGTGCGCAGAAGAGACGTCAGGCGAAAGGTTAACACCATTTCCAGGTGGTTTGATTGAGGCTGACATTTTAAGTTCAAGAGACATTAAAATCTTGAAAGAAGCGAGTGTGATACTAAGAAACGTAAAGACGAATTTAAATATCCGTTTCCAGGATATAAGTTCTCGTTTATCAGATTACAACCAAGCTTGCCAACAGAACAGTGGGCGGACAGTAACAGAAAATAGCCACCACACGGCGGATGATATTGATCATATGCAAAATATTACTTCCTCTTTAACAACTGGCGATCCATTAGATTATACGGTGGAAAAAGAATACCTAACCCAATCTACAAATAGGTCAGGTGTTAACGAAAGGCTCTCAGAATGTGGTCGGCAGCCAATCGATAACTGGTTGGCTGGCAGTAAACTTGAACAAATTACTAAGCCCAAAAACGTTCAAACAAAAACCAGACCCATCACCGCTAATAAAAAATTCAATGCTCAAAAAACTGGAGAACCCCAAATCGGTAAAAACCAAAGAAACAGAACTTCGGTGCCGGTTCAAGTGAAATCTGAAGCTTATTATCAGAATGGCGAATTAGCGGTCACCGTGACCTCAAGGGATAGGAGAAATCCAATTGGTGAAAACGTCGATGTGAAAATTACTGTTATTCACAAGTACAGCACAAATCTTAGTGAGAGAAAAAGTACCGTCTGCAACAAGAAGAAGCAGGGCAACAAATCTTTCAAACCACCTGCCGATAGAAATGTTGTCGAGAATCGCGCAAATTGGCCTGAATTCAACACAACCATTAACGAAGAGGCACATAAAAGATATTTAAGTCGCCATGGAATTTAATATGTAGAAATTAATAGACAAAATTAAAGCGGATAGATGTAGATCGTCAGTATGATTAATATAATTAATTTGATTAATATAATTTAAAGTAATCGATACCTCTGTTTAATAAATTGTAAATATATAAAGAATTTGATATATACAAAGAAGTAATTGATTTCATCCTTCATGTAAAAATTTAAATAAATTATGAAATATTATAATTATTTCTTGTACATTCTTCTGCGTGGGATATATGAAATATAAAAATCGACGAGGATATCATGTCAAGAAAACTATTGACAGGTCATAGGCGTTCTACTTTGTAATCTTAATGGATTCCATCTTTATTAATGAAAGGATATTACATTGAAATTATGGCAATACCTTGAGTATGGGACAACTGAGTGTGACAAGGTGAATAGAGCTGCATTTTTTAAACCGTTATGTATTTTTGTTGAAGGGAAGTGGATGTATTTATCTTGAAATGAAATGGTGTTTAACGTCCTGCAGCGACTGTGCTAAGACGGCATACGCCATGCAGTGAGTGTGCTTATAGGAGGGAAATTTTGCCCAGCAGAGGCGCTACGGCGTACCCTTAATTCGAATTTCAGCTAGTAAAGGGTTTTATTATGTGCACGACAATGTGTACACCGGACCTTGGTCTTTCTTCCCATCCGAATGACTATACACTATTCATTGCCAGGCCCGCTGACAAAGAGGAAACCACACCGAAAAGAATCTTCTCGACCAACACCGTGAACAAATTCGAGACCGACTTAGCGAGCACAACTGCTAATATGTAAATAAGAACTATAACCAATTCATTTGTTTTATACAATTTTTCCACATTTCCAAGACACTGAAACATTTGTACCATATAGACTCCAATCAAAGCTAACTATAAAGATTAAATGTATATGTAAATGAAATGGGGTTCAACGTCCTACTGTTCTGCTCCGGACTGGGCTAATGAAGACGTGCATACGCCAGACACTGTGCTATGCGGTAAATTTTGCCCGGACAGCACCACGGCCTACTCTTATAACGAATTCCAACTGTCAAGGGATATTTTACGTGCACGCCAATGTGTTACACTGGAACTCGGGTTTTCGTCCCATCCGAACGACTAGACAGCTGTCCTTGTTAGGCCCCCCGTCGTGCATCACTGACAAGGGGGGGCCACGCGGAAAAATGTGGATGAACTTTCTCGGCCAATGCAGGGGCCGAACACCCGACCTCCAGGCTAGCGAGCCAGCGTCCTACCCACTTAGCCACCGTAACCCCCAAATGTATATGTAAATCATTATAAGAAACACTAGTAATGTAAATAATTTATATCCTGTCGATCTTTTTCTCACACATACAAAGCATAGTTAAAATGGTTTAGCGACGTGAAGTTAGTTTGTTGTTCGGTATTCCCTACAAACATTCCTATATAATATTAGTAATTCCATATCTGGTAAATAAGGAACAACAAACCAGCTCGTTGTTCGTTATTCGCGAATACTGAACAACAAACTGGCTCGTTTGTTGTTATTCGCGAATACCGAGCAACGAACAACGAACCACAAGCTAACTTCATGTCGCAAAATGGTTTACAGTTTTCCTTTAAAATATTCAGCTAAAACTAGAGTAAATAAAATCTATAAAGAAGAAATGTCCAACTTGAATAATTTTGTAATTTAAATTGTGGGACTTATTATAATTGGTTGTCACTAACAAATATTCCATGGAGATCTCTAGGAAGCCACACCGGAAATGTCACTCTACAGATTTCTGTCATGGTTTTGGCATTAAGAAAAATCAAACAACACTGTTTGTCATCACAAGTGGTATTTACGGTAGCTATAAGAACACCATCGTCTTCTGATTCAGCGTGAGGTGATGGTAGAAAACTTGGCTGCGACGGAAAACAATGGTCTTCCTTCCAATGGATACACGCTTTTGTCTGAATATCCAATTTTACCAACGAACTGGAGAATTTGGGAGTAGATTCATACGTTACACCGTAAACATATTGATATGGTTTACCTCTAAATTTTTCATTAATGAGAGGTAATTCAAAAGGCACGTATGACAATGCTTCCGACGTTAGCGAAATTTTCGTATCTGATGTTCGTACAGCCAGTGATTTGGAAAAAGCCGCAGATAGTAAGTTCGTTCCTATGGGTGTCGTTTTACCAAGGTTTAGGGGCAAAACAAATCGTTGGTAGGTTGATGGCGGGAAATTGCCTTCTGGTGACCCATCTGGTATCTCGAAAGCTAAATTACACATGAAATAGCTGTTTAGAACTTCACCATCTTTAAAGGCACAAAGATCCAAAACAATGTTACCACCATCTTCGAACGCATTTCCTTGGTTTATCATCATAAATGGTACACCTTCATACACGTAGTTTGAATTTAGTTCGATCCCAGTTTTTCTGTCTACAATATGAAACCTTGTCTTTAAATCTTTCCGCCATTCTAGACAATCAGACATGGGAAGTTGTCGAATTTCTGCTGATGCAACTTTCAAGGCATTGATCACTAATGGTTGTTCTATATAAATATAAAAATTTTCAGTCATAAAAAAACTGTGAATATAGGATGGTTTCAGTTTATTGTCAATACCAAGAGCTGCTATAAGTTTACCACTATATTTACTGGTGCCAGAAGTGGTTGGTGTTATTGTATAAAGACAATATTTGGGGGTTTTAACACCGTAGGAGTAACCTATGTTATGAATCGTCCCAGTTTGATCATAATGCACATGCGCCGAAGCTTGGTTTACATCAACAAGGTCGCTTAAATTCAAACGTTCAAGTGTTTCCAAAGTGTTAGGATCAAATCGATGTAAGTAATTAGTCTCCGATACGGCAAATAGTTCTTTTCCTATTCGGATTATATTTACCGGACAGTTATCCGTTCTCTTCGCGATAAACTTAGACAGAAGGTTGACTATGATGTTTTTATTTGGATCTGGATAAGCCCGGGTTCCGAATTCGGCAAAAACAATCCGATTAGCCGTTATATTAGCTTTGTAGGCCTCACTCTCTAAGAACTTCCTCTGGTAGTTAACTTTTCCGTTTTTGATATCAAATCGTTGGATGATCGCCATGCCATCAAACCAGTGGAAAAATTTTGTGTCTCCTACTTCAAACAGCCCAGGTCCATTTCTATACACACTACCAATTATCCATTCTGGTAGATCACCGATCACATCACCTTCTATAGGCGTCGTTATCTCTTCTTTCACAGAACGAAATAGTTTAAACATATTTTTATTTACCATGCCCTGTTATAGAACTGAAGTACTTCAAATGTATCACGACTCAGAGTGATTGACAGAAAGTAGCCAAATGTGTCCATATAAGTGTTTATATAGGGCATGTTCAATGGTTACATAACCACTGATATCTCATCATCAGCAGTAGATAAGAAACAGTTCAAAGAGCGAGTGTGGACAATAATAAAATAATGATTACTCAGATAACTGATTAAATCACAGGCACATGTAACGTGAAAAATATTTAAAAAATAACATCAAACTATGACTAAGTATATGTCTAAAGTCTGTTGCGTTCATTTTCGTAAGCGAGGTTATAAAATAACTGGTCTGATCCCAATTTCTAACTCAAGGGCAAATAACTCATCTGAAACCGATTCTCTTTCAGAAGATTTAATATACCAAGGTGAGAAACTGGTTGGAATTAAATAATTGGGATCAAAGTTCACTACTCTCGATTTCGTCAACCAGTGGCAATACTCACTAATTTTCTCTAGCTAGACAATCGTATCTACGATGACGTTTAAAAATTGTGACTTAAAGCAGGTCATCGTGGACTCGATTGTCTACCTCGCGAAAATATTTTCAAAAACTGAATATAATATAAATCACTTTACGTTCATTCGTATTAAATTTATATGTGCTTTTAGAACCATTTTCGTCTATTTCATGGTTCGAAAATATAGAGCCATACACCCTTTAATATATGTAATAATATATGTCTTTTCATCAAGTAAACTCAAACAGATATCAATTGTGGCGTTGCTGCCTACTTAAAGAAACACTGAATGAAAATATCTACCAGGATACGCTTTGACAATAGTTATATCGTAGAATATATTTTTTTATCAAGACACTCTAACACATTTGTTAAAACAAAGATGATAAAGTATGAACTTTCTAAATAAATCACTATCTCAAACGCACCATTGAGATACCCCCCCCCCCCCAAAAAAAATGAAATGAATTGTTCTGCTCCGACTGGGCTACTGAAGACGGACATACGCCTTATCGTGTGGTATGGGGGGGGGGGGGTGAATTCTGTCCGGACAACGGCGCTATACCGCCTACTATTACATCGAATTCCATTTCCTAAGGTATATTTTGTGTACACGCCCAATGTATATGCAGGGCCTCAGCTTTTCGTCCTATCCGAACGACTGTACGATGTCCCTTGCCAAGGAACCACGCCGGAAAATACCGATGAACTTTCTTGATCAACACCAGGATCCAACACGGACCACCGCGGCTCCCTACACTGGAGTTGGAATTCGATATAAGAGTAGGCCGTAGCGCCACTGCCCGGGCAAAATTTCCCTCATAGATGGCATATGCCCGTCTTCATTAGCCCTGGTTAGGAGCAGAACAGTAGGACGTTAAACCCCATTTCATTTCATTTAGAGCGCATTTTTAACGTGATACCCTTCCATATAGTGGATCTATGGCGTGTAATATTGATAACATAATTTATAAAATATTAACATCGTATTTAAAACAATACTTTTGACAAGCAAAGTTGTCTATGAAATAACTATGTTTCCCTGGGGGAATCGCCCCACTTTCACATAAACTAATACAAATATTACCAAAATTAAGAATGCAGTCTGGTTGATAAAAACCAAATGGAATTTAACAAAAAATGAAACCTGTTATTTACAATTATGGAAGATCGTTTACATATCAATTTTCCACCGAGACATGTCGGACTTATAACATTAACCCGATCAATTGGCTAACAATGCGCTGTGCTCAAATTGATGCTAAATTAACGGTTTCGTTTGTTTCCGTGTTAAGCTCCCCGCTGCCCCCACTATTTATGTAATATTGAGACAGTTGCAACATAGCAATTAACATCAAACCCCTAGGGTCAATCTACCAATAACTATGGTGTTAACGGTCATTAGACCCTGGCGCACTATCACCCAATTTGTCACGAGCGGCGCGTGCCCGTTCACTTTTGGCAGACAGTAATTTTCTGGAGAGTGAAAGATCAGAATGGCACAGCGGGTTTTAACTGTTGTAAATAAAAATAACGTATATTAACAAATTAACTACGTATTATTTCCACCACGTCATGACACAATAATAACCCCTAGAATATGCTATATATAAGGCATTTCTCTAAACTGACCATCATAAAACAAGAAATTGTATACAAGTTTACATCAATGCCGCCCTATTCCGTCATGGTTACCAACAAAACCGGAAGGCAGCCAGGAAAAGTGAAGAAGCAGAGACAACATATTCCACACAAAGACAGAACACCAGAATACGTTATAAAGAGGAACAAGAGAGAACGAGATCGTGTTGATCATGTTAACCAGGCATTTATAAAACTCCGAGATCACATTCCTGACGTTAAAGACGACAGCCGAATGTCAAAAATCGGAATTTTAAGGTCGGCTAGTGAATATATTAAGAGTTTAACCAGTTTATTGAACATGAGTGAATTATGTACACCGATACAAAATCAACAGCACGACAATCTTTCCATCGAGAGCATGTCTCCATGCCAAAGTTTACAGACGCTGCCCAACAACGATATCCAGTCTTTGTGCATTGAAGTGAGTAAACGGAAATTTTTGTCATTTTCATCAATTTCATAGAAAAAAATCGACAATTTCCTTTAAGCCAACCAATAATCCCGTTTTCTGATTGTGCCACCCAAAATAGACGAGGGTATTAATATATGATAGTGTAAAAGCATATTTTTAAAGAAATTATTTAGTTCATTATCTCGATAGCCTATCCCATAAAAAATGTATTTATGGAAAATATATTTTTTTTCTTCAGAATTCAAGTTGCGTGTATAGTAAAAGTATTCAAGATGTGCCATCAAGTGTGCCAAACGATGACATTTTAATTCTTATGTGGCTTCAACGACAATCGGAACAATTTAGTTCAAATAGCGGTAATTGTTTTCGTAGAAGACAAGCCAGCTGACAGATCTGTAAGTGATATTTCCCAAAATAATGCCACAATTGTCATTGAGACATTGATATATAAGATAAGATAAGACGAAAGAATTAATAACAAGAACTAGTGCCGCATTAGATTTTAAGTGGCTGAAACTATAAAATGTCAACAGCGCAGTGCGGTTTATTACTGAGCGTTCGAATATCGGGAAAATACCGATATTGATCAAAGAGGCGACCAGGGCCCGATTCCTAGAAAATTCTTAAGCACGTTCTTGTGCTTAGATTTAAGAAGACTTTGCATTTAAGTAAACTTACCTTATTTTGTGTTCCCAGAAAATTCCTAAGAACGTTCTTGTGCTTAGATTTTAAGTAGACTTCATTGTAAGCACAAGAACGTTATTATGCGTTCCAAGAAAAAACTTAAGCACAACTTCGTTCTTAAACATAGTCAATCTAAGCACAAGTCCCAAGCAAGGTAGCCTATACGGTTTGCTTACCAACCTTAAGTCTGTTTCCACTTCAAAAAGATGGCTGACCGTAGAGTTATTCGACGGCATTTCCGACACCTTTTTATACCAAAGAGACAATTACAAGACAGAGAAAGTCTTTCTCCAGAAGAAATTATGAATACTATAGAAAATTTCTCTTCTACCCTGAAACCATTTTATTTATTTGCCAATTAGTAAACAATAGGCTACAAACACACGGGCTATTTAAGATCAGGCGCTCTCACAATTATTCAGTTAGTTTGTATGTGTTTGCGTTTTTTTTATCTTGTGGCACATTTTATATGTGTATAGGGGACATGTCAAATGCATCTAAATCAACCATATATATATATGAGGTCAATGAAGCAGACGACAAATTTATGACGTAATTCGCATACCAAAGTTGTTTTTGTAACGTTAAAGAGCATCGTAGTCTCAGTTTATGGTAAACTTTACCAGTCACAATGTGCTTAGACTTATACTTGACTTGTGCTTACGTAAGAATGGTCTTGAGAATTTTCTAGGGACGGTATTTTTACAAGTTTCTTACGTAAGAAAAAGTGAAGCATGACTTTGTGCTTACTTTAAAAATTTTCTAGGAACCGGGCCCATGATTCTGCATCTGAATCACATCCAAAGCTTGTCCGTTTACTTAAAAAATTAAAAAGAAAAAAAAATACTTAAAAGTATTGATCGTGGGGTTGTTTTTTATTCGTCAAACTGTGGTATGATCTACTTTTGTTTTTCCTATAGTGCTCATAATCATTGTATATATTATATTGATAATGTTTGTACATAATATTAATAAATGCTTCATCTTATATTGAAATCGATGAGTGAATTATTTGAAATTGTGTTTCAGCCGTCAAGGGTTTTGCCACGTGCACGTCAACGTGTACACGGGACTTCAAAAGACTTCTAATTTATGTACCTCCCCCCCCCCCCGACACACAGCATCACTGACAAGGGGAAACCAAGTTTGAAAAAAATGGGGAAATTTCTCAGACCCCCTTTTACGTGAGCCAGCGCCTAAGTCATCATGGCTCCATACTCTCAATATGTCAACTAATCAAAAGAGTTATCTCGGATACACTGTACTTTGTATAAATGCAAATCAATTAATATTCTGAAAGTCATGGTTAGGGCAAGATTGAAAATAGTCTTCATTTGTACGTATTCGTGCACTTATTGTCAGTTTAGTTATTGCACTCTAGTTTATTGACCAATCAGTATCTCGTCCTAACTATAAATTATGCGCAAATGTATTGATGTTCAAACTGAGATTGGAAACTGGGTTGATGTTTGTTCACTAACAGTAAAGTTGTGGTATTTCACAGAATGAACCAATCAGATTGGGGTGACTTATTGTTAGGCATTGATGTTCGAACCTATGTGAAGACTGTTAGGGAGTGGTTTTGTCAATATCAGTCAACTTGAAGTTGCTGTTGGGTTTCGGCGTGGTTCCCCCTTGTCAGTGATGCAGGACGGAGGGCCTTACAAGGACAGCTGTCTAGTCCTTCGGATGAGACGAAAAACCGAGGTCCCGTGTATATATTGGAATGCACGTAAAAGATCCCTTGGCAGTTGGAATTCGATATAAGAGTAGGCGATAGTGCCGCTGCCCGGGCAAAATTTCCCTCATAGCACACTGTATGGCGTATGCCCGTCTTCATTAGCCCAGTATAGGAGCAGAACAGTAGGACGTTAAACCCCATTTCATTTCATTTCATGCTGTTGGGTTTAAAACGACGAATGGACACATCTATATTGCCCATATACATGTATACGATATTAATTCTTGCATTTAGACAACGGCACACTTTTAGTGGACTAGAATTGCTATCGTTTATTATCGCAGATTATTCATATATATTGGTCGACCCATTTTGTGTTAAACAGTACATATTGTTATCAGTAAAATGTTAAAGTATACAGATCCAATATAAAATAATAATACACTATTACCTGGACAAAATGAACATGCATGATCTTAGAAGTGTTTCAATAGGGAGAGAGAGAGAGAGAGAGAGAGAGAGGTTAACGCCCACTCGACACAAACTAGGTCATTTCGGGACTAACACATGGTTCAATTTTATTTCTATAATTCGCTTACGCGTAGGGGTCTTTAGCAGTGGGAGGAAACCAGAGAACCCGGAGAAAAACCTACGAGGTTAGAAGGCGACCCTACCCCTTGTCACGTACAACTGGGGAATCGAAACCGAGCCAGTTGAGTAAATGACAGACCTTATGATACAGCGCGCACGTGCTAACCATTCGGCCATCCAACCCTCCGTTTCAATAGGAATACCCTGAAATATCTTGATGAAATGAAATTAAATGGGGTTTAATGTCCTACTTTTCTGGACCGACTGGGCTAAGGAACATTGGCATACGCCATGCAGTGTATGGGGTTTAACGTCATACTTTTCTGCACCGACTGGGCTAATGAAGCTTGGCATACGCCTTACAGTGCGAATTGAAATGATGCAAGAGATGGATAAAGAACAAGTTAAAAACAAATGCGATTTTTCGTACAATCAGGAGCCATAATCAAGAAAGTTATGGTCTGAAATGCGCAAATATCAAAAGAACTGAGATCTTTGGGATATAAAGATATATTTTGAGTTTCATCAAAATCGAATAAAAATTGTGACCTCTAAGGGGTCCACAACCTTGGTATTACTACTTTTACACTATTTACGTACAAGGAGCGGGTTCGGTCAGTTTTTACGAAATTCGAACTGAACCTTTATTGATGTGTAAATGTAATATATTTAAACGGTTTTTAAAACAGAATACAAATTGTGATTTCTAGCTGGTCCACAAGCGATTTTTCGAACAATCTGCGGCCATATTCCAGGAAGTGGCTTTCGGATATGCGCGATTATCAAAGGGGACCAAGATTTTTGGGTTATAAACATGCATTTCAAGTTTCATCAAAATCGGATCAAAATTGTGACCTCCAGAGTGTCCACAAGCTAAAAACGGGATTTTTCGTACAATCAGGGACCACACTCTATGAAGTTATGGTACTATAGATGCCAATATCGAAAGGAACCGAGATCTTTGGGAGAGAGACCTAATATTTCAAGTTTCGTCAAAATCGGATAAAAATTGTGACCTATCGAGTGTTCACAAACAAATTGTGGACGGACAGGGGTATAAAAACACACTTTCGTCTTCCTTTGTAAGTCGCGAGGGTGGGGGGATTCTGAGTGGCCTAGTGGAATAGTCTAGACCTAGAGCATCTCTTCATCTAAATTCGGCACTGCGAACTACCGGGTCTGTTTATGATAGAATTGTTATTTTATGTATTATTTGAATTATAATATCATGATAAATGAACAAACTTTTCCTTTCTGATTATAATATTATTATACATGTATTAAATCTGTTCGTTGCCATGTGTTATAGCCCGTGAATAAAAACGACTCTTTATCTACTAACACGGTTCGCACAAACTGTAAATATGACTGTTTATTCAGAGGGAGAATGTCAGTCATATTTTGAACAATGGTACATTTAATATATTACAACACATGTTACATCACAATTTCTTTCTAAAATAACTTTATTTTAACAAAAAGCGTTATACTAATATTAAACAACTAACATAACAGCAGTCCGGGTCGGCTTAATCTGTCTTCTGTTGTTCTATCAATATTTTGTCGGTCTCATGTCTAAGCCACTGTATCACATTCCTGCGAAATTTGGTTCACGTGGAAAATAGAAAATTTCACCCTGCAAGATGCCCCTGGGCGATCACTATGGGGCTAAGCAAATTGATTTGCACAATTCTGAATAAGAATCAACTGTGCAAGACATATGACATTATGTTTTATAAAATTCATCAAGCGGTCTAGAAGAATACGTTTAAAATGTCAATATGTGTCCTTTAATAGGGCGACCACCGAAGCAGAGTTAAGTGACTTGATGTGAACAAAAATGAATGACCACTATATAAGCAACATGTCTGCCAATTTGGCTCAAATCTACCAAGTTGAACGGTTCAGGAGAGATAAGCGAAATTGTCTCAAAAATATCCAAATTTGACCCCAGAAGGTGTCTCTGGTCATCATATTTCAAATGATCAAAATAAACATTGTCCAGTAATCATATTCAAATTAGTTTGAGATCTACTAATTAGTTACAGAATAAGACGTCGAAATTGTCTTTAAAATGTACATAATCAAAGATGCATTATGTAAGAATTAAATCTGCCTCCCCAAACCCCCACGCTCCCACCCCCTACCCCAGTTCAAAATCTGAATACGCACATCAAATGAAATGAAATGAAATGGGATTTAACGTCCTACTGTTCTGCTCCTAAACTGGGCTAATGAAGACGGGCATACGCCATACAGTGTGCTATGAGGGAAATTTTGCCCGGGCAGCGGTGCTACGGCCTACTCTTATATCGAATTCCAACTGCCATGGGATCTTTTACGTGCACACCAATATGTACACGGGACCTCGGTTTTCCGTCCCATCCGAACGACTAGACAGCTGTCCTTGTCAGGCCCTCCGTCATGCATCACTGACAAGGGGAAACCACGCCGGAAAATGTGGATGAACTTTCTCGGCCAGTGCAGGGATCGAACACCCGACCTCCAGGCTATCGAGCCAGCGTCTTACCCACTTAGCCACCAACAAATCCCGAAAGGCTGCAGTTCAGAACAAGATGTTGAAATGTCGCAAAATGTCTAAATTCATTTATTTACGGTTAGAATCAAATACAAATCAAAGTTGTCTATACGTATGATAGACAGGAAAATACGACCACACAACGCCTGACCAATGCGGGCGGAATATTCAGCGTCGGGTCAATGGGCATGGAAAAATGTAGGAGAAGTGGGCGTCGGCCCATTGGATAGTAACTGGATTGTCCATGTGGATTGTGTAAAATCTTTCAGAATGAAAAGACGTAGAAAGGAATAAAATGTCAAAAGTATGGTTATCTAGCTGTGATTGGAAACATGTCATCAGTCCAGGGCCCGTGAGATGGGGATGGGGAGCAGCTGGGACATGTGTCCATCGGTCCGTGCTCTAGAGGGGCCCGGAGGTATGCCGAGTAATGTTTTAAAAATGCACTGTTACTTGATCGTAAAGTAGAAACAAAAATTCTGAATGTGGAGAGACCCCCGACCCCTCGCCGAGTTGCTTGTCCCAGGGCCCGTGGGCCCTGCTCCAGTCACACATGATTTTAAACATGATCGTTTTTATTTTCTTCAGATAATTCGAGATATATGGCAGAAGGGACTGTAATAAACCTTTTTTTTTTATTAAATTAAAATAACATTTCTGGGACAGCTGCTTTAAGGGACTAGTTTCCTGGTTCCGCCCTAACAACTATTGTATCTATTCCACTCTAGAAGATAAAAAAATCATCACCTGAGTGTTCTTCGTGGTGCGTACGGGATGCGAGTTCGGGAGTGTTTTGAAGGTAGACACTAAAACATTACTCAAATTTATAAAGGGACAGAACCTCTTTTTAGGACGATAATTTAAATCTGTTATATCACATTGAATTTACGAGGGAGGTTTTTATTTTTTTTTAAATGTATTTTTTTACCGAAGAATGATTTTCATTTAAAAAAAGAAAAGAATTCTTTAGGTACTAATTCAAAAAAAAATAATCTCACAAGAACTATTTCAATTAAAGAAAAACCTACTTATCAATTAATTTATAATTAATGAGTTAATTACAAGTTATTTTATCCCGTAGCGACGCGATATTAATGACTTAATCAACGTTAATCCGGTCTAATGATGAATTAGTGAAGGACTGTTGATCCAACTGAGAATTAGCGCTTTAATCCATTACAATCCCGATGTAACTATCGAAACCTTCACACAAAACATGGAGAATTACAAAGCCTTCGGTATATCAAAAAAGAATTGTCCCTTCCGTTGCCGAAGGGTACATCCCAACCGCATGCTAAAGGCCAGACATGTGCCCGATCAAACGGGTTTTGATCTTTCCATTCTGAAGACGCTAGACGTAACTGTTATGTCTAAAACTGAAATAATAATTTGTTAATATATCAAATATTTTACTTGTATCGACATGTTAAAAACAATAAGCTAGATGACTATTATCCGTTATCGGTCAGCCATAACACGGGGTTTTATGAGAGAGTTATATCATAATCTATGACCAGTCAAAGTTGATTTCTAAGGAGTACACAAATATCTACATGTCGACAAAATGGCGTTTCTCTGTCCCAGCAGATCGGGGAAAAATAAAGAAAAGAAACAAAAAGGTAAGAAAACTTTTTATGAAAAATAGATAGGCTAAGCCAACTCAGCTATCGTGTTATTTTAATTGTCATTATCTATTTTCGACGTTCAGTATCGTAGTAAGAGCTTTGATTTGATTTTTATACTTAATTACATCAGTCATCAGCATTGCAAGACTTCCATTTCTGTTCGAGGCTGGGGCTAAGTGAAGGGGATGCAATGACGCATGTTGCGTCACAGGTTTGAGATTTTGTGCCCCGCAATGAAATGAAAAAAAAATCATGTGGTTTCACTTTCAATGTATTTTCAATGCTATGATTATATTCATAATGCTCATGAACCAGTGTCAAACACAAACTGTGACTCAGATATGCTACATTTCGACTCTTACTATGTCCCACACAGCCCAACATTTCTCAACCCCTTGGGCAGAGAATCCCTCCTGATATAAATATTGGGTTTTTGTTCCCCCGCACCGCAGGATCTGGTTTCTCATGCAAAATCAGCCGTCACCACGCCCTTGGTTCGAGGAACCTTCTCTAAGTGTCGGATTTAGATGGGTGCGCGGTCTACTATTTTGATTTTCCAAATATAAAGTTCTTGGATTCAATCTCTATCATAGATTAATTCAAAATGTTCCACTACTACTAATAGTAGTAATAATAATAATCCAATAGGGACTGTGACCCGAACCCAGTGCACGGTTACTCGCTTCGCTTTCAAAGGAATATGTTTGGCGCAATATATCCCGGTTGGAGCTGAGGTGCCATAAAACCACATTTCATTTCATTTCATTTGCTTTCAAAGGCCCACTTACATCCCTTCTCCTCACCAACTACCAATCGGCCTTTGCTCTCTAGTACAGAAATGTACTCGGTATAGTTTAAGTCTTCATTGATTAACGCCTTCTTTTATATTTCAGTCCCGTTTCTAGGACGTATAACAGGCAGTGCTAGTATTGATACTTTGGTTAGAGTAGGATTGGAAAAACAACATGGTCTGAAACCAGATTCTAGAATGGTAGCTCAACATGATTTCCTACCTTGTGGACAAAACGAACTGGAAATATGCAAAGGACAAGACGCCTATGTTTTATACAGAGAAAACGAATGGGCTTACGTTATAACCGAAGAGGGAAGGGAAGGGTTCGTTCCAAATTCTTTCCTCATACCTTACAAGACTTACCAAAGACGTTCGATGTTATCTAATCATGAGAATGATTTTACTATGTGGGAGATCGAAGAAGAGAGTGAGCCAGAAGATGATGAGAATAACAATAATGATATAGATTTTACTACTGGTGGTACTAATGGTATTAAAGGAATTACGACTGGGGGTGTAATGAGAAAGAGTGCAGATATTCTAAGTGGGGAAACTGAATATATTCAATTGAAATCTATTTGTACTAAAGATAGTACTGAAGTCAATACTGTTAGTTTTAAAGGCTTGAGTGCGGATTTTAATACTGGACACATTGATTTTAATAAGTCGGATGCTAGTAAATATGTAGTATTATTTGATTTATGTGGTATAAAAGACAACGATATTAGTGTTGAACAAGGAGAAGTTGTTCAAGTATTAAATAAAGAAGATAAAGGAAGGATGTGGATAAGAAAATCGAATAATAAAGAAGGATTTATACCAAGTTCATATTGTTGTTTATTAAAACAAGATCCAAGTATTAAAAGTAAAGGTAAGATGAGCGTTTGATATATTTAATTACTGGTCTGTATCCACTCAGGGACGATAAAAGAATCACGACTTCATACTTTATAGTCAAGGTATTGCAAAATTGAAAAAAAAAATATGTTTAATCTAACGTAAAATCTTTATGAACCAATAATACATCTTTAATGTAACATAATAAATCCCCAAACTAAAACACATTTATAATGAAACGAATCTGTCCAAATAGAAATTTTGAAGGGGCCCTAAAATCTTGGGAGCCCTGTGCAGCTGTACTGGGGTAACTAGGTTATCTTTAAACGGAAAAACACCCGAGTATAAAGTTTCAGGGTAAGTAGATAAGCAGTGCAAATTGACGTGTCTCACGCGAAGTTAATTTATATTTAATGCCAAATTGAAAAAATGTAATTTTTATGCTATTGTGGTAAATATGAGAAAAGCATTGTTATCACTGCTATACTATAGAAGAAACATTGGTTTTTGTTTTATGAAAGATTTACAAAGAGTTCTAATTGGCACAATTAGTCATGAGTAGGGACATTACTGACATTTGGGTGCTGTGGCATGCACAGATTTGGTGATGCCCAGGACCAACTCCTTGATTGTATGATGCCTAGTACTAAGAAATGTGAGGACCGAAGACATTTTAAATACTTCAAAACAGACGGAATGAAGAAATTAAATTGGGCAGCTTGTACAACAAAGTTAACAATGATAATTTCAAATTTCAAAAAATTAATTTAATTATCCTCTTGATTGGATGCCCTGGCCACCAGCCTCTGTCCGCTGCTGTTTGGACGTATTTTAATGCATGATATTTAAATAAAACTTATATTATTTGTTTCAGAAGACATTGTATCAGATGTTCCACCGCCATTACCACCAAGAGATTATGAACCGTTGAAAAGAAGTAAGAGTTCTGATACTGATATTATTCCAGATATTGATGAAACTGTTACCAGCAGACGAAGAAGTAGTGATAGTGGAGATACAGAAGGTGTTATAAAACCTAAACCAGTTTATCAGAACAATGGTTTACCTCGCCCACCACCATACAGACCAAAACCTATCATAAAGAACTCTTTACCAGACCATTTTAATTCTGATCCTGAACACACCAATAGATCTGTCAAGTGTCTCCAAGAAGGTGAGATTCCGGAGAATTTATCTAGGTCTTTGATAAATCTGCAACGCAATGCAGTTATCAGAATAAAAGACAATTCAAATAAATCAATACATGATAGTGTAGTTCCAGGAATGAGTGACAGTTTACTAGTAAGCAAGTCTTTGCTAAATCTTCACAACAATCTAGTTCCTGGTATAAAAGACAATTCAAAGAGGTCTGTGTTTAATCTCCAGGACAGTGTTGTTCCAGGTATTAAAGATTGTATGAATAGATCTGTGCATAAAATTCAAAGTCTGTTAGTTCCAGGAATAAGAGAAAATGTAAATAGACCTGTACAAAAGATGAAAGATTCTAGTCCGGTTATGCCAGGAATAAAAGACAATTTAAAAGTATCTGTACATAATGTTCATGATATACCAGTTCCAGCAATAAAAGGCAATTTTTTAGGATCTACACCAAATATCCATATTCCAGAAATAAAAGCCAATTTAAAAGGATCTGTACCCAATATTGATGACATTTCAAGTCTATCGATAAAAGACAATTTAAAAGCTCAGACTATAAGTAAACCATTTAATAAACCTCGATCTCCTGATTTTGTTAAGATGATTGTGATATGTGATTATAGAAGTTTAACAGAAACAGGTTTAAATGTAAAACAAGGAGAAATAGTGTTTATAGACTATAATAATCAACATTCTGTTGGTAAACTATGGGTATATTCACCGACAGCTAACATGTACGGTAATATACCAGCTACTATATTAAAACAACCACATCAATTAGATGAACAATTTACTAAAATAGCCTTAGTCTAAACTATCTATTCAAGTCTTATCAGCATCATCTGCTTTGTTCGAAAAAAATCAAGTGACTCTGGATATTTTTTGTTTTATAAACAATAAAATAAAAAAAAGTATATTGACCATATCACGTTCATATGGTTTGGTAATCATTTTAGAGATTCAACTTCTACAATATTGTAGTTCGCAAGGGATACCTCAAAAGATGTGATTATTGACTTGTGTAAATTAATAGATCTCCCTGTTTAAATGAATCCTGAACATCATAGAACACATAATGTCGTAAGATTTAACTAACAATTTACACGAATTTGAATAATTTATTCATGACCAGGTACAAACGACTCAATACAAAGGTATATAACTTTATATAGCCATTCCACTGACTTTATACCAGTATTCAGAAAAACAGGACATGAATTATGATATTTGTCTCAATCTTAAAGTGCTATGAAAAAGGATGAGTAACAATGGAAACCCACATGGCAATAGAAGAGGGTTAGTCAATTGATATTAAATCTCTCAGGATTTCAGGAACAGTTTTAAAGACATTAAACCTTTTTGATTTAAGTCAAAATAAAGTGTTGATCTGGTGTGTTATTTGAATTAGTGATTCTTTATTTGTTATGAAATATTAAGCGGAAGTTGTTTCTTGCTTTAACTGTTGACTGCTAAACACAAAATCAGCATTGCCTCTTTCTAGGGTTTGAAAATTTTAAATGTAGAAAGGTGTCACTTTGCACAATTATTCATGCATCAAATTTACTGAAATTGACACTTTATTTTTTCCCAATCGGATTAAAATACAGATCTATATTTCGTTTCGTTTTTTTATACTTTCAATGGCCAACACTACATGAAGATCTGACCAGTTGTACTGGAAGGTCACGTCAGGGAGCAGCTTTTGACCCTATCACTTCAGACATTGATTAATCAATTAGCGTTGACATTTCTAGTGGTTTACCCACAGTTCCGTTCAGAGCACGATAAGAACTCGCCGTAACAGACCGTTTCATTGTCTAATTCCTCACATCAACTAGAACACCTGTCATATAACAACTCTTCCAGATCCCAGTGTTGTTAAGACCAGTAAAAAGAAATTTTGAACTATAAAAAAAGAAATAAAATACCGGTAGGATCTGTGTTTTAATCAGATTGATTTTTTCCCAAAATAATTTTAAATAAGTAATCAATATTTAAATAATAAAACAGAACAACCAATATTGTATTAATCATTATATTTTTCTGATTACATGATTTTTATTTACATTATGTAAAACGACTGTAAAAAATGATGTGGTTATAAATTACAATAGTCCTTGTCGCTTTAAATCTTCAAAAGTTTTCTTTGTAACAACATTTCCTTGGGAATCTTCATATTCTTCCTGTAAATAGATATTTTATTCATTTAAATATTGACTAAAAAGGATAAATCAGGTGGACAGTGGCTTTGTCTGATTACTCTTCTTCAAATTAAAAATCCCAAAGGATCTTTAATGTGCACTATATCTCATATTTCCCTACGTGAGAACTGGGCTTGTAAAATCTTGAGGATTCTTCTCAGAGAAAATGACAATGTCAACTTGGGAAATATAAGCACCACAACCCCAAAGAAATTTGAAAATCTCTGCCATTTGCAAGTGCAAGATATACAAAGAGCGATACTAATATATATAACATTGTCTGATGTAAATTGTTTCTTTTAGGATTTTACTGGACCTTTGTAATAATGGAAACCTTTTAGAATTCTACTAGAGATTTGTAATAATGAAAACCTTTTATTGTAAAATTCTTATTTTATTAAATATATTTATAAACACTCTAATGTATATTTTTCTAAGAATACATGAAGAATAGTTTTATATATTGTTAATTTATCAAATAAATGATTATAAAACCTACCTCTTGATCTGGCTTCCATCTTCCTTGTTCTTTACCAGATTTTATTTTCTGCCATACTGTAATATACAAAATATACACATAAAATTTAAGAGAGGGAGAGAAATGGGGTTTAACGTCCACTCGACACAAACTAGGTCATTTTGGGACTAACACATGGTTCAATTTTATTTCCATAATTTGCTTACACGTAGGGTTTTTTGGCAGGTTAGACAGGGTGACCCTACTCCTTGTCATGTACAACCGGGAAATCGAAACCACATCAGCTGATTCAATGACAGACCTTATGATACAGCGCACGTGCTAACCATTCGGCCCTCCAACCCCCCCTCATAAAATTTAAAGGGACAGATGCTATGATACCACCAAATCATGCACTAACTGTTTAATTCAAACTACCCTTGACAAAAACCCACAATAGTCCTAGCACCTATCAATATCAAACAATATCTAAATTTTATAGTTTCTAATAAATCTATGGAAATTTTACCATTGGGTAATCATATTTTTCTCCAATTTCTGACCAATTTATATGATTAAATAAAGAATACTTACATGCTAGAGCATCTTCTATAGATGTTACATTAGCAAAATGTGCTGTGTTAGGTATTCCTAAACATCTCATACCATGAGCATGGCGCCATTCCTGTAGAAAATATATAGCATTCATTTAATTAAAATCTGATTTAAACAAAAAGTGATGTTTTGCCATGACGACAGAGTGGGAACCTCTTATCCAACTAGATAACCCCCAGTGGACAATTCCACCGGAGATAGGTTTTTCCAGGGAAGTAGTATTTTTTAAATGTATTCTAAACTGTAAAAGGTCCACACCCTGTCATAGTATCATGAACAACACTTGTTACTTATTTCACTGTATAATAAACACACGCCCCCCCCCCCCCACTTTTAAGAACCAAGTATTTAGACTATTATCAAGTCAGATGATTTATTAAACATCAATCCACCATGCACAATTTCAAGGGAGGAATAACATTCTACACCAAATACATTATGATATCAAAGAAGCTATGAGTTCATCAGACTGCATTAGAACATCATTACAAGAGTTCATGATTGTGCATCCTCCATTTGCTCAAAATATATTTGATTACCGGTATATTACATGTATATTCTAATTGATAATATCATATATTTTTCACACTTTGCATTTCATACATCTTATACTTTAACATTTTCTTCACACAATATAAATTGGTTCTTTTATAGTATTTGAAACAAACATTTATATCAACTTACTGCAAAATGTCTCTGAAAAGCTTTTGGTCCTCTGTATGTAAAATTACCACAGATTTCACAGCTATAGGAGAGATTTAATCCATGTAGTTTATATAACCAATACGGTATAGGCTGTAAAACAATATATTCTATATATATTAACAAAATAGCATCTTAAATACCACAAACACATTATAACCTGAATCATAATTTAAAACTGTTAATGTAATCACTCAGTTTAGACAGGTACTCCTATCTTATTGATGTTCATATTATGTACTGAAACCTTTTATTTGGCTCATCAACGTAGCACTTGGTCAAGGCCATTTTCTAATAATTTATAATAGTTTTTCTAGGTTTGTGTCTACATTGAAAAAGTAAAGAGGAGAATTTTGGCCAGACAGCAATGTTTCTGTCTATAAATACTCTTTTCATCAATCTTATTAAAATACAGATCTATATTTCGTGTTTTTATTCTATTCCATGGCCTACACTACACGAGGTCATATGAGTGGCTTTTGACCCTATGATGTCAGACTTTTGATTAACCAATCATTGTTGAACGTTTCATTGGCTAATCCCTCACATCCTTCATAACACTTTTCCAGATCCTAATGTAGTACAGACTAGTAAAACTAACTTTTGAACTATAAAAACGAAACGAGAGAGAGAGAGAGAGTTTAACGTCTATAGGACACAAACTAGGTCATTTCGGGACTAACATAAGGTTCAATTTTATTTCAATAATTTGCTTGTGCGTAGGGGTCATTAGCAGTGGGAGGAAACCGGAGGACCCGGAGAAAACCCACGAGGTTGGACAGGGGACCTTACTCCTTGTCAGTACAACCAGGGATTCGAAACCACGCCAGTTGACTCAATGAAAGACTTTATGATACAGCGTGCACGTGCTAACCATTCAGCCATCCAACCCCCCAAAACGAAACGAAATAGGATCTGTGTTTTAATCAGATTGTCTTTTTCTTTTTTTTGAATTCCAAGTGACCTTTGATGTGCTCTGCCATCTGAAGTGGAAAGCAGACAATCACAAAGGATCATGGGATTTTTCATAAACTATTTCCTCTATACTAACCTTTCCATCCCAACCTAAGGGTAAATTTTTGGGGTTATATGGAATATCATTTTCATCATCTGATTCATTGTCAGACATATTTTCTTCATCCGAATCTTCTCGTTCAGCATCTGTACGTGCTTGTTTACGTTGTACGTTATCTCTTGTAGATGCTCGTTGTTCACCTAATAGTTCAGTCATACGGTAAGCCTGGGCCTCTAAAGCTGCTAAATCTCTCTGTTTTTCTGCATCTCTATAAAAAAAATGTTGACAAATGAACTGATATTTGGATACATAAAGATAGTATTAATCAATTATTCACATCGGAATACAGATATATACTAATGTCCAAAAGAAAGTATACACCAAGCATTTCGTCCTACTTCAAACAAAGTCATTTTTCCATTGTATGCTGTACAGTGTTCATTTTTGTTTTGTCGTTTATTTGCTTAGAAATATTGAGTTTGGACACACGAGACATGTTCAGTGTAGTTTTATCACATTTTTTTTTATTTAAACAAAACTTAGTCATATTTTTAGTGTGTATACTTTCTTTTGGACATTAGTATATATAAGTCTTTTGTCTTTTTTGGGAATACTTAAATCGAATTTTGTATTTCCATACATGAAATAAATATTGTTTAATTTAGCCAAATTTTCATATCTTTTAAGTGATAGTTGTCTTCTTTTCCATTTAATAAATACAATTGTAAAACAAAAATAAAAATTGTTGGAGTGCCCAAGTTCAGGGCGCTGTTTCACAAAAACTTAAATCTCCTTAAAATCGTCTTAAACTAAAATTCCATCCTAACTTAAGATAGATGCGTTTCACAAAACGATTTTAAGCATTTTAGATAAAATCAACTAACTAAAATAATATTGTAAGTTAAAATTGTATCTTAACTTAAAATAGTGGCGTTTCACAAAGCTATTTTAGGGACAATCTTAACTAAAATCAATTTTAACTTAGGACAGCCGTCACCCTCTCGTAACTTAAAATCACGACATTAACAAACATTGATTAGAGCTATGTTGTGGGATCTATTGCGACATATGGATATATTTGGAATAATGATAATATTGCCAATGGCCCGGGTTGTATACTATCATTCACAAAAATAATTTTCATTCATTTTTTTTTTCATTCCATGGGAAATATAGCTGCGGCACACCCGTTTATTTTATTGTAAGGCAATATAAGCAATTAGATGACGCCCCAAATTAAAACCCCAAGAACAAAAAAACCTCAAAACCCCAGTAAACAAAACTCTTTGTTACTATTTTATATATTACCATGATTCAAGTATAAATTATACTATTTTCAAATAATTAATAGACCAAAAAAAAACCTAAGAGAGAGAGAGAGAGAGAGAGAGAGAGAGGGGGGGGGCTTTTCCTGACTAAAACATGGATAATTTTTTTTTAATAATTCGCTTGGATGGGCGACTCTGTCAAGTACAACCGGGGGATCGAAACCCCGTCAGTCCTATAATACTACTAGATACACCATATGCAAAGTATTTATGGCTTTGTGATTATGATGATTTATATAGGAGCCAAGGGTATTTTATATTTGGAAAAATCATTTTAATTTAGTAAGATAGATAGGCAATAAGGAGTGTGGCACAATGGGATTTTCAAATTATTTTTGAAAGGGTTCATGGAACTGACATTTCAAATCTAGGCATCGCCGTAACATTGGTTTTTTCGTGTATTAGTTTAAAAGTTCTTAAAAATCGACAATAGTTTAGTCTAGATTAATCGTTTGAGTCAGAAATATCACATGTTTGTGACAATTTCTCAATAGTTTCTGTTATCCAAAATACCATAAAACTATGAAATTCAAGCGATTTAGTTTATCGATACGCATTATTTCCATTGAAGCCTGCGAGTAAATCAAATGCCAAGGTCACGAAAGCGACATGCAAGTTCAAGGCCAACCAACTGATACATTTCAAAACAAAAAACACGCAATAAACTTATCTATTTCATCTCTCTACGACTGACTGACCATGTGCAGACATTGTTACAATGTATGAGACCCTCCTCATTGGTATTGTAACGGTTAGTTCAACCTGGCAAAGTTTTCAGTTCTGAAGCGTGTACGCTCACACCCTATGTGCCCTCACCGGAATTGTGCACTGCGCGAGCGCAAGCAATTTTAACTAAAATCTATTAAAATTGCATTTTAAGTTTGATTTTAGTTAAAATCTATTTTATTGATTTTATTGATTTTAGTTTAAGTTTTTGTGAAACAGGGCCCAGATTTCTCGTTGATTCCATATCCAGGTCTTCAAGCCACTCTTATGTCTTATATTAATAAATACGATTGCTAATGTAAACACTTCAAGTAGAGCTGGGTTGACTGTTCCCCAATCCAGATTCAGAAAAAACATAAGTTATCGGAATAACAATAGAATTCTTACAAAAAAAACCTGAGAAACTGGTTGACAAAAATAACTTACTTAGATTTATTAGTAGTTTTTCCTGGTTTAGATTTGGCAAATAAATTAGGATCTAAGTCTTCCATACTTTTACCCTTTGTAGAGAATAATCTTTGTGCCCTTTCTTCTAATGTTCTAAATTAAAAATATAAGTAATAATTACTACACACTGTATATATAAAATAATCTAATCTTACTAGTTTCATCATATGAAATACTCCTAGTTGTGACTGTAAAACTTCTATATTTTCAATAGGTCTTATGACATGATCAAGAAAACAAACAATATACATAGAAATGAAATGGGGTTCTGAATTCACCACTATGTGTTCTTACTGTATAAATACAGCTTCTACATTGACAATGAAAGAATTTCTTTTATATTTTCGTATAATCATAAAAATTTCAAACCAAATCCTGCATGTATAATTTGTTATATTGTTTCTCCTAGAAAGTCTGTGAAGATTCAATGTTTTTCACATAAGACTAGTGTAATCAGAAACTGTTTTGTGGCAAGATTAACCAGATATTATTTTGTGTATATAGCTAAACGAGAAACAAAGAAGTGTGTTTAAATGATAACAATGTGTTCGGTACTTACCCTCCACATTTAACACCTAAAGCCATTAAAGCCGACTTTAACCTATCTAATCCAAGAGATGCCAATTCCTGTAGACAACACAAAATAATATTTAAAAAATTATATAATATCAGACATAAGCTATAATTATTTTTTAGAGTGTACTAAATATAGAAGCAATAATTTCATGTAATCTCAAGAAATTGTGGATGATGAATGGTGGCGATGGCAATATACGACCATATCACTGCCAAGCCTAATGGACTAAATTCAGTCAAGAAATTAATGAAGGTAAAAATTGGAGTGACACTGTCTATTAAAAATTTACAAAATCAGATGATGCATGCAATAATACCATGCTTATCAGCAGATCCCACTGATATCTATTACTGCATAATAATGTAACTGAGGAAAAGATAACAACAGTATAAAGTTTGATGAAATGAAGTAAACTGACTTACCTCCCATGATGAGAAAGCAGAGAGATCTAAATGAGCACCTGTATGTGTTAAAGCACCACTAGCCTCTTTCTATAAACAAAATTAGCACAATAAATGTAAACATACAGTAAATATGTCCACAACTAGTACTATTCAAATATTCACAGGACAAAAATATAAGTGTGTCACTAACTGGCAGCCTGTCTACACGAATGATATAAGGAGCGCTTTTTATGTCTTGATCTAAAGTCAAAGATAATTCAGGGAAAGATGAATGGAATACAGTAACCTTTAATGGGGTTTAACCTCCACTTGACACAAACTAGGTCATTTCGGGATTTACATGGATTATTTTATTTCAATAATTTGCTTGCACGTAGAGGTCTTTAGCAGTAGGAGAAAACCAGAGGACCCAGAGAAAACTCATGAGTTTGGACAGGCGACCTTACTCCTTGTCAAGTACGACCGCGAAATCAAAACCACGCCAGTTGATTCAATGACTGACCTAATGATACAGCACGCACGCCCTAACCATCCGGCTATCCAACCCCCAACCTCAAAGAGAGAAAACCTGTTTTAGAGAATTGATCTGTGGTGGATTGACTCATTCATGAAAACCTCATTATCACATGTTATAGTCGTGATGTTATAGTAAATTCACAATTGCTAAATTAAAGTGTACCTCCCTAACAAAATTAACAATCATCCAATTATAAAAGTGCTACATCTTCATTACATCTCAGTATATACTGAAGAAATTTATATTTTGTATATTAGAAAACTTACAGGCCAACCAGGAAATACACCATCTGCCCATTGATTTTCAAAATCTTTACTAACTGCCTCCATTTCCTGAATAAAAATATGACAATAATATAAGAGAGAAACAGAGAAATGGGGTCTAACGTCCACTTGACACAAACTAGGTCATTTCGGGACTAATATATGGTTCAATTTTATTTCAATAATTCGTTTGCACGTAGGGATCTTTAGCAGTGGGAGGAAACCCACGAGGTTGGACAGACGACCCTACTCCTTGTCACGTACAACTGGTGAATCGAAACCACGCCAGTTTACTCAATGACAGACCTTATGATAAAACGTGGACGCACTAACCATTCGGCAGCACCTCAAGTCCCATGTAGCAGCACCTCCAGTCCATGTTGAATCCCTAGTCTTCACAAAACCCAAGTCCAGTTTACATTGCAAGATCATCAAATGAGTCAGCAATTCAGTTTTGACAGACTTGTTTTCTCAAACCTATAGAACATCAGACAGCTGGGTTATTATCAGTAAAGCATGTACCGGAACTTATTGTTAAATACAGCGGGCCTCAAATTGACCTGGTATGAATGTACAATGCGCATAAACTCTTCTCTTGCCCGCTAAGCAAATTTACCTCCAACTCTATCAAAATTTAATGCACCACAATCTGAAGGTTTGGATGATAGAGTCCTTAGCTCTTTAATGTTGTGTGTTGTCACTAATGCCGAATCCGAGTCTGGTTACAATAAATATTTCAAGTCTTGTCACAAGTCTGACTTAAGTTCCCACTTCTGCTAATTAACTATAATTAGCCAGAGTCATTTGCTGGTGCACAAATTTATTAAAAAAAGGTGATAAATATGGTAGTTTTTCATAAAAGTCAAAAGTTTCAGATGCTCTAATACAGAAACTGTGTAAAGTAAACTTGGACTTACATCATTTAAATCTAGTAATGGTTTAACTCTACTTAGATAATCTGCTAGATAATCCAGTAGAAATCCTAAATATCTGTAAATAAACAATTAAATATTAGAACTGACATCAAAACAAAATCTAGGAGAGGAGGAGGGGAAAAGAACAACAGTTAGTCAGTCAAATCAATAAACAAGACGGTAATGGATATAAAAGTAAATATACTTAATTTTGTAAAAATTAAATTTAGTATCTTATTATATATTAAAAACATATTAGTTTTAATTCAATATACATACTCTCTGTAAGCACTGTTTTTCTTGTCTTTAGGTATATCAAATAGTCTATCAAATACAGTTAAATACATAACATAATCAATCTTCTCTACAGCCTTTAAATTCAGATATTTCTCATAACATTGATGTAGATCTAAATATCTACCATAACCTTCTTCATCCGTGAAATCCACTAAATCTAGATAGAAAAGTCAAATCAAGCCATAAGTTATGTTCATATCACATAAAACAACAAGATTTCAGTTTTCTTTTCCTCTGGCTTTTATTTGTTTTAAAAAAAAATAATTAATGACCTGTGACATCAATTACTGAGTAAACTTCTCAAATATAAGAAAAACTATAGAAATATCTTTGAGTCCAAAGTTTTAGTGAAGACCCCAGATTAAACGAAGGGCTGTCATGTTGCTGTTAATGGATAGATATGATTAAATAGGAAGAATAGACACACTCCCTCAATAGCTCAAGTATCAGAAGTCAATCCAGCAATAGCCAGAGAGGGATTCCTCGGGTCATTGCTTCTGGAATATGACTACCTGTTACTATATACATGTAGCTAATTGAGGGTTATAGTTTTGAATTGGATTGTAAATCCGAAAATAGTTTGTAGAAGGTAACATAAATATACACAGGACACAATTCTATGGAAAACAATTATTTATATATAACTGAGCAAGATTTGCTTGAAAGGCTAAAGAATCACAGTCAAAATGTTACTCAGTAATTAACACTTTTATTCTGTATATTTAAAGTTCAATTACTAAATGCCATTGAGACAAATTAAGGGAGGGAATTTCTATGTTAACCATAATAGTATATATCTTTATTCAAAACATACTTTGTGTTTCATCAGCGCCTGCCTCTCTCTGTTTGGTTAATTCTTCAAATTCAACGGACATAGGTATACTGATCTATAATAAATAATAAAGTTTTTGTTAAAGATACATTATGGGAGATTAGACAAAGAGCTGGCAGTTCTCACTATAATAGTTAAAAACTAGATGATGTAAAGGGAATTTGCTGAAAATTTCAGTCAAATTGACCCACTCTAAACGAGAAATTACTGACTGAATTTTGGGCCTAGCGATCGATAAAGTCGGTACGATAAAAAACATAGTCTTGATTATCCATCTTTTGATTTAAACATGGATGAGCGTTGAGCAGAAGATTGGATTATAATCCAGTAAATATTGCAGGCTAGCGATGACATCTAGAGTTGATTATGGTCTGGATAGGTTAATTAATGTCTAATTAATAGTTTATAACATTTCAGGCCTAAAGAAAAACCTTCAATTGGCAGATTTAGCTCTTGCATAATGTATGTTTAACATGGACAATAATGAAATCCAAAATTTTATAGAGTCTGTGAAATAAAATATAAACTTAAAGGCACAGGTTTGCAGGTCAAATCTGCTTTATGTTTGTATGTGTAAACTATTAGCCCTAAATGGCTTCTATTCCAAACAATGCAACGAATGTAGTGCATAAATCAGTGTTGCATTGACCTTTTAAATTTACATACTTCCTGATCATGGTTGCCTGATTATCAAATGGGGGAGTGCACCAATAACCTTTGGATCATGTAACTTAGTTACCCATTTATGTTAAATTGTTGATTTCATTGGATTTTATGCGTGGGTTTGTGTTGTGGAATGACAGTCTGTCAATAGATAGAAAAAAAGTCAGTACTGAGATATAAAGACCTCTGCTTACTCTTTTGAATAAAAGCTTAATTGTGTAAAGCTTGCCTTTATTTTTAGCTCCTTTACGATATTGCTCACCTCATTTGGATGCAGATTGTGAAATTTTTCAATGGCTACAAGCCTGGATCTGAATTCTGAATATTCATTAGGACCAGCTAAAGCTTGAATTTCCTCCTTTCTGAGTCTATAATATAAATAAATAAGTTAGTTAGTCATTTATAATATAAGTTAAAATTTCTTAATTATTTACTTGACTGGTGCTTACATGACTTTAGAAAATTGGACAATATGTGCAAGTTACCCCATGGGTAAATATATACATTGAAGCACACCACATATTTAAATAGACTGATTCTTTTTTTTTTGGTCTGAGCGATTAATCATAAAGTAAGTGTCAAAGATTAAAAAAAGATATGAACAAATCCATATTAAGCACTGCCTTATCACATTTCAAATTAACCAAGTAAAATAAAAATGCAGTCTAGCCCCCCACCCAATTTACGGCATAGAAGATATACTAACCCATCATTATCATCATATAAATCCTTTAATTCTACTGTACATTCAACATATCTCTGAAATATAAATGATCAACTATATAGTATTGGTATTAACACATAATACTTATACATGTAGCAATAAATTATTAATTATTATACCATAACCGTAGCATAACATGATATTAATGAAATGAAATGAATATCAAACTGTGATGGATGGTTTCATACAAAATTTCAAAGGTATTTAGATAAAGATAGATTTAATAAAGTATATGGCATACATGTAACTGATCAGAAAATATAAAAGTCTCTGACCATCCTTTGAAGGATTTTGAACCCCCTGTAAACTACAGTATTATGAAAGTTGAATTATGAAGAAAAAATGGATTGAAAAAGTGTCAACATTCGGCATCCTCTGACGATGACATAAACATATAGTTAAAACAAGATGGTCTCTTTTAATTCCAAATAAATCTAACCTGGGAGATTATTGGTATCTAACGTTGACATTTTTAAATACATGCAATTAATTCGAGATACATTTTAGTGTAGATTAAGCTGGCAAAAATAAGATTTTGTACAAAAAATGAAAATGCAAATGACCATCAGTGACTTTAACTTTATAGTAGAATTAGGATATAAACTCTCAAGACAAGACAACATGTATATAATACTAACGGTATATGTACTTCTTGTCTCAGATGTAAATAATATATTACTGTACCAAATGTTTTGTAACAAATATACAAGGTTATACCATATCACATGTACCCTGTATTGTTTTGTTTTAGAGACTATAATTTGATTAATAAAAGGGCAAAAATGTTAATACACTTATTCCAATTAATACCAATAACTAGACATGACTATGTACCTAATACTACCCATTATTTGGGAGGTATTAGGTCAATTGTTCTACCACCATTAACTTACATCCAACAGCTGCTTCAATCTGTGATCTGAATTAATTTGTTCTCTCAACTGAAAAGCAATAAGGACAACAGTGTATTTTTTTTTTTACTAAAAAACAGTAATGGCTGCTGTCTTAGACACAGATTAAAAATCAATAACTTTTAAATCAAACATCAAACATGTCGTATGGACAACTCAACCAACGTATTTCTATATAACGAAATAAAACTATGTCGTGTGGACGAGTCAACCAATGCCTTGTGGATGACTCAAGTTGCTCAACCAACGAGTATTGATATACCACACGACCGTTTTGCAGTAAAAAGTTGCCCAGTAAAACTGATTGGGGGCCGATACTTTCCTGAAAAGGATTTAAGAGGACGGTTTCTGAACGTACAGGGCGAGTATAATGAGACATACGTTCAGGGCTGAACTTCTAGTATTAGTAGAGTTGTAAAACGGTCGAGAAGTCTGAGTCTCTAGTCCGAGTCTGAGAGTGAGACTGATCAGTATAGTAAGCAATTTCAATTATTTTCTTACGGATCTTTTCGGATGGAGCATTTCTTTGGTCATTCCATCCATGGTTCTTTCTCTGTCTTCATGATAGCGTCGTTGTTGTTCCAACAGCGACTCCATTGTTTAGAATTTATTTCATAAAAAGAAAATATTTGGCTGTTTTACAGAAAACAACGCGAAACGTTTTCCACCAGTACCTAAAATTTATGGAATTAGAAAAATATAGCGAAACGAAAAATAAATTGAAAATATATATTCTTAGAAATTAGTGGTTTTCCCCATCTTAATGATCTTTATCTATATTAAAAGTAAAATAAATCCATAGCTGTTTTCTTTATCAAATCGTGTAAGTTAGCTAGACAAAATTCGTTTTTCGGTTAAACAAACCTGTTTTTATATAAAGATTTCCAAAATGTGGATTGGCATATTTCATTTATGTTTGTACATAAAAGATTCAGTCATATTTATAGTATCTTCGACAATTTAGATCATTGAAAAAATGCCATTTTGTTAACCCATTAATTAATAAGTCAATTTATTCATTAATTCTCTGTTAATGTTAGTTGTAAACCTGGAACATAGTTTGATGAATCCGAGGACAAACAAAATTTACAACCTGCACCAGTTAATTTGGCAAATAATGGGATGCAGCCCCTCACCTTTCATATCATTGACGTCATTGTTTTATGTAATATTCCGTGGGTAATAATAATAATAACAATAATATCCAAATCTATATGCAAAATCATTGTTAAGATATGTGTGATTTATTATAATATGGTAATTGACCAAGGAACGTTTTTTTGCAATTATTGGATAGTCCATAAATGGAGTGCCGATATGAAATTGTGTCGTAAATCAACCACGACCACTAAACCCAGATTGCATGCTGCAAGAAAAAACAGAAATCGAGCAATACCCAAATAAATATACGTAAATAATTAATTGATACAGAATATAGATAAATATAACAGCAAATAATTAATTTCGAAATATTATGGGTAGATCCTCTAAAGATAAGAGAGATGTGTATTATAGACTTGCCAAAGAAGAAGGATGGAGAGCAAGAAGTGCTTTCAAGTTATTGCAAATAAACAATGATTTTGGTATCTTCAAAGGTGTTAAACGTGTGGTCGATTTATGTGCGGCTCCTGGTAGTTGGAGTCAGGTTTTATCCAGAAAATTACGAGGCAACGATGGGGACAAATCAGATGCTAAAATAGTTGCTGTAGATCTCCAAGCAATGGCCCCAATTCCAGGAGTTATTCAAATTCAAGGCGATATCACCAAAAAGTCGACTGCTGAAGAAATAGTTGGTCATTTCGAAGGAGAATCGGCGGATTTGGTTGTTTGTGATGGGGCACCTGATGTCACTGGTCTTCATGATATTGATGAATACATTCAAGCTCAGTTGCTGTTAGCTGCACTAAATATCACAACACATATTCTTAAATCCGGTGGAACATTTGTTGCCAAGATATTTCGTGGAAAAGATGTCACTCTTTTGTACTCCCAGCTAAAACTATTTTTTCCCTTGGTGACTATTTTCAAGCCTAGAAGCAGTAGGAATTCCAGTATAGAAGCATTTGTTGTATGTGAAAATTATTCTCCACCCAAGGGGTACATACCAAACATGTCAAATCCTTTATTGGATCATCATTATGACGTGGACTTTAATAGCCTGGAAGGACCTAACCGCATCATTGTACCTTTCTTAGCTTGTGGTGATTTAAGTGGCTTTGATTCGGACAAAACATACCCACTAGAACTTGAACCAGGAAAAGGATATACATATCATCCCCCAACCCAATCACCTATTAATCCTCCTTACAAAGATGCATGTTATCTTCGAAAAAATGACTTGTTAACTAAGCCAAGTTTGAAATCAAACGGTGATCAGATAAGTCAGAGTGGTTCTGAAACAGAGTTAGAAGGCGCAACTTGTGAAATAAACAAGCTAAATATCAAATCTTAGTCCTATTTCACAAGAGTACGGAGGTGGTTTTAAAACTGAACGATTTAAAAAGATATGATTTGCCATTGTACATATAACTCGTAATCACTGGACTGAATCCAATAAATAATAACATACATTTTAATATATAACGTTTTATTATTCTTTCTTAATCACATTCTACTTTTACTAATCAAATAAATATATAAGATATATAATCCTACATGTACATTGTACCTGCAAAAAATTGGTTTGGCAGTACATGTACAATGTACTTTGTAAATTAGTACTCATGTACATACTGGTATGGTTTATTATATGAAAACGGTTTAACATTCTACTTTTCTGCACCAACCAGGCTAATGAAGAGAATACAGTATATGCCATGCAGTGTGCAATAAAATTTGGCCCAGGCAGCAGTGGTTCTATCTAGTGCTGGCATGCATACGATAAACACAAATTGGACGTGGCTCTGACAAACACACACACAGGGGTGACGGCAATATGTCGATATTATGAATGTGGATGTATAAAAAATAGTGACCAGGTTAATCCATCAAATCAATATTTTCCTTTCTTAAATACAAGAAAACTAAGACTTGCAGGGAAATAACAAACAATTAACTTCTGTAAATGGTCAGATTCCAACATTCCATAATTCCAAATCATATGACCCGTCTTTATTAGCCCGGTTGGTGCAGAAAAAAAAAACATTAAACCCTAATCACATGATAAGTATAAGTGTTCTGAAAGATGAAGGACATGCTTATTACATCAGTTTATTATAAACAACACATTTATATATCACATATTGATACTTTCATCATGAACTTTTTTATAAGGTCCATGCTTTCACTACTGCCCTACATGTATATGACTATGATAATATTTCAAAGTCTAACCAACAATGCACATCATGATTAAAGTAAATAGAACACACATGCAACTATTGATTAAACAGCCTGGACATTAGTGTATGTACATCTTCCTTTCTTAAATACCTATTTCACAGTAATGAAAATTTCTACAATAAAAATAATTATTTCTACAATTTGGAATTTCTACTAGTGTCATTGTAGTATATGTATGTACAATTACATGTAAAAATAAAAATAGTGGGTCCTCTGATGGACCAATGGGAGAAGGCCGACACTTAAATGTCTTTTTACTGAACTATTTATAAGCTTGTATTGAGCAACATAATTACAGTCATTCATTCATATTAATAAATCTACATCAGTAAATGAGCATAAGAACAATAAAGGTTATTCAATTTTTTTTCAAATATTAGTATAAAGACTGGGATATAAATCAGAAAATGTACACATGAAGGTAAACAAATTATCTCTAATCTTTTTATCACATAAATGCAACTATATAGTTTATTTATTAGAATAGAGCATGGAATTCTGTATGTATTGTGTAGGAAAAGAACATTTTATTAATAGTTACTACACTAATAGTGATTTAAAGGAGCTAAAGTGTTGATTAATTTATACAATATCATTATCAAGTGGGCTTGTTTACTTATTTTTTTTTTTTTGTGGGGGGGGGGGGGGGGCTTAATAAACTGTCTACAGTTTAACACAGAAGCAATTATCTGTGGATCTAAATTGTAATATTTTAAATGTAAACAAACCCACATCACAAAACATTAAACTTAATTAAATCAACACTTTATTTTTTAACCAAATGTTAACAATTTTACTTGATGTAATGAAAATGTTAAAATGTATATAAATAGAAATAAGGGTTCTCAATTAAAAATATTTCTGAATACAAATATATAAATGTCTATGAATGAAGTAGAGTTAAGATGGCCCCCTGGCATCAGATACCCCGGCTGGTACAGACACTTGTAATCCCTCCATATCTTTTGTAACTATAACTTGACAACCTAATCTAGATCTGAAACAAAAAGACAACACATTAAGAAGACAATTCATATGAAGCTTTTTTTACCACTTAAGTTTACTCAATATATGACAAGTTTTGTTCCTGGTATTGGTCGAGAAAGTTCCTCGGGATTTTCGGGCATGGTGCAGGATAGAAGGTCTGGTAGGGAACATGGTCTAGTCATTTGGATGGGACAGAAAACCTGAGGTCCTGTGTACACATTGACATTCATTGTATCAATTAACATTCCCATTAGATTAGTGTAAATAAAACCCTGCAGTAACCACCAGACACCGGTTCTGTCATGTAAAGTCCCAAAAAGGGAGTTATGGGGTGGTGTACGTGTACCACCGACCCACCAATCAACACTATGGGTGAATATGAATATAGAAACCTTTCTCTAGATTCCTACTTTTCACATAAGACAAAAATCTCTTTTAAAATATGACATCATTTACAAAGCTGAATGTTATCAGATTTTTCTGGAAACAGCTTATACTGCACTGGTATTTTAAATACTGTACAGGTGATTTTGCATTGTCAACAGTTAACATATGGATAATCTGCATTGCCACAAACAGAAAATGAAAATCACCAGTAAATATTTTCAGTGTAAGACTACATCTGTGTACCATTAATCAATGATGTAATTTAAGTGTAGTAATTATTTTTAATGGAAGTAATAGAATAGAAATTGACTTACGTATCTGTCAATCCATATGCTAGATCTAACATGTCCAATTCTTCATCAGTGGGTGTTTCAGGTAATTTGTCATAATCTGCTTGTTTGAAGATTAGATGGCAGGTGGAGCAAGCCAGGGTGCCTTCACACGCACCTGCAACATAATAACAACAACTACACACTATGATGTGAGATTAGGCTTACTTGTGGAGAATAACAGTAGGATTCCAGTTGACACTTCTTAATATAGAAACAATGCTCAATGGTATATGTATGTAAAATGTTAGTCTAACATAAAAGTAATCCCTATCTCAATCAATCTGCATGAAAATATAAAATATACCATGATTAAATTCTTAAAAATTATTTTACTTGATAACAATTATATTTTTGTGTAAATTCATTTGACCTCTCTATAATGAATTAAAACTATAGTTAAAAATATGTCTTGTTGTATAAATAACACTACCTAGTTAGTTATATCCAGTTTAATTTTAAAAGTTATTAAATCGAATTGCCAAATCCTATTACCAATACAGAAATATACATCTGGCCAACTCCTGGAGGTGGCCAAACATAAGATATAAGGGATGCTCTAGAGTCTCTGGACTACTTAAAGAAATTGACTACTGCAACAGAATTTTAATAAAATGGATTATCTTTAGTAATGAAAACAGACTTTACCTTCAGTCAAATTAACAAAAATATTAAAAACTTTAGATAGTAAAAATTAAGCATGTACATTTCTACATCTTTAATGAATTTATGAGAGAGAGAGAGAGAGAGAGAGAAAGAGAAATGGGGTTTAATATCCACTAGACACAAACTAGGTCATTTCTGGGAAAAAATATGGTTCAATTTTATTTCAATAATTTGCTTGCGCGTAGGGATCTTTAGCAGTGGGAGGAAACAGGAGGACCCGGAGAAAACCCAAGAGATTGGACAGGCAACCCTACTCCTTGTCATGTACAACCGGGGAATCGAAACCATGTCAGTTGACTCAATGACAGACCTTATGATACAGCGCGCATGTACTAACCATTCGGCCATCCCCATCCCCGCTCCCATGCCCCGAATTTATAAAGACCAATAGGAAGAAAGCAATATCAGAGAATAATGATAATTTTACTAACCAAATCCATCGATATCAATATCATTATCAATAATTACATCCAATAAATTGTCTCCTACTTTGGCATTAGCAGAATAATGGTTGCCCTCACTATCTGTGAAATGAACTGACACACTGGAAAAAAAGTTTTAAAATATACCCCTGTCTTATTAATCATCATTTCCAACATATAATATAATTGATTATAATTGGGAATCCTTTTTTCCATATTGACTGAAAGTAATGTCTTGTTTTTTTGCATTGGAACCCTACATATATGTACCTTCCAATTCAACATCATTGTTTATAGCAAGATTGAGAAAATTGTTGCCTACATCGCCTTTAGCTTCAATACAATCACCATCACGATCAACAAAATAAATAGTTACTCTGAAACAAATTTAACATTAAGTACATGTAACATGAAACAAGGATTAAAACAGGGATCAGTCAAATTATTTTCAAATGTAGCGTTCACTTCAGTGTTCCATGAAGCTGACTAATGCAACAAGTATCAGATTTAGTTCCTAACCTTATACATTGACATTGTCATATTGAAGAATAAAGGAGAAAAAAGAACAGCAAGAATTTTCATTTACGGCAACATTCCATTCCTAAATTTGGAATATTGGCTAAACACAGGCCACGGAACCTGTGACCTCCGGTCTGCCCAGACGTGAGTTTCATAATGGCAGATCAATTGAAACGAATCTTGTTTATATTTTTGGATCGCTAAATTCTACATGAATATGTGTCGGATGTGGCAAGAAATGATTCCTTTTGGTGAACAAAGACGAATAACAGTGAAAAATAGGCGGTAAGGATTCGAAAAAAATAGCCTTATAACCCAGACGGGGGAAAAGTCCTACTTTCATATTAGTTGTGTATAGGATCAGGCAGTAAGGCCACCTAAAAAAAAAAATAGTTGGTGATCGTCCTTTTTTTTTCAAAAAATGTGGGAGGGAGGGAGGTTTTTTTTTTTTTTTTTTTTTTTTTTAATGAATATACAGAATAAGCAATATACTTCAGGAATATTAACCTTTTGTTTCATGTCAAAACACAACTCATCTGCATGATCGTCATTTGAATTGTTCAGATTAATTATTTAAACTTGAGATATTCCGCCTTGGATTCAATCAGATATAAAGAGATTTATAACTGAACACTTATAGGTGGTGCCGACTGGTTTAATGTTGCAGGATATCAAATGTTGCAAAATTTTCAATTCATATCATGTCTTTGGACTGATATTCTTTTTAGACATTCAACTTTCATAATATTGTATTTTGCGAATAGTAAGACCAGAAGAGCCCGCCCCCCCTCCCCTCCAAAAAAAAACACAAAAAAAAAGACATTTTGCATAACGACTTACGATCACTAATATTAATAATCGGTTGATTTAGTTATTCATGCCCCCCATGGCCATTCCGAAAATCTGTTGTTGCATTTATTCGAGAGACTGTTTCATGTAATTCAGAATCGGCGAGACGTATTCCCATCTTAACATATAGTTCCAGGTTGTATATGTTGTATTCAAAATATTGTATTTGGTGCTGTACGCGTGCAAACAAAAATGTCAGCCATTGTTGCCGTTAACAGGTCGTAATTTGTTTATGTCATTCAGTCCTACGCATTTGAAGAGTATTGGAACACGTGCCAATAATTATATCCGCTTCATTAACTCTTGCGATTAGGAATTTCGTAGCCTGGCTACATTTTGGAACTTTTACCATTGGTTTTAAACATCGTAAGAAGGTAAATTTTGAAAATAAAAAATAAAAAAAAATTCTGTCGCCTAACTTAGAGGTCAGAGCCAATAAGAATCTGTTACTAAAGTAACTAACCTCAAGCACCTTTATTTTTCTTTCTAATACTTCAAAAAACATCTTTTAGAATTTAATTTGCAGAAGGAAGAAAAGTTAATATTGAGAGCTAATATTAACTCCTCCAATTATCCAATGTCATCCCTTTTGAAAATATTCAGTGCTAATCAGTTTGGGTTTAACTCCGCTACAGCCTATTCATCTTTGAAATGTTACATGATTCGTTATTATATAGGTCTATGTCGCATACTGTTTGGCCTAGAAACTTCAAAACTATTTGTATTTCTTTTTCAGTTAGGCTTACTTTACTTTACTTACATACAGTAACACTAACAACAGTTATCAAAAATAAAAAATTAGAAAAATAAATTATACACACGTTTCTTTCTTCTGCTTTGGTATAGACGATGAAAATCTTTTGTAAGTTTCTGTCCATGACTTATTGAAATACCTGTTACAGGAATTCGGAAGAGCGAGTGCTGTCAAAACTGGTGAACTTGAAGGAAAGGCAAATTTGGGTACTATACAGCGAAACACACGACCGACAAGCGCCATTGCTTCAACTTCAGTAGCCTAGTTTAACAGTCCCTCTTTATATTGTCACACTTTTCGCTGATGACGCGAACACCCTTTTACAACACTGTGAAATGACCTTGAGGTTAGGTCACGACTAGAAAAAAATATCACTATTTAGTCTAATTTTATTTGTTTAAAACCACCAAAAAAATTATACAATACAACTATGAATATCCAGCTTCATTATAAAATTTCGAAAATAAGTTTAGAATTCTATCGACGTCTCATTAACGTATCCGAATTTCATCCTTATCATTATCAGTGATAGTAGTAGTGGGATGGCGTTGACGATTCTTTGACTAAGATTAACCAGACCGAAAATAATATAGTAAAGTGCATATTTTGGATTTCACACGACAAGGAAATAAAGCGAAACGAAAATATTACACAGTCTTCTCAGGTTTCAGCAGAAAAGTAAGGCGTTAAACCCCATTTTTTTCATAATATATAGCTTTTAATTGAATATCGGCTAGATAAAACTTATTCTTTAAACCGATACTTGACGGAAATAAAGGAAGCTGAACGAACACAATTTTGTGTATGTAACTGAAACAGGGGAGGCCGCATAAAGGGGTCGTCATACGCTTCACTCCAACTTTAAACAAAAAACAAAAAAACTCTTTTAAACTGTAGTCTCTATTGAATTCACAAGGTTTTCAGAAAAAAGGGGTGTAACTCTGGAACGGAATGTCACGGAACGCCGAAATCGGTAGGTTTCATACTCTCGAATGACCCCAGTGCTTCGCACCAACTGTAGCCTTTAAAGCCAATTGTTGACCGACAGACACGCTGACGACATAATACACCCTAATAATCGGCTAGATGATAAAATAATTTTATTTTAAAAAGATTTAAAATATATGTATTGCCTTGGACCGCACGATTTTCCAGCGCTGTTTGTGGGGCAGGACGGGGTATCTATAATAGGAAGGGGAGATAGAGAAATGGGGTTTAACGTCCACTCGGCACAAACTAGGTCATTTCGGGACTAACATATGGTTTAATTTTATTAACATAATTTGCTTGCGCGTAGGGGTCTTTAGCAGTGGGAGGAAACCGGAGGCCCCGGAGAAAACCCACGAGGCTGGACAGGCATAATAGGATGGAACGGTGACTATAGTCGTTCGGACGGTGTAGGCACGCACGTAAGAGGACCATTTCATTTCTTTTCGTCTTACACATTTGTTAAACAGGTTACAAACCTTCGACTAATACTAATGGATTTTAACGTCCTACTGTTCTTCCCCGACTGGCTAATGAAGACAGTAGGCCTATCATGAAATAAAATCGGGTCTAACGTTCTACAAACCGGGCCAATGAAGACCGGAATAATTATCATTATGTATTTAGAAGAGGCATGGGTGGTTTCTGGTGGGCATTGCCATTGGCTCACGGCTTTGCTTTTTAACAACTTTTTATTTTCATCAGATACGAAAGTAACTTTGCGTTAATGGAAGCATTATCTTGATGCCATTGCGATGTCATTAAGTATATGTTAACACAGTGCCGGACTGGTGGGTCGAAGGCCCACCTGTCAGGTCATTGACTAAGGCCCACACAAGTACCCGCCGAAGGCGTGTCACAAGCGCGGTCCGAGGGGGGTCTTTGGGGTTTCTCCCCCCAGGAAAATTTAAAAAATTGACAACCGCAAACCCATTTTCCAAGCATTTCAGACCAAAGCAGTAGAAGGCAAATGTTTGATTTCCTGATACAATTAGATAACAGAATGACCTAAGAGCACTATCATTAGATGAATTTGAGAATTCTAGTACACTTCTTTTTTTTGTGTTGTTTGTCATTTTTTTCCTATCTTTTCTTTCTCCTGTCCTGTCCTCTCCTTCCTTCTTTCTTTTCTTTCCCCCCCCCTCTCCTTTCTTTCTCTCTTCTTTTTTCTTTCTCTTTTTTTCTTTTTTCTTTAAAGGCTTAGGCCAACTTTTTTTTAAATGAGCTTAGGCCCACCTGTCACGGACAGGTGGACAGGTGGGCCCAGTCCGGCACTGTGTTAACATGAATAAATGAACAAGCAGACGTTTTTGTTTTACTATGGGAATTTATGTTTTTCGAGTTATGGGGCCCTTTTGTCTGCCTCTAGGGCCCTCCCTAACTAGGGTAAATTTTCATTTTTCTCATTTTAGCATTTTTCTCCCGTTTTATTTTTTCAACTTCTTTGATTTTTTCGCGAGGAGGTTGGCGCCTCCAGCGCCTCAGCTATAAAACGCTTTTGTAAAGCACTGGGGTCATTAGAGGACAACCCTTATTGAATTTCATGGCTGTTACTGCATTGATTTATCATTTAATCAGTTTGTAAGGCAGGGAAAAATGCCAGGGCATAATATTCATACCAAATACCCTCATTCCCGAAAGCAAGACTATGAATTATGGAATGCAAATAAGCTTGTGAGCTTGTGGGATCTTTGGCGTGTACATATTTGTTTTTGCTTAAACAATTGACGAACCGACTTTACCCGGATTAATATGAATTGGTCTTGCTAGACAAATCCTGGAGGTCTGCCCCGAATAACATAGACATTATTGGGTGCTTATGTTTTTATTAATGTTATTTAAAATATATAAATCAGATTTCAAAGTATCTATAAATTTTAGTACATGCTACTGGTATTAATACTTTAATAACTCTTTCCTATTTAGATAAATCAGCTTGATTAATCGTCGAAAAAGTAGTTCCACCAGTAATATGAATTGAAGAAGTTGTCTGAAACAAGAAATGAGAAATAAAGTTTCAGAGACAAATTGAATTAAAACTCTGAACAAGATGGAGGGAAAAATTATCGTCACAAATTTAAGTAATGATGTAATAATATTCGCAAAAACGTACCGTAGACCTATGATCCCTAACCCAAGGTTAGGAGCAGTGTAGTATCTCTGACTATACTATTATCAATCGCCGGCTTGTGCAGGAAAGAAGGACGTTAAACATCCGTTATATGTCATGCTTTTTTATTCTGACTTACAAATTCTTCAGTATTACACTATATATAATGCTGAAATAACTTCCACTCGACACAAGCTAGCGCGCGCGTGTGTGTATGAAATAGTTTTATTGAACGTCCGGTTCCACCGAAGTGATAGTGCATTTCGGGACAACATATATAGTGCAATCTTATTTAAATAATTAACTTGCGCGTAGGGGTCTTTAGCAGTGGAAGGAAGCCACGTAGTACGCGTGGCGGATCGCAACCACGCCAGTTGACTATATGTATAACTGACAGAGGATCTAAAGGGCAAGCTCTAGACTATTCGACCACCCAACTACCTAAATACTTACAATTAGGCCTACAATAGTAGCTACCAATAGTATTAACGCATGGTACATTAAATCCACATTGGTAGCTCAGACATTCATTAATATCTAAAACAAAATATAGAAATGAATATAAGGCAACATCATATTTATTTGCAACATTTAAACTACATGCAAGACAAACCTGTGAACAAGACACACAATCATTGCAAACGTTCGATCGTATTGTCGAGTATAGGAATATTGGCAAAACCTCCGTTATGGCTCCTTCGCTACACCCCCACGTAAAAGGGTAGCCGCAACAGTATATCAAATCAAATGAATGGATCCTAGATAAAAATGGGACCCTTGCAATAACAGTGAAAAGGGTGCATATATTCTGGTCATTATCCGGTCCAGTAGATAGTTCATGTCAGTTTTGTAGATAGATAGGTTTATTTGACACAAAATACAACATAATAAAATAAAATATAAATTTATGCCCCCCTTGTTAAACGTTACCGTAACATGACATTTATTTATGGACAAATTTCTTTAGAACTTATTTGGGTGTCCCTATGATATTGGGGCTCCTACCCGTAGCCCGGTTACCACCCGCACCCATCCCCGTAATCCGGACCTGTGTTCGTGGGCCAGCGCTGAACAGTTTTTATACACCAATATTACAACGACTCGAATAACGTGCACCGCAGATGCGAACCTTTGGGATTGTTCAAGTCTTTTATAAGCACACTTGTTTGAAAATGAAATAAAATAAATGGGGTTTAACGTCTTACCCTGTTCTGCTCGGACTGGCTAATGCAGACGGGCATATGCCAAACAGTGTGATACGAGGGAAAGTTTTGCCCTGACAGCGGCGGTATGACCTACTCCTAATCTTATATCGAAATCCAACTGCCAATGGATCTTTCATGAGCAACCCAGTGTATATACACGGGTCCTCGGTATTTCGTCCAAATGGGGAACCACGCTGGAAAATCTTTCTCGGCCAACACAGGCATTGAACGTCACACACACTGAGTCACCGTGGTTCCCACATTTGTTCGAATGCTAGTCTCAAAATGGCCCGTATAATGGCTCAACGAACAGCCAGATTATCTAAGATAATTCGAATTTTTTGAGTTACCTGAACACGTGGTGGGAGCAAGTTGGCTGATAGCGAAACCGTTAGGACAAATACATGTACCCAAAACAAGTGGTGATGGTTGAGAACAATAACCTCCAACACACCCTGTTATAGTTGTACATCCTGTAAAATATTTATAATAACAAATACATAACAAAAATTAAAAGTATCGAAAACTGCAGATTAATTCAGACATGGAATAATATGGTTACAAATCCCTGATGGGACGAAAACCCGAGTCTCGTATACACATCAGGTGCACGGCAGTTGAAATTCGAAATAAGAATAGTCCGTGCGCCGCTGTTCGGGCAAAATATTTCCCTAGAACATTACATGGCGTATGCAAGTCTTAGTCGGTGCAGTAAAGTAGGACATTACACCCCATTTCATTTCTTTTTATATTCACAGAGATTTTAGTCCTTTGCTGCCCTTTTGATTTTTACGCATGTGGTCACATAAACCAGTGAAGTAAACCTATACATCGTTTTCGCCCAGGTGCTAAATGTCTTGCATCCAATGAAACCTCTCCATCGATTATACATGCCAAATAAGAGACGGACTCTATGGGGAATGCCCCCCCCCCCCAACATACACACACACCCTCTCTGCAAATAAGTTGGAAAAACTGACTGTAAATGGTTCTGATGTCTCTATAGCTTGTGGCTTGTGCACAAATTTAGCGTGTGGAAATCTTACCATTCTTACCACAACTAAAAAATGCCCCAAAACTAAGTGAGAACATGATGTTCTGCATGGAGCACCTTAAGCCTACTATAATAACAATCTTATTCTCAGTCCTACCCTTTACAAATTAGACCGAAGAAAATGGAGATACAATTCATGATGTTTCAAAGAAAAGAACAATATGCCTATGATTCTATGATTCTTACCTTGGATCTGCGCGGAAGACATGGCTAACGTGGCCATCAAAACGAGAACAGCTAACTTGAACATCTTCAGTACAGTATACAGATTCTCTTAACGCCAGAAAAAAATGACTTCCAAAGGTCCAAAAGAATTTGACGGATTTTGATTGTACATGGTATTTATACCCCAATCCCAACCTTGAAATATTTGTTGACAAAATTATTTATAAACAAAATGGAACTGAATAATAATAAGCAATAGGTTGGTATTTTTAAAGAGATAAACATTCCTGTAATAGAAATAACAATTTGGCATTTGTGAACCAGAGTTGACATCAAAATATCTATAAATGATCTTAAATACTGTCAAACATCAATACATATTGTATATGGGATTAATATGGTATTTGTTTATATTGTGATTTAAACAAATAAACATGGATTATAATATACCTTGAGGCCTACAAATGTTTTCTAAATATAGAAACTTATATTAATCTCAATACAATAATATAAAATGTTGTTAAAGATAAGGGGGGTTTGGATGGCCGAATGGTTAGCACGTGAGCGCTGTAGGCCTATCATAAAGACTGCCATTGAGTCACCTCGCGTGGTTCGAATCCCCGCTTGTACGTCACAAGGAGTAGGGTCGCCTGTCCAACCTCGTGGGTTTTCTCCGGGTACTCCGGTTTCCTCCCACTGCTAAAGACCCCTACGCACAAGCGAATTATTGAAATAAAATTGAACCATGTGTTAGTCCCATTTCTCTCTATATATATTTAGGATATATATAAGGAAGGGGGTGGGGTGGGTGGGTTTAAAATCACTGGTAACCAGACCAATCGGACCAACCAAAAGACCAATCGGATCAACTGACAGACCCCTCAGCCCAAGACAGAAAATCACTCGAACAAAGACAGAAAACCACTTGGACCAATATTTCAGATCAATATTTTGCTTTATTAATTCGCTTCATAATAAAAATAAAAGACTACTCAATACATTGCTATTTATTTATATATTTATATATCACATATCGTAAACTTATAAGACTATTGGGATCAATATTTTGGTTAACAATTATTTTCACAATTCCGGAACGTTGAAATAAAATATTTGGGAATCACAAACGCTTTTCCGCTACTAGACAGAATGGTTTTCGACAGACCTGAGTAAATTCCCATGTTGGGAAATTCTAAATGTCAAGACGTCCCTAATCGCCCCACCTCAGGAGAATGGAAAGGAAACATAGGCGTAGGAGTCTGGGCTAGGGGTGGGTGGGGTCACAGATTCGGTGAATCCTTCATTTTTCGGGCAATGTATTTCCGTTTTTCGGGCACAAACATCAGCGAATGAGACCATCATAAATATATAATTGTAAAATGAAATCGCCCACGGTTTACGTCGTTTTGAATACTATAATATTTAAGACCTCGCACGATAACATTTGTGGAAAACGCGTTTTTTGTTAACAATTCATTCATTCATTCTGAAAATTCGGGTGAAAGATAATTTTCGGGTAAATAGCCTTAGCCCCCCCCCCCCCGCCCCCGCCCCGCCCCGCCCACTCTTTCAGCTGATGTTGACCCCATACATCTATGAAAGTAAACCTCCTAGTACCCAAGAGATAGCTAATAATATTATAAGCTACACAGCCTGAAACCAAAACAGGGTATTTGAAATTAGTGAATTTATCGTTAGACTAAACCTTGAAGAATTATCACAGAGGCCGCGAGTGTTCCTTCGTTCTTCTCATACATCAGGGGCGTGCTGGCCCCGAAGGGACCCGTCGGGCCGCTGGTAGGGGGGGGGGGCTGGGGGGGTTTGAAATTTGACAACGGGAAACGCGTTTTGCAAGCACTTCTGGGAGAAATCTAGGTATCATATTTTCCAAATTTATGCTGCTATTTTGACTATAAGACATACTACTGTACTACACAAGACACTCATGACAGGTCTGCTTAATATAATGCTAATACAATGTATTTCTATCCAAATAATAAATTGCATCTTATACATATCGAGGCATGAATACATGTATCAAAGACCATTTCACCTTAAGGTGACAGACATTTGCACGTCAGCATAATATATACTAATCGTTGTGTATGTATGATTTTTCGCGTGCGCACTCTCAATTTTTTGAGGGGATTCCGCGTGAAAATTAGAGCTCTCAGGGGGGCCCGCTTATACGGGTGGACTTATTGTTTAATGGGGGCCTGGGAGGATACCGTCCTCCTAAACTCCCTGCCAGCACGCCCCTGTCATACATTATAATATTTAAAGAAAGGAAAAACAATTGGCAATATATAAATTAAAAGTATCAGAACGTCGTAGGAGAGGTTTGTCGAATCCCTTGTACACAACTAATTCGTTTCTGTAAAGTGATAAAGGTCCAAAAATGGGTCAATTCCGTTCAGGATTTACAAAAATATATGTTGAATTGAAAATTTGTCGACATTTTGCGGTCAACAGTCAACGCAACTAACTATCTTTGTTTAAAGAAAGAGAGAAATGCTGTTCAACGTCCACTCTACACAAGCTAGGTAATTTCGAGACGAACATATGGTTTAATTTTATTTCAATAATTTGCGCGTAGGGGTCCTTAGCAGAGGAGGAGGGTGGGGGCTGGAGGACCCGAAGAAAACCCACGTGGTTGGACATGCGACCCTACCCCTTTTTACCTTCCAGCCGGGAATCGAAACCATGCACTTGACCCAATGAAAGTGGACGCGTTAAGATATCGGATACAAATTGTGACTTCTAGAGCGTCCACAACCTTTTATATTTTATGTTCCGATCCGATACATGCCAATATCGAAAGGAATCGAGATCTTTCGGACATAAACCTATATTTCAAGTTTCGTCAAAATCGGATAAGAATTGTGACCTGTAGAGTGTCCGCAAACAAACGATGGACAGACAGACAGACGTGACTGGGGCGACGACAATATTTCTATATAATTTCTTTATTTATTTGCCATCGTAATTGTTATTGCTACTGAAACGCGTATTAGTATTCTTATTACTCACAATTGAAATTTCGTTTCGCTAAAATGACAATCCACGATGTTCTCGAAATTGAACACAACCGCTAGTATTCAGCATAAAATCAATTTAGTCAAGATAGAAATCAAATCGCATTTGAAAATGAAAATTCTTTTGAACATTTTAATGTAAATAAGTAATTGATTAAGGGTTCTTATTTTCTTGGTAATCTATTTTTGAAAGTTAATCCATAAACAGATTTTGACTGCGGTATAGCTGTTGCTAGGTAACTGTGATGTCAATATTATTTTGTCTCCATGAAAGTCGCTGGGAAATTGGGTTTAAATCAAGGGAAATAGTGACCATTCTGGAATATCACAGCTCAGGAAAGTTGTCTTTCAATTAATACATAAAACCAAGAATATGGCAGCCGTTCTTCCACCCAAAGGTGAAGGAGGAACGTACACGTTTACTAGTCAGCCTCGAGCCGTCCAAGAAAGAAAAAAATACAGAGAACCCGTTATTCAACAGTAAGTTACAAGTAGGCCTACTTAAAAGTAAAAAATCAATGGATAATTGTAAAAAAAGAAAATTGATGTAGAGAAATGTATCATCTTGTTTAGAGCTGGATTAATTACATTTTTGAAGAATTCTTTATTTTGTTACAAATTGACTGGTATAATCTCAGCCTAAAGAAATTTTGATGATATTGACCTGAGATTAATAATAAAAAAATAAAAATAAATGGGTTTTCCATAGCCTGCCATAGGCATAGGCCTATTGCGTGTGTTTGAACAATTGGCCTAAAAAACATGCATTTTGCATCACACACAGTCTAATTCTAGTTAAAATTATTATTAGGGCATAGTTACGATAGTAATTAGGAAGCAATTCAGGTAGTTTAATGTTCATTGCATATTTTTACTTGAAGTTTGAAGTAAATATATTATTTTATTCAGCATGGTACTGGTAGTCTTAATACTGTATATTAGATAACTTAAAACTTTAAACTATGGTCATGTGTAAAGGGCTAGTACACAGTAGAACATCACTCATGTCAGTATAAGTATAATAATATTGAAGAGTTCCAGTACAATTATACTGACCTTATATATTTTTTTTAAGGGATGAAGTACCCCCACAGTATGGCAATATTATGTATGATAGACGTATTGTTAGAGGTAATACATATGCTCAACACACACTTCCAGCGGTAAGTTACAAAAACAGATTTTAATGTAAGCTTATGGAACAACTAAGTCCATACATTATGCAAGAGCTAAATCTGCTAATTGCAGCTCTTTCTTTAGGCCTGAAATGTTATCTAAATTATTAATTAATTAACTTATCCAGACCATAATCTACTCTAGATGTCATCGCTAGCCTACGATATTTACTGGATTATAATTTATAATCTGATCTGCTGTTCAACGCTCATTCATGACTAAATCAAAAAATGGATCATCGAGACTATGCTTTTTAACATACCGACTTTAGTAACAATGATCGAGGCTAGGCCCAAAATTTATCGCTAAATTCTAGGTTCAGAGTGGATCAATTTGACTGAAATTTTCAGCAAATTCCCTTTACTTTATCTAATTTCAAATCACTTATTTTCGGCGAAATACGCCAGAAGTCTCAATCGAATGACAATCTCGAGCATCTGGTTATTCCAGTCTACACCGACAGTATTTATTATGCATGCTCTCCAGATAAAAATATGATGTCACCATTGACGTGACTTGTGGAATATTGTAGCCTCGTTCTTCTAGTCCCTTATTGTTACAAATGGCGCTGAAATGCATTATGGTACACCAATTGTAAAATGTTTATTTTGTCTTAAATATTGGATATCAAAAGCCCACCTTTTCCCGGTAAGATCACAACATCAATGTTGATTTAAATTGACAAATAATTTGTGTTTTCAATCTTGGGTTAGAGACTTAGCTACTATTAAGTTTAATTTAAGACATGGAATTGATTTGCTGCCGGCTAATGATTTAATTTATTTTTTGATATAAAAATTTCAGACCGCACAACCTGATCCAATTGAGATTCAGAGACAACAGGAAAACAGAAGGCGTGCCATTGCCAGAAAAAGAGCCAAAGATCAACTTCGACCTCGATCACCTGAAGCAGTGGAAGGTAGAAAACATATTGATGTTCAAACAGAATTATATCTAGAGGAACTAAGTGATAGAGTAGAAGAAGCTGATGTTGATTGTCAAACTGATGCCTTCCTTGATAGACCTCCTTCCCCACTCTTTATCCCTGCTAAAACTGGTATAGATGTCACTACACAAATCTTAGAGGGAGAAGTAAGTTTTTATACTTTTCTGTACAGTATTTAAATATATTTTGATTTAGGTCATGATTACTTTCATTTTTGGCTAACTGTGTTGACTGTTGAATACAAAATCTGTAATTTCAACATTGTCTTTATCTATCTACGTGTAATTTTTAATGAAGAAAGACGGTCATCTCACTAAACCAATCAACAAGTTTTATTTTGACCCACAAATCAAAGATGTCTAGTTAATTTAGGTATTTCTTGTATTCTCAAAATGTTTTCGTAAAAATTTAAAAAAAAAAAAATACTTGCTGACATTAATAGGAATGATTTAGAATTATATTGTATTAAATCAAAAATTAAAACAAAATTAGTTGTGGGAGGAGGAGGGTATATTAACCGTGATATATTACTTATTGCACAGTTGTGGGTAGAGGATGTTAGCCATGGTATATTCAATATTTTATAGTAGCAGGATATGTAAGGTGGCATATTAACCAAAGTATATTATATATTTCATACTTGAGGAAGATTATTTCTGTGGCACATGGAGGAAGGGACTAAAATGAGGCAAATATAAGGTTGGCACAAAGTCATAAACCTGTCATTGTCAAATGTTGCATGAAATTGAATATGCCCTAGAGGAGTATTTTGGATATGAATTCTTACATGCAAGTATTCATTTCATGCTTTTTTTTTTTGATAACTGATTTGTAATAAAACGTGTATATTCTTTCAGTTGTTTGATTTTAATATTGAAGTAAAACCTATCTTAGAAGTATTAATAGGTAAAACAGTAGAACAGAGTTTATTAGAAGTCATGGAAGAAGAGGAATTAGCTAACTTGAGATCACAACAGAGAGCATTTGAAGAATTGAGGAATGCAGAATTAGTTGAACAACAGAGGCTTGAAGAACAAGAAAGACGACACAGAGAAGAAAAGGTGAGTTATGTGGATATTTCTTTTGTTTTGAATAAATTAGATTGTCAAAAAACGATTAATCTCAAAACCTAGTTAAATTTCTAAACAATGTTATAAAAAAGATATTAATGTCTGATCATCATTTGTCAGGAATTTGAATCCTTTGCAAACTACAATATTGTGAAATTGGAAGCTCTAAAAGGATCATCAGTCAAAATGGTTCAGATCAATTCAGAATTAACAAAGATTTGACGAATTCAAAATTTTTCAACATTAACAACATAAACAGGAAATGTTCAGAACAAGCCAGTGACACCTATAATATTCGCCAGTTTTCTATGTAAAACAAAGTGTAAGCTTAAAATTTTTAAAATCAAAAATTTAATGTACAATAATTTTAATGCAACATCTCTTAAAATTGTGTTTTAGGAAAGAAGAATGAAACAACAAAGAGAAGTTTTAAAGAAAGAAAAAGAAACCGCAGAAAAAATTGCTGCTAGAGCTTTTGCTCAAAGTTATTTAGCCGATCTTGTACCCTCTGTATTCGGTACCTTAGCAGATAATGGATATTTCTATGATCCAGTTGAGAGAGGTATGCATCAGTTTATTATATTTTACAAATTATATTTACTTTTTGTTTATTACTGAACATAAGAATAAAAGAAAATAATTGCAAGTAACAAAGCTGGGTAGATTGTCAGTACAGCATGAGAACAATTACTATTAAGGGGGCATAACTCATGAGATACTACATTTTTGTAACCCTTGTCTCACAGAAAAATTGTTATTAACTTAAAACTTAAAAAAGGTATGCTCAACTTTTAAAAAAAAAATAAGAGATATCCATTTAGCTTATTTGTTTTTTTATTAATTAGAAAAATAAAATAATATGCAATTTATTTTCGCCGCTAATAATAAATTCTGTATTTGTATCTTCAGATGTTGAGCAAGGATTTATGCCATGGTTAATGGAACAAGTTGAAATACAATTAGAAAAATCACAACTTGGTCGACTTGTGTTAGATGGTCTGATCCGAGAAGTTAGCTCCAGTCGTTTTGAACTTTACAATAATTTAGATGCCAAATTGCTAGACACAAAGGGAACATCAGCAACAGTGGATTCACAGAAAGTTAAAATAGAAGCTGAACCTTCTCCAGCCACTACTACAGTATGATATTATTAATTAGAATAAAATGATATAATTTTTTTTTGTCCCCCGCCTTTCGAAGAAAGCAGGGGACTATTAAAATGGGTTCGTCCGTCTGTCTGTCTGTCCGTCTGTCTGTCTGTCCGTCACACTTTTTGGGACACAATAACTCTCTTCCTAATTGAGCTAGAATGTTCAAACTTGGTGTATGTGTTTATTAGGTCAATGCCTTGATGGAGTTCGAAGATGAGCATTTTCCGCTTAGGGTAAGCAGAGATAAGCAATTTGATTGGTTGATGCTTTGGGACACGATAACTCTCTTCCTAATTGGGCTAGAATGTTCAAACTTGGTGTATGTGTTGATTAGGTCAATGCCTTGATGGAGTTCGAAGATGAGCATTTTCCGCTTAGGGTAAGCAGAGATAAGCAATTTGATTGGTTGATGCTTTGGGACACGATAACTTTTAATTGAGCTAGAATGTTCAAACTTGGTGTATGTGTTTATTAGGTCAATGTCTTGATGGAGTTCGAAGATGAGCATTTTCCGCTTAGGGTAAGCAGAGATAAGCAATTTGATTGGTTGATACTTTGGGGCACGATAACTCTCTTCCTAATTGAGCTAGAATGTTCAAACTTGGTGTATGTGTTGATTAGGTCAATGCCTTGATGGAGTTCGAAGATGAGCATTTTCAGCTTAGGGTAAGCAGAGATAAGCAATTTGATTAGATGAGCATTTTCCGCTTAGGGTAAGCAGAGATAAGCAATTTGATTGGTTGATACTTTGGGGCACGATAACTCTCTTCCTAATTGAGCTAGAATGTTCAAACTTGGTGTATGTGTTGATTAGGTCAATGCCTTGTTGGTTGATGCTTTAGGACAAGATAACTTTGATAGAGAGTGATGAAACTTAAGTGTATAGTTGATAATCAGTTTGATTGCTTGATACTTTAAAAAAAATAAATGTGCGATAAATTAATGTGTCATCTATTTATTTTGGTATTTTGGCGGGGGACATCAGCCTCACTGTTGGCTTGTTAAACATGCCTTAATGTTATTAAAGCCATTAGAACAACACTAGGCTATAATGTTTTTAACTAGAAATGCATCAGGGGTTGTTTCTATCCAATTTGGTGGTCAAGAACATTTAAACCAGAGTATTATAATAAACCTATAAAGTCATCCTAAAGAATAAGCTTTTTTTTTTTTTTTTAAACAATATTTTATTCAGAAAATTTTGGATTGGGGAACAGGCTTAGTAATAAATATACAAGATAATTGAAATTTGATGGCTATTTACATTATATACAAATTACACAGCCACAACAATGTTTAAATCCAAAATTCATGCGTTTAAAACCTCTGGGAGATGTCGAGAAAATCATGGAGGCTTATTGAATTCTCATTTAAATTTGTGGTTGACTGATATTTCTGCTTAGTTAATTCTAATTATCTACAGTGTGACCAAGCTTGCCCAGACGTTAATAAATCGACATATGCATAATAGTATTAAAAGAGTTAGATAAGGAATCTAATTAATTGATGTTTAAAACCCTGGATATGTTACGAATAATTTATACAACAGAATTATACAGAACATATATTTTAATAATACCAATTAAAATATTTCATAATGAAAAATAGTCACATGTTGCACAAACATTTTTAATATTTTAATGATTTTCACTGGAAAGATACAAAGTGAGCTTTCTGGTTGAAAGATTTCATAGATTGCAGACATTACCCCTTTTATTTTATTTATTTATTCTTATTTTTTTTTTTTAACTCTTCTGTCAAAATTTGTTGTCTATTAATAAAATTATTCAATCATCCAATCACATAGAAGATAGTTTTTGAAACATGATGAAATAATTTTTTCATGATTATTTAATTAAAGAGCATCTGTTATTTTTGATCAGATAAATGAGTTGTGTAGATTTGAAAGTTTGACAAGAGAAAAAAATGATAGTGATTTACATTAAGAAACTTTCTTTGTTGTGATGAGAACAGGAACTTCTGGCATGTTCCTTATGTCATCTATTAGCCATTAAGTTGATGTATCAACATACTGCATTAGGTGGAAGAAATTATTCTCACTAAATTATACAGTGAACCAGGCACTCTTAGTCTTTCACCTTGTATTTTAACATAATATAATGGTTCGTCTTGTTGGTGTCGAGCTTTATAAAGAGTCCAGTAAGCTGAGATTTACAACTAGTAAAGAGAGTTACTAGTTTTGACGGACACCTGTTTCTCCAACAAGCCTTCTACTTAATCCCCTTTTCTTTTAACGGAGTGTGCCTTATGGACACAAAATTGACGTCTTGGAGAGATTGGTGGGAATTCCTCATCTGGCAGAGCGAGGAATCCTCACGCATATTCACTCACAGTTGACTGCCTTGAGCTGACTATGTTAATAGATTGAGAGGAAAGTGTTAGCGACCTGATGCCTAACTCATTCAGATACGACTCAGCTGGTTAGCTCCCATTGTCTGACATAAAAATGGAGTTCCGCATCATTGACTTGGTAGAAGAGGAGCTCGTGTGATTTAAATTGCACAATTTTCTGTGGCTCTTGCCACCCTTATATTTACTCGCCGATCTTTCATTCAACCTGATGTTTGTGATAATGTAATCATTTGATGTAGGCTTTGACAAATGATTGCCTTACTGCCATTACATTTTTCTTGTGTTGTTGGTGGGAACAAAGAGATTCGACAAATAATTTTCATTGGGTTGTTCAAATTAAACAAACAGTTTGATGAAAGAATGAAAGGAAGAATGTGCTAACTATTTACAAGGCTGTAATAATTCCATGATTTTAAAGTGTCAATTGATTCAATTGATAAATATTGATGATGATTAATGAATATAAATGAAAGGTGATGAATATTAGGATAATTGTATTAAATATAAAGATGTTATAAGAGTCACCTGTTGGACTCTAACTTGTAGGATTGTTGTTTTTTTTATTAATTCATGAATTCAATTTAAAATAGTTTTTTTATGTTTCATTTGTATTTTTCTCTCTTTCTACAGTGTGTTGCTTTTCACAAAACATTTTTTTATTTTTTTTTTTATCTTGTTTAGGATTTTTTTTTTTTCTCTTATTGACAAATTTCTGTTATATAGTCCTGTTATTCAATGGGTGTTATTTTTTGGTTTTTAGACATTTAATTCAGACAAGTTTGTAGGCTTTTAAAAGTAAAATATTTTCTTTTTTATTATAACTGTAAATTGGAGTTCTTGTGTTCACTTGATAGGTTTACCAATATCAGTCAATCTTTCTAAAAGTGCAATTTAGGCAAATAAACTATATAAATATGTTTAAAACTTTCAATATATATTTTCTTTAAATAAGATTTGTATTGAATTTTATAGAGTTTGGTCTTTTAATTTTTTTTAAAACAATTTTTTTAAAAGGACCTAATCCCTTTGATTTGATGAAGATTGAAAATGTTAATTTAATTAATTTTGATCTGTTGATCTGTTGGAGAATTTAAAATATCTTTTGGTTAATTAAAATAATGGCCAGTATTGAGGTGTATTTCATTCAGTTTAAATAAAAAAACAAAACCTACGACCACCTATTTAATAGAAATGTGAATAATGTTTTATTTTTAAGATTTAATTCTGAATGTTCGATTTGTATCAAATATAAAGTTGTCAATTCCATTGGATTTTATTTGTTCCATTTGTTTTGTGAGATGACAATCTGTCTTCATTGAAGATTTGGTGTCAATATAAAATCCATATAGAGATATATTAGATTTTTATACGACAAATGTATTTTGTCGTCACCCCTGTCCGTCCACATTTTGTTTGTGGTCACTCTACAGGGCACAATTTTTATCCATTTTGATGAAACTTGACATATAGGTTTATATCCCAATGATCTTGGTTCCTTTCGATATTGGCATGTATCAGACCATAACTTCATGGATTATGGCCCCTAATTGTACGAAAAATCATGTATTTAGCTCATGGATCCACTAAAGGTCACAATTTTTGTTTGCTTTTAAAAAACATTCAAATATTCACTGTTTCATTTTATTAATGGCTGAGTGAATTTTGTGAAAATGGGCCCAAAACTCAAATAGTGTAAAAGTATGTAATAACAAGGTTGTGCACCTAATTTTGACGAAACTTGAAATGTATGTTTATATCCCAAAAATTTTGGTTCCTATTGATATTGGCATGTACCGGACTGTAACTTCCTGGATAATGGCCCCTGATTTTACGAAAATTGTCTCTTTAGCTTGTGGACACTTTAGATGTCACAATTTTTATTCGATTTTGATGAAACTTAAAATTTATGTTTATAACATAATCCAAAGAGTTTAGTTCCTTTCGATATTGGTGCATATTGGACAATAGCTTCCAAGATTACGCCCCTTGATTGTACAAAAAAAAATCATGTTTTTAGCTTGTTCTCTGTCAATCTCTTGCAAAATGTGGGCATATCTTTCATGGCAACTGCTTGTTTATTCTACTGTCCACTTAGTAAACCTAAAATTTAACTGATGCTAGTAGTAAGCCAGCGAAATTCTGCTCTGGCTTTTAAAATTAAACTTGGATGAGCTTGACCCAAGACTAATAGTTATCAGTATGACACATCTGTTAACCCAATTTAGTTTTAAAAAAGTTGAACTCCTTAAAAATAGATATTTTTTATAAATGTTTACTTGTGTATTGTAGGGAGAAGCAGAAAAACCAGTTGAAGAGGTGCCAAAACCTGAGGAACCAGTAGAATCTGCAGAGACAGAACAAACACAAGAGGATGAGGGAGTAGAGGATTAGGAACATCCCCAAATTTTATCCCTTTATAAACTTTTTTTTCGTCATCCGCAGCAATCAAGTTGCACAGATTTTTTTCAAGCATTCTCATCTTTAAGTGTCTTATGTGAAAATAGTGATTTGTGAAGTATTCACTGAACTATAAATTAATCAAAGTTCTGCCATTATCTTACAAATACAGCATTTTGATATCAAAAGTTTTTTTTTATTCAGGGGTTTAATTTCCCTTGATACCCCAATATCATTTGAACATAAAAATGTCCTTTTAAGTTTAACAAGCATTAGCACAATGCCACATTAACCATTTTCCATATTGTACATAGTTTAAACTGAAAATGGATTATTTATGAACTGGATACATTTAATTACTATTTAAATGTTTTAGCCATTTTCATTGTCATGATTAGAATTTTTCAGTGGGTCAAAGCTGGGAGATTTTTCATGGCATATTGTCAAAAATTCCCTGTGAAATATGCAATTTTAAGTATGTTTTATATAAAGAATACAACAGAAATATTTGCATCTTAGCTTGGGCTATGGATCTTGGATATGGCTAGTTTCAAATGTAAAGTGGTGCCACCACTGAATTCCTGGTGGGATGGGGGGGGGGGCTATGAACTGTGATTTTCTCAAACAATGACATTGGTTTCAAATGTTTATTATTAGGTAAAATTTATGTGGTAGTTTTAGGGAAGAAATCCAATGTATTTCTTAATAACTATGTTATTGTGGTGTAGAATATCTATTGTAACTTATTATATTGTAAAGATTTCAAACAAAATTAAATTATTTATATTGATATTAAAAAAATATTATCACATTATTTATTATGACTTATTGCACTATTAAGAGAACAGTCTATATAAATATTATTTGGTTTGCCTTGGGGTCACATTCAAAGTAATATGGACGAGGGGGTCTATAGGCTTCTGCCTGTTCTCCAATCCAGTTTCTGTGAATAAATATTGTTTTTACAAAAAAAAATAATTTTGCAGATAGTCTATTTACCCAGATCTGAAAGTAGTTTTTTCCCATACTTAATATTAACCTAACCCCATCGGTGATGGCCATTATATTCAACACTTTATTTTGACCAACATCAAAGAGATATAACTCCGTTGGTTTGGAAGTGAACAAAAGTATACTTCAATTGATGAACACATACAGAATTGAGTTCATATGGCTAGATATATCCATATTTGGTTCTTTTCTAACAAATATAGAATGATACCCCGTGGTCTTTATAAAGAATAGAATAGATAAAGATGCAGAGAAATTAATCATCTATTGTTGAAAGTATGAATGAGCTGCTTTCGGGTACTTCATATTCAGTTAATAATGTTCTACCCCTTAAAGTCAGCCCATTCACTAGATATAATATAGAGATGATATCGGTAACGGAAAGAGAAACTTAATAAAACTTGGCAAATTGACTCGAACAATATGATTTTGTTGCCTGTTGATTTTATAAAGTTGATTAGACACCTGTCCCATACCATGATGTCCGAACAGCCACGTGCCCCACTGGACACGCCTTTTGTAGTGGACACTACTTTGTTTTTCTTTACGCGGACCAGGGGCGTACCTAATCATGTGTACAAATTTGTTGGTTCTCGTCAAGTAATTCGCTATATTATATTCACGTGTCGGCTTTATAAAGCCTTTCTATAGAATTTGTGGATCGCTCAAATAATTGTTTTATATTGTCGCTGTATTATTATAAATTCTGCTTAGGTCAACTTCAATCTAGAAACGGTTTCTAATAATAATAATAAAAAAAAAGCTTCATACAAATACCCTTTCTTTCGGTTCCTTGTGCACGGAACTCGACTGAGAAATGAAATGAAATGAATGGGGTTTAACGTCCTACTGTTCTGCTCCTATGCTGGGCTAACGAAGACGGGCATACGCCATGCAGTGTGCTATGAGGGAAATTTGGCCGGGCAGCGGTACTATCGCCTACTCTTATATCGAATTCCAACTGCCAGGGGATCTTTTACGTGCATTCCAATGTATACACGGGACCTCGGTTTTTTCTTATCATCCGAAGGACTAGACAGCTGGATGAACGTTCTCGGCCAATGCAGGGATCGAACACCCGACCTCCAGGCTAGCGAGCCAGCGTCTTACCCACTTAGCCACGTGATCCCCAAACACGTGACTATCACGTGGCTATGTGGGTAAGTTATAATATATGTATCTATATTATATGGTTCCCAGTTTCTATATGGAACTTACTTGCATAACAACTGACAATTGATTTATTAGGCTGCATTTACTCTTTTCATTGTCTATATGAAATACATTAGGGACTGCAACAAATTAATGTTCATAATCGAATCCTGATCACCGAATTGTTACATCGCCGTAAACCCATCGTATTAGAATGCGTTATAAGGCAAAAATGTGAGCATACACTAAGATTAATGTTGATAATATTTAGGTGGGTATATAGAGTAATATAATAATTATATTTACATTAAAATCATGATTTTTGAATAGTATTCACCAGAGATAATACATTAGCAAACAAACAAAACAAAAACAAAAAAAAACAACCCAAAAACGAAACGATGAAGGTAATATTGCAGAATGGTCTTATTGTACTGTTAACATAATAACGACTTTTTAAAATGTTATCTACCAAGTTTACACAATTGAAAAATAATGTTAAAGAGACATACACAACACGATTTGTTAAGGTGGGTACCATGCCGCGCCCTTGAGAATTTGTAATTACAGGATTTCATGGAGAGACTTTAGGAAACAGCAATTCCGCAAATTTATGTGAGAGATCACGTTCACAATGGTTTCGTTAAAGAATGCATGCATCTGGAACGGAAGGTCACGGAACGCTAAATATCGATAGGGTTCGTCCTCGCATGACCACAATATTTCACACCTATCTAAACAAATTCATTAAAACAATCACCTCTATCGCGTTGAATAACTAATACCAAATGTTCAAATAAACACTGAATAAAATATATTTTCCACGATTTAAAATGTTTATATCACTTTTATAAAGCCGTTGAGTTACAGCTGGAATTGAGACAAAACAGGTATTCTAGATTTAGGCCTACACATTCTGACAAACGCTTAATTTTAGAAATAGTGTCATTATTCAGGCCGTGGCATTGAAATAATTTCAATTATGGCTGTCACGAGAACTGGTGCGCATTGGGGACAAGGGATGATCAACTCGGCTAATAAAGACGGGCGTACGCCATACAGTGCGATATGAGGGGAAATGTTGTCCGGACAGCTGTCATAGAAACTTTTACGTGCACCTAGGGGAAATCGCGCAGGAGAGTCCCGACGAACTTTCTCGAATAACACCATGAGCAAACTCGAGACCAGCGCCTCACACACTGAGCCACCGAAACTCCCGAGTTGAACAAACTTCGCTAGCTTCATGTAATACAAGATGCATGCCACTACCACAAAGGCATTAGTATAAGATACTTTAAAAAATAGATTTTTCAAAAATTAATGTGGAGGGTTGCAGTATACATTAAGCAGCAGATGACAATGATCATACATCATACATTGCTACTTTAATATTAACGAAACCCATAGAAAGGTGAAATGTATGTATTAGTAGGTAATAGGGCAAGTTAATTCCGCCCATCCTAAGGTTCAAACGACTGATTCATTAAATATATTGATGACGCTTTAAACATGTTGTTATATTTTCAATGTACAGTCTAGATAGGCGTACCAACTTCAGGTACTAAAATATATTGCATAAACCTTTGAAGCGTGAGGGAACATCAGTTCCCGTCAAGCGTACGAATCTGTCGAATGGTGTGCAATAGGGTGTAATAATAATCTATGTAAATCAATTGGTTTTTATCAAGCTGTGTCCTCGATTTTATGATGCTTTAATTATGTCCATTTTTGTTGCAGATGAAAAGAGAATAAATTATTAAATTGGGCGATTTTGTAAAAATACGGAAACACAGTTGTGTAATATTACCGTTTCTCCTTTCCTTCGACCCGTCTTATTCCTTGTAATTTATTAATATAATTGGCTGGGTACATTCAACTGCTCATAGACCGGAACCCAATATGTCAAAATTCAGAGTTGCACATTCGTTATTACCAGAAGTTTTGCCCTTGTCAGTGAAACATTGTAATGGCTATACGGGTCAGAGTTTTTAAGAATGAATGTCTTAGTCCCGTTTCATTTATTTGCCCAGTTATTGATTTTGACCGAAGTTGTGTCTAGAAATGTTGCCCTTATCCCCACATTCTGATGTTAGTCTTGTACTTGTCTTGTGTAGAAAATTCATTACTTCAGGTTAAAATACAGATGTGACGTCATTTTTTGATGTTGGCGTACCATTATTTTATTATGTTCAGATAGCGACGAATAGTATGTAATATACTGAGCTTTTAATCTTTGGGGACTGAGTCTGGGAGGAGGTGGGGGGGGGGCGCTGTGGAGCCCCCCGGTCCTCGCTACGCCACTGCCTAAGGGCACTTACTTTGTCTCGCGGGGGCGCTTACTTAGTCTCAGATCAGATTCCCCCAATCAGGTGACGTAGAACAAAAGCCGCGTATGTATTCGTTGTCGTATAAACGTTCTCACTTGTACACTCAAACTCCAGTAGTATAAGAAACCAACTAGACGCCATATTCGATCATAAAATAACGTTTACAGAAACTAACCTGAAATGAAATGAACTAAAATGGGGTTTAACGTCCTACTGTTCTGCTCCAAACTGGGCTAATGAAGACGGGCATATGCCATACAGTGTGCTATGAGTGAAATATTGCCCGGACAGCGGCACTACGGCCTACAAACTTGTATAGACACAAAGTGGAGCTAACCAACACCTTTAGTAATGTCATTAACACCATCGTCATCAACTCCTTAGCCCGTCCTCGTTAGACCGGGAGGGCGGGGGGGTGGCTGAATGGTTAGCGTGCGCGCGCTGTATCATACAGTCTGTCATTCAGTCGACTGGCGTGGTTTCGAATCCCCGGTTGTACGTGGCAAGGAGTAGGGTCGCCTGTCCAACCTCGTGGGTTTTCTCCGGGTCCTCCGGTTTCCTCCCACTGCTAAAGACCCCTACGCGCAAGCGAATTATGTAAATAAAATTAAACCATATGTTAGTCCCGAAATGACCTAGTTTGTGTCGAGTGGACGTTAAACCCCATTTCTCTCTCTCTCGTTAGACCGGTTGAGGCAGAAAGGTACAATCTGATTAAAATACAGATCTATATTTCGTTTCGTTGTTTTATACTTTCGATGGCCTACACTAAATGAAGATCTGACCAAATGTTTTGGGAGGTCGGTCAGAGGTCATACAAGCGGCTTTTGACCCTACGACGTCAGACATTTGATTAACCGATCAGCATTGATGTTTCTTGTAGATTACCCACAGTTCCGTGCACTTCACGCCAAAAGTTCGCCGTAACAGACCGTTTCATTGGCTAATCCCTCACCTCAACCAAAACGCGGGTTATATAATAATAACTCTTCCAGATCCTAGTGTAGTAAAGACAAGTAAAACGACATTTTCAACTATACAAAACGAAACGAAATAGGATCTGTGTTTTAATCAGATTGAAAAAGGTAGGAAGGTAAACATAATATCCTTTTATTTCAACCCACAAATGTTATTTTATAGTATTACAACACGAGATTAAAATCTGTTTGAGTGAAACAATATCTCAGAGACCACAAAGCTGTAAACTGTGAAATTGATGTTTTGTCCAATCTGCCACATGTTACACAAGAGAAGTATGGTACTATAAAGGCACTACCACAAGTTAAATTCACCTATTTTAAAGTTTACCGATTTTCATTGTCTG